GAACCGCTGATCTCGGAGAAGCACGCCGAAATCCTGCGACAGGCGGGCTACGGCGACTACCTGGACCTGAGCAGTCATCCGGTGTGGAAGGTCCACAAGTACGAGGGCATCGACTTGAAGCCAGTGCAGGTCGACAACGAGATAACGAAGGCGACGGAGGCACGCCGGTCGCCCGAGTCGAGCGAGCGCAGCGCAGCCTCGAGCGGCGTCCCGTCGAGCGAGTCCGACGTCGAGTCCGCCGAACGGAGCGAGGAGGACTCCAGCGTCCTCGATCGCCTAAGGCTGCTGTACTACTTGCTGCCAGGCTTCGGCTTCTTGCACCACCGGGACAGCGCGAAGACCGACGCTCTGGCTGACGCCATCCGCGACGAGGAGCAGACCCACCCGGGTTTTTTCGCCAGGCTCTGGGCCAAGCTCCGGGGCGGCACGGACCCAGCCGCGCTCGAGCAGCCGGCCGACGGCGACGAGGATGCCACGCTGCTGCGCATCGCCCTGCCTCCCACCAGGCAACACTACGCCGAGATCAGCCTGGTCCAGCCGAGCACTCGAGGCACTCGCTTGCTGGTGCGACGACTGCCCGACCAAGCCGACCCGGACGCGAGCGCAGGTAAGTCGCGAGCCACTAATTCACGCGGTAGAACTTTGTGAAACCGAAATACGATCGGTCTATTCCTCGTTTCGGGATCCGCTAGAAAGCAACGCACGCGCAAATTTATCGACGAAAGTCGTGGCATTGCCGCGCGTTAATTTTCTGCACAGAAGCGAAAAATGCCGCTAGCCTTGGCACCAATTATTCGACGAATCGTTCCACTTGAAAATTGGTTCTTTCGGGCGACTGACGCAGTGGATAGCGCGCGAACGGGCGTGACGCGCGACGTCTTTCTTGAGACAGCCTCTTCGATAAACGACCGTTCGCAGGAGGCGTCGAGCACCAGCAAATCGCCACGGTGGCGCCGCCGGTCGACGAGCCGAACTCCGGCCAGCAAAGCCAGCTCGCCGACGCGCGCGTGGCCGCGGTGCAGGCCTACACCGGCAGCCACTTTCGGAACGAATCCACGGAGGGACAGGAGAAACACGCCGTCACGAGCTCTGATCTCCCGGAGACCGCCAGCGCGGGTAGCGCCGTCACGGAGGCCGTGCCTACGATCGACCAAGGCGGCGCACGGGTGTCGACGAGCCCGAAGGAGCAGCAGCTGCAGAGCAGCGATGCCATGGAACAGGCCAAGTGGGAGAGCGTGAAGGAGTCGATAGTCAAGGCGCTGAGCACGAGGATTCTGCCGCCCAAGGTGGCCAGCAAGCTCAAGGACATAAAGCAGAGGATCAACGATAAGAAGGCCGGCCAGGAGAGCATGAACGAGCTGCGCAGGCTGCAGGAGGAGTTCGAGGCGCGCAAGCAGCAGCTCGGCCCGCTTTACCCCGTCTTCCGCAGGATGATCCCCACCCTGCCCGAGCTCCCGCGAACCTCCCGATAACCGTCTGCTGCTGTATTGCTTGTAATCCACGTGTAGTCTTCGCTCAATAAATTATTCGTCTGTCGTCGCCAATCGCGAGCACTTTCTTCGATTGGCTCCCCCGCCAACCTCAGCCGCCTCGTACAACGCGCTCGATTTGACAGCAGCTGCACGTCACCGCGTCAGGATGTGACTAGCAAAAGGAAAAACTAATCGTGCCAAGAGCGGATTTCTCACGCGGCCGGGACGTAAGTGGCGCTTACGCCACAGCGGCGCGTCTTCGTCGACGGAATGTCAAATTGACGCGAGCCAAAGTAAAAGTGCGCAACGCGCGGCAGCCGCGTTGCATCCGCGGTTCCGATGGTCGGCGAATTTAGCGAGCGCAGCGAGCCGGGGCGCTCGTAATTAGCCCGACTTTCACCGGCGAAAATGCGTGTAGAGCCGCGCGCGCGATCTTAATGGCGCGACCGAATTCGAAATCAAGGACTCGGCGGCGCATCGGGCTCGCCGCCGGTGAAATCGGCTCGTCGCTCGGCCGCGCGATCCATCAAAAGCTGCAGGCTCCGGCGGAAAATGCAACGAGCAACCGCCGCCGCCGCCGCCGCCGCCGCGGGTTGCGTTAGGCCCGCGCGACGAGGGCAAAAAAATCCGGCGGGCTGTTCGGGATTTGATTGAAGCGCGCGCGCGCGGAGCTTCGGAGATCCGTTGAGAAATCGCGGAGAGACGAGCTGCACTCGCGAAGCGACTCGGCACGATCGAATCGGATTAATTTTTTTTCTATCGCCGCGCTCGGCTGCAGCGGCACGGGCAACGCATTGGATAAGCCAGCCGCGGCCGGCCATTAACGTGCGCGCCTCTGCATTCGCGGCACTCGCCGTGCCTGCGCGGCGCTTTCGCAATGCCTCGCTAAGGATCCTAATTTATGTTCTAGAAAACGGCAACTTGCAAATTCGCCAGGACGTGAAAACACCGTATAAATTTACGTCCAGCCATGAATCTTTGCCAATAGCAGTGGCGAAGCTCTAGATTCTTTCCTGGAACTGATCCCAGCAGCGAAAGTGCTCCGCTTGCCCCTCTCCCCCCGCCGCCGTAGCACGCCGCCGCGCGCTTGCGTAACGATCAAGCACGCACTCGGGCCGCGGCGAGCACACTGATTACGGGCGCGCGTTGGCGGCCGCAGGACCGATCCGTCCACTCGGGCTTCGTCGACCGGCGGCCAACTCGAGCGCGCTCGCGGCAGCGCGGCAAGCTCGGAGCTTTCGCGCGCGCGCGCGCGCGCCGTGGCGTCCCGGCAGGCAGGGACAAGGCTGTCGCGGCGCGCCGGACGGAGATCGACTTTTCGCCGCGGCGGCCGCGAGTAGAAAGCGACGAGCGCGAGCGAAGGTTTTTGTTTGTCGCGATACGACGCTTTCACTGCCATGCGCGACATATATCCTCCTCTCAAAATCTCGTGCACGCGCGCGCCTCGCGATGCGCCGCGCTGACCTCGCTCGTGCGGCCCAGGCGCAAACGGCTCCTGATTTATAGCGACGTGAGTTATTGGGCGGCAGCGTGAAATTCCGTTCCGCCGGCGCTGCGGGGCCCGACGACGGCTCCCGGTCGTTCGTTTCGTCGCCCCCCGAATTCCCTCCGCCGTCGCGGCGCGCACAGAGCGTTCGCTTGCGACACGTTGCGCGACTCGGCGAAGACCCGATCACAAAGAATCCCCTATAACCGATTTTCATGCTAATCGTTAATGTGCGAGGGTCGCACCGCGCGTACTTTACGCGCGAGATTTATTGGACGTGAAATTTGCATCGCGTTTGCATCACTCGCCATTCTTATGACGACATTACATCCCGACTCTATAGCTGCTTTTCCCTTCCTCCTGGACCATTGACAAAACGAAAAGGAAAAGAATCAAGAAAAGAAATCCAATTTGACGGCTCCTCGTTTATGTAAGCCGCGCCGAGTGATATATATTGTGTTTGCTCTACAATCTTCTAATTAACTCGAGTGGCCGTGCTCGCTGCCGGGTTTGTACAAGCAGGGATGACAGTAATTGGTGGCGTTACTTAGCGTTCAATTTTCGAAAGCTCCACCATTCAGGCGAGAGAAAAAGTCACTTTCAACGTTTGACCTCCGCAAAAGACGAGGGAAAGAGAAAAAATCGCCGACGCGCGTAAATATGAATTAAGATCGAGCGAACGCGCCGCGCGCGTCTTCCGGGCCTCTGGGAATGTCGGCGAGCGCAGCGAAAATCAGGCTGGCAGAAGCGCACTCGGCCGATTGTCCCGATTGAGCGCGGACTGGTGCCGCGTGACGGGGACGATGACGCGGCGCATCGAAGCCTATTGAACTCCGCGGAAGGCGCAAGACGCATCGTTAGCCGCGCGGCTGCTCGCGCAAACCTCTCGCAATTTCGATATACTATTGGCAAGCGGTGCGTGAAAGCGGCCGCGAGATTACGTGGACAGCTTGCGCAAAGGCTGGCGCGCTCGAGCTAGCCGTTATTAAATGGGCTTTTTAATGCGATTAATAAGCCGCGCGCCTGGCGCTGCACCGCGAGCGCATCTGGCGCTCTCGCCAACTTTGGCTCCGATGGAAAGCCGGCGCGTCCTTTTTCGCCTCTTCCGCGCGCGCGGTCACCGTTGCCTTTGCGAGCTGCGCTCGCGGCCTTTGGTTTTCGCGCTCGACGACCCTTTCTAGGCGCTCGCTCGATTCGCGCGATCCCGCGGACACCGAGTCACCGAAGTCCAACGTGCAATGGTAAAAGCGTCCGATCGCAGACGATCTGAAAACCCACGGACTTTAACGGCCCTCGCTTTAATGGTATAATCGTTGGAAAGTCACATATTAGCGTTCGCCGATGGGAACGCGCCAAATTGAAGAACATTGCTTTCGGCCGCGTAAAATTTAAACGCTGCAATAAATGAGTTGCATGTCTGGCGATTAAAGCCGCCGGTTACGCGCGCTCAAAATCTACGCTCATTTGAAAGTCTACCGAGGAGTATTGTACGATTGATACCTTGCGCCCGTTCGAAGGCCGACCGATCGTACTTTATAATTGGCAAGTATGCCAACGAGTCGCCTAATTATCACGCCAAAGGCTTGCAAGTGAATAGGTGTGCGCGGTGTGTGTTTTTTCAGATTATTCGAACGCAAGCTAGGCTTCGACGAGTTTGCCGAGAAATTAAGGAACGTTCAGAACCCGTCGCGATTCCCGTCGAGTCGCTGTTCGAGTCCCAGCGCAACTTTATGTAAGCGAACCCTCGGATCGATTTCAGTTGCACGATCAACGCCAAATTTTTATTTACAAGTACGAATATCGTCGCAGCGTCGCGCTCACGGGCCGTGTCTTTCCTGCCGCTGACCGTTACGTAAAAACATTCGGGACGACCTTAATTTCGAGCGCTTCTTTCGGGTTTTACCATCGGCACAACCTACTTGAACATCTGCAATACGCTTGGCGTTCGAATGGCTATCCGAAGCTCGGTCGGTCGGAGAGTCCGATCGGCCAAGAGAGCTTGAAAGAGCGTCGACGGACAGACAGCGGAAGAGAGCTAGAGAATGAAAATTCTTACCGATGGGCGCGTGGAGCGTTAAAATTGCCGCTCGCTGGTAGCTGGCCGCAGGTGCGTGCTCGGCGTGCGAGAGGTAGCATTGCGACACTGGGCGCCGAGGCTGCAGCCGCGGTCGGCCGCGCTCCTCGGCCGCGGAGCAGCTTGGAGGCGGCGCATCGTCGTTGTCCCGGCGCGCTCCCGGTCGACTCGGCGGCGGCGGCGGCGGCGGCGGCGGCGGCGGTGGCGTTCGCGGCCCCGCGAGCACCTCGGCTTATCCCCGCGAACGTGGCCCCACTCCCGAGCGCCACTTTCGCTCTATATCCCCCCCGAACCCCTAAGGCGGGCGCGGATGCTCCTTCCGTTTTTTCGCGCGGCGGCGCGCGAGCGTATATAAGCCGCGAGATGCCCACCAAGCGGCGAGCACACGCGAGTCGCCCGCTGGACCTTCCCGAGCAGCCTCGTCCGCCGACCTCCTCCGACTCGCACGCGCGCACCGACCGACCAGTCGACACCGAGCAGCAGCTGGCATGAAGGCCTTCATCGTAAGTACAGTGCACCGCGGACTGCAGTTGGTTATCAGTGTCGACGCGGCTCGATCGATCTGTGTGCCGATTGACGCTCGCCAGTGCCAGCCTCGCGGACTGTGCCGCGCGCTCAGTGAGCCGGCCGTTCGTGCACTCGGACTCAAGTGCGCGTGTCGCCGTCGAGGCAACTTTCTCGCCAGCCGAGCAGCAGCCGGGCCGGCCCTTTGCGTATGCGCCTTGTCGGGCGAGTCGCGAGCCCCGGCGTAACCTACAATCAAGTAGAAATCGCGGCGCTCGCTCGGGCTCCGCTTCCGAAGGCAAGGGGACAGACAGGCAGCCTCCGCGGACGCTCTCGGGAGGCGTTCGCCAGCTGGGCGAACGTCGGAGCCGAGTGAGCTGGCTGGTGGCGCGACGCGCGATCCAAGCCCGCGCGGGCCCGCGCGGTTTCTACCGGAAGCAATTAGGCCGCGCGAGAGGTATCGGCGCCCGTCGGGAAATCGCGAAAGCGTTAAGTGTCGCGGCCTGCGTAATTGTAATTGCCGAGCGACTAGTCCGCGGCCGAGAAAGCACCCGCTGCCCAGTCGGCGATGCGCATCTGGCGGGCTGTTCTTGGACTTCGGGAGCCGCGTTTTCGTCTCCTCGCGGCCGCCCGACTTTCTCGGCGAGCGCAGCCGCGAAACGCTATCCTGCCAGCGCGAGTGGGCGCTGCTCGACCCGTGGACCGGTTTTCGCGCGCGCGAAACAAGGGCAACTGCTCGCGCACTTTCTTCGTCGGCAAGTGCGCTGTCGGCGAAGGAGCAGCGCCTCGCGTGCTCGTCCTCGCACCGGACGAACGATATGCCACGCGCGCACCCGAAAGTAGTCCTCGGAGCGCGCGGGACGAACGCAGCGGAACGACGAGGCGCGCGTCGCCGACGCGGTTCTGCTGGCCCGCCATTCCGTCGACACAAGCGTGTACTTTCGAGCAGGGCGCCTTTGTGCGTGCTCGTTCGCCCCGCGACTTTCACCGCGCCGGCGAAGACGAGCGGAGAGCGGGACGCCGCTCCGCGCCGCGCGATCGGCGGCGATCGGCAACACGCGCCCGACGAGCCGAGCCGGCAGATCGGCGCACGCGCAGGCAAACGCCATGAACGAGCGTCGCCGCTGTTTGTTGTCGCCGGCAGGTTCTGGCTCTGGCGGGCCTGGCAGCGGCGCGGCCCGAAGCCCCCATCGCCTCCTCGTACTTCCCCTCGGCGCACGACTCCAGCGGCGGCCAGTACCCGGCCGCCCAGTACGGCGCGCCGGCCCAGGCGCCCGTCATCCACAAGCACGTGTACGTGCACGTGCCGCCGCCCGAGGCGCCCGAGTACAAGGCGCCCAAGTACGTGGCCCCGCAGGCGCCGCCCCAGAAGCACTACAAGATCGTGTTCATCAAGGCGCCCACCCCGCCGACCCCCACCGCCCCCGTGATCCCCTTGCAGCCGCAGGACGAGGAGAAGACGCTGATCTACGTGCTGGTGAAGAAGCCCGAGGAGCAGCCCGAAATCGTGATCCCCACGCAGGCGCCCACGCAGCCCAGCAAGCCCGAGGTCTACTTCATCCGCTACAAGACCCAGGTAAGCCGGCCGCGGGTGCCGCCCGGCCCGCCGAGAGCCTCGCCCGCTCAGCGCCCCCGCTCGTTGTTGCAGAAGGAGAGCCAGGCTGCCTACGGGCCGCCCAGCGCCACCCCCGGCACCCCCATCGACAGCTACGGACCGCCGGCCGGCGGTAGCGACGGCCCCTACTAGGCGGCCCGCGCGGAGCTCCGGGAGCGCCTGCGCTCGCCCTCCGCCGCCCGTCGAATTCTCGGCTCGACGGCCTGCCTCTGTACAAAGCTCGGCGCGACCGGCGAGCCCTCCCAGCGGCTCCTTCCCGCACCTCCTCCCTCCCGGCACAAGGCGGGCGCGAAAGAGCCGCGAGTCGGCTCGCGCGCAGCCCGTGCAGGGCGAAGCGAAGACGCGACCGTCGCGCGCGCACCTCTCGCTCGCTCGCTCGCTCGCTTGCCGCCGCGCTGACCCTCCCGGCCGGCCGGAACGGAGCTGCAGCTCGATTCGCGATCTTCCTCTCTGCCTTCGCCCTCGGAGCTTCGCGATCGCGGCTACCGACGCCCGTTAGATAAGTGCTCCTCTGTGTATATACGATTTTTGTACTCTCCTTCCCTCCCCCTCCTCTTTTGTACTCCGAAGCAGACGATTAAAGTAAACACACGAATGATTGTTCTCTTGCCGATTATGCTAGACGAGCTTGAGATGTACTATTTTTTTACGTCAAACTAGGAAGGTTCATAAAAATCTCTTTTATACAAAAATAAATGATTACAAGCAAGGTGGATATTATTGTGCTGCAGCAGTCATGGAAAATACATTTTTCTTTCATTATCCTAAGTTTGCTTTATTTTTCGTCCCATACATACTTGCATTGTTTCTCACCACGCCACTTTTTCCAAACACACATTGTTGCGAAAGTATATAGGGGAGAGCAGTACTTTCCGTATTGCTTCAAATAGTGGCATAACATTTCGAAAATATAGATTTAGAAAAGTAGCCGTAGTCGCAAAGACGTAAGATGTAAGCGTTAAAAAAATACAAATAGAAGAATTTAACGAAATGACTGTGCTCTCCCCTACGATTCTATTTGCGACATGTCAAAAGACCAATAACGCTGTAAAAGGTGTAGTAGTTATCGTAAATATTTTTCGTTAAAAACCTAAATATGAAAAATTTCAGCTTGAAAAAATGTCGATACAACACGAGGTAATATCAATCCAACGGCATTTGACGCCAATTAAAGGAATCGACGATGCGCTATATTTGCAGCAACTCGATGGCGACAACGCACGCGCGCGCGCGCGCGCGCGTAAGGAGATAACAACGAGAAAGTATAGAGGCGCGCGTCCGCTGATATATAACTGTGCTGATTCGCGGTTCGTTGAAGCATACTCGGGGAGAATCGGCAGTCGAACTAACGAGCGGCACGCGAGGTGCTATGCAATTGCCGTGCGATTAACGTGTCCACGAGCGGCACTTTGGTAGCAGCTGGCGCGTCGGCGGACGCATAGGTGAAAATAGACTGGCGGTGACGTAACGCGATGTCGGGTTGCGAGTGGGGATGACAATGCCGGTGCGGGTAACCGAGGAAGGCGCGAAAATGGTGGCGACGACGGTGCAGCCCGTGGGACAATGCGCCTCCTCGATTGGCGCTCCATCGGCACGAGGAAGTTCGGCCGCGGGACAAAAGCTGCAAGGTGAAAGCGACAGATTGGGAATGGAAGCGGGCGCGCGCGATAAGCCGGACGGAGAGCCGCGCGTACGCACGTGCGAGTCGGCGCGGCGCGCTTTCCTCTTGCGTCAGGGCGTTCGCCCTGATCGGAAGACGCGCGCTCGGTTCCGTGATGCCGGCGAAAGTTTGGGCGACGCTCGCGCGGTGCCGACGTGCCTGTGCGCCGGTTTTGCGCAACTTCCGCGAGAGATCGCTCTGCCGCGGCTCCCGTAGTCCCAAGCTCTCCCCGTTCTTCGCGCGCGCGTGCCATTGTTGTCTTTCGATCCGAGAACGCTTCGCGACTCGATGCTCCGAGGTTTCACAAATAGCTCGTCGATTCGAAGGAACCGGGTTTTTCCACTGTTCGTTTTACTGGCAAGATTCGGCAGATATATAACATTCACGAGGTATAATTGACCAAATTAACAGTATTTCTTCGACATTGTTATTTTGATTCGCAATATACGGTTTGCATTCCTTGTATAAGTGTTCTTTTTGATCGTTTAGAAAAATACTTATAGTTATTGGATTTCTACATGTACTTCGATAAATCGATTAATACCACAGCCTTTTTAACAGTAAATTACAGACGTATGGTCTTGTGATTTGTATATACGCGCCTTACAAAACTAAATTATGCGACGATTTTTCCATTTTTTTCGCCAACTGCTCTCTTTTTTTCAATTCCTTCAATTTTTTTTGCAGCCTCTTGACTATCAAACGTTATATAGTGTACACTCGTTAGCTTAAAAAATCATGCGCAATCCCTTCAAGGACTAATTTTCAACAATCTTAAAACATTTAGTGGAAGAAATGTAATATTACGCTATGTGACTCTCTATTCGGCCTTACAAGTAACTAAATAATTTTCTTCAAAATTACACAATCATTTTATAAAAATCGCTGTACAGTAAAATGACACCAATTGCCAGTGAATCTGCTTTTCTTGTGTTTACACGGCAAGGTTATATTATCTATCGTTTGCTTTATACATTATCAAGTCATTCCCGACAAATAATTTACTGTCACTCAACACACACAATCATTAAAATGCGTTGACCAACGTAGAATTGTAACCTCGTATACTTTACTATTTGCGACAATAATTTGTTATAAATTCAATCTAAATATTTCGGGCAATAAGTCACGTTTATCATCAAGTTCAAAATTAATATCCAGAAGTGCAAACAAATGGTCGACGCACTTTTGATCATTAACTTTTCTTTCGTGACCTATCTGCATTGGAACTTTTGGCTTTTGTTTTCTTGAAATTTGGAAATTATCCAATGAACGAACAATCGGTAAAAATATCCTTTTAAAACTCAACGTCCTATATAAGTTCTTTGAATTGGCGAGTGATATATTGTCCAGTGATAAAATTGCACACGCATAGAAAAATCAAATAGATCGGACAAATAAAAACACACGTTGACAGTCTTGACGAGTATTACTGTAGATAGAACAGTAAAATTGATAATTACCAGCTAGTTTGTATAGAGAACTTGGTGAGCGAATACGACATTATTCTGTGTGCTCTCGTTCTCTTTTGGGCCTCAAGGCTTTCTTTACGAACGGCGCAACGAGTGGATATGACAGGAACGTTACGTGTCCAATAAAGTAGACGCTCTTGTAAACTTTGATGTAGCGTGAGTATGACAGCAGAACAAAAGGAATAAGGCTGTAGCCCATGAAGACAAAGGTGTATATTTTGAGAAGTATCCAAATTAGTGCTCTCGCCAGGAAACTGCTCCGCACGGCCTTCTGAAGACGCGCGTTCTTTAGCAGCACTGGTTTCATCTGAAAATTAAAAAATTACAGAATTGTAGACAAATTTTCATTGACATTGTAATCTATATGTATTGTTGCTCAACTCACGTCTTTTTCCATGTACATGACTATAAACTCCTGGAAGAAGCAGAGGTAGTAACCGCTGTGAAGACCATGCCAGATGGAAAGGAAGACCAAAGTAACGATTTGGCTGTAGAGCTTCGAGCCGAGGAATTTGACTCGCTTGTAAATGTATTCCGCACACCAATGATTGGTGTTGATATTGAAAGATAGAATGTAGTGATTGAATTCGGTTGCGTTCTCAAATAGTAACAGGTTCACGTTGGCCAAGCCGTCCCATCTCACTGTGCCGTCTTTGTCTTTACCATTGTACGTGAGACCAAAAACGATACAAACCTAAAACATCAATATGCATGGTAATTACTACGAAAATCTCCAGCGGATTTTGAAAGTAAAAAGGTAGCGAACGTACTCCTTCTGTGATCAACCAACAACTAATATACTTGTAGAGATTGCATCGTCCCCAAAGTCCGAGAAGCAACCAGCGTTTGACGAAACTTTGATCGTCAAACTCAGGTTCTAGCAAGTACTGATCAGATACGTATTGAGTACCGAGTTGATACAATGCTACGTAAACAAATCCGACTAGAGCTCTCGTGATTCCCGGTATTATGGAATCGGGTGGCTTGATATTGCCTTCGCTGTCTCTTTCCTGAGAGATGTAAAAGAATTGTTTAAACGTGCTCTCCCATCTTCCGACTTGTCTATCTAGAGAATCTTACGTGATCCATCAGCTTGCCATTAACGTAATCCAGGTACCGTTTCATACTGAATTGTGGCCCAATTAAAAACGAACCAGGAAAGTAGACGTACGCTGCCATCTCGAGTAGCGATGGATCTTCGCGTAGTGCCGTCGTTTTTTGAGTAGATGACAATTTATCCTGCAAATTGTGACGTTATTTTAATTTTCTTACTTTTTACTTAATACCCAGAACTTTTTAGATAAGGAGAAGTTGAACCCATACATCAGGCTGTTTCCCGTCTACTAAATCAAAAGCCAATCCGATCAATCTCAGAGTCAGGACGCATTGAGGCATGGTCCACTTGATATCGTAGTCTTTAGTTGCCGTTGTATAATAGCCTGGGAATTGATGAATAATTGTTTGCATTGTTATTCAATAATAATGAATATCGTCGCTCGAAATGATTTCAATGGTACTCACCCCAGAGCAGATACACCATGTTGAAAAGAAATACCGTGAGCACCGATGTGGTCGTGCGACCCAATACTTTGAAGGCGGCATAAGTGCCGAGTAGTGCGTACGCTGAATGCAGTATGTTCCATTCTGCATAACATAAATTACAATTAAATAATCTCGATTGAAAAATCGACCGAAGATCGAACAGGAGCGTTACCATAATTCCAAAATCCGATGAGGAGGCCACAAGCGACAAAGTAGAAGTGCTGGTGCGTCGGACTCTTGCCGTACAGCGTATGTCTGTGAATGAGCGCGAGAGGGAAGCCTGATACAGAACAAAAGGAGCCAATCAACCGATACGCGCCACAAGTCAAGATACATTGTCATGCGCGATCGTGCGACTCTGCCATTACTATTGGTTTCGTATTATCATCGCCACGTGACTACTCATTATGCATTAGCGCAATGTTAGGCTTATCGACGCATCGGCCAACTGTTATTAAATAAGTTAGTTTGCTTAGAGAAAGTCGCAATGCAGTAAAACGCGATGACTCAATAAAGAAACACGAAATTAAGCGTTATCTTATCGTTAATCCCGTGTTCATCGGTAATTGCCGGTCAGCTGGCTCGCGTTACTGCCGAAAAGCTCGTTTTTCCCTCGCTCGCTGTGTATTTTCTTTCGAAAGTCCAGCACGCGAACTTAGTTCCTTTAGATTTTTCCGGTTGCCGGTGTCATCGCGAAAGATTCCAATCGGAACTATTTACTTATGAGAAGAGCCGGTATTTACCGAGTGACAAAGCCGGCAATGAGTCACTTGGTGCGGGGGAAACGAAAAAAGTGCGTCACGATAGTGCTCGACAGTTTTTTTTAAACGCAAAGCACTCGTTCGAAATCGACGGCACGTAGGGATATTCGAATTCCGTGGGCACTATGAGAATATAGCTCGCGAGGCTCCATCGACATTCAATTTTCCCCGCGAGAGCTTAGTACCTGCGGCACACCTCGAGCTCGCGATTGACGATGCCAAAGTGGTCATTAATGGGTAGTGCACCTTATTCGCTAATGTAGAATCATCCAAAGCGTGGCGTTAACACGTACTAACTTTAGCAGACTGTTTTCGGCAAGCTGTAGATTGGCCCATGAGCCGATTTTCTCAGCACCTTTTTCTTCGTTCTCGTTTGCTACTCAACGGCATGATTTCTCGCTAATGCAGACGGTTACATAACCGCTCCGATTATTTTCCGCTGTAGAGCGCATTAATAAGCAGTGCGCAATACCGTGAGCTTCACTCGGCGAAACGTCCATTTGAATTTGCTGCGTTATCTCTCACTGCATGCGCCGACTCGAGTACTCGACTTTCATCGAAGAAAGTTGTACGCAGGAGCTGGAAAGCTGGCCAGGCGCTCGTGTTTCATTTGCCAGCGAGATTCGAGCACGGCAGATGAATGAAAAGCGCTCAAGTGCACGCGCGATCTCATGGGAAACGCTGGGAAAACGAGGGTCCTTTAACCTAATTGGCGCGAGCCCGCCGGGAAAGCCAAGAGCCGCCGTGCTGCGAGATTACGAAACCGACGAGAGCCGCGCGGCCCGAGCACGGTGATTCGCCAACGAAGCGAAAGTGCCACGATTCAGCCGACGACTCGAAGAAGAGCGCAAGAGGCCAAAGAATTACCCAGCAAGATGGAGAGCAGGAGGCGAACAGCGGCAGCTGGCGCGCCGATGAGCTCGGACAAATTGTTGAGCAGGTCCGCGGGAGCCTCGTCGACGCTGGCCATGATTGCCGTCGGACTGACGGCGACACAGCGGGAAGCGGAGCAGTCGCAGCAGACGAGACGATTGCGCCCGTGCGTACGCGTCCACGCCACGCTACGAGGAAACGAGCGAGAGCGGCGAGCGCCGAGTGCGACAGCTGATTCGAGCGACGGAGACGCGCGATCGATGCTAGCTCTAGTCACGGCCGCGCTGCCAACTAAACGCAGCCGCGACGCCGTCGCCGCGCTCCTTTCGAGTACATATTCAAGTTCACGATCGACTGTAGGCCGCGCACAAATAAGCCACCACTCGTCCGTTGTAAATTGCTTTTATTATTTACACGTCGTACCTTGTATTAGGTAAACTTACATCAATGTACACCGTTATAGCCATTTTCATTGCACAATTCGCATTAAATCCAGATTAACTATCACAGAGTAAAATGGTCTGGCCATTTCAATGTTATTAATTAACGCTGTTGGTATAAGCTTTAGTCGTCTGACCATGCAACTACAGTAATACGCTTCCAAAGTCACCGGTATGCCCTATCGAATAATCCTCTTTATTCGCATATACTTTGCTGCAACGTTGCAATACATTTTTCAAGAGTCAAATATAATAAATATACATTTCTATGTACATTTGTCGGTGTGTGTTTCGTAGTTAGGCTCGTCGTCTGTGGCTTTCTTCCCATGCTTTTTATTATTACATATTACGTACACGTACATAATATAGAATTATTTACATCTGTTTCATCCACAAAATAGTTCTATTGCGACTGCGTACTAACACATTCTAAGCCGTTATGCCATTATGAAATATAAATTATTTTATTACTCAATTACCATATACTGTATTTCGTATTTGTATCAATATGCTCAAAAAATAAATGAAATCACAGATAAAAACCAGTTGGTTTACATAGACAAATCATCGCGGACAAAAGAGTTTGTCTGACGGTGCAACAACGTTTGTTTTTACACTGGACTCGAAATCAAGTTTTATCAGCAAACTCGCTTATTTTCTATTACAATTACGAACCTTTGTTCTTTTTCAAATATACCTTTTGCCGCTTTCAATTACAACAATATATTTTGATTTAGAGGAACGTTTATTCCGCGCTTTGTATCAACTGTACATCAAAATTTGATTGTTCGAACTTGTTCTAATGACTATAGTATAGATTTCAAACTTGTAATTTTGGAACCAAATGAATTTTCGAAATTTGTCAGACAACAAAGTGCAAGTTCATGATTTAAAACACACTTTTGCCTACTTCCTTGGAGATTGTAAATATATCCTATATAAGTTCTTTGATTTTAAATATGCAAGATTACAATATTAGGCTTATCGATATCGACACCGAGAAATAGTTAAAATTGATTTATCGAAAAATGTGTTGGAAACTGGAAATATTCAATATTCATTACTATACTCTAGGTACTTTCTTTGCGTGGTCTCTTATGGTCATCGTAATCACACTTGAAAAGTCCATCGATACATTACTTTTCTGGCTAGACAGTCATTGTAAGTGCTCTTGATTACATTGTCTGGATTCTATTGTCAGAAAAATAGTTTCTATTTGGTCAAAGAGAATCCAGACAGACGAGGAAGAAACAACTTTGTGGCTATAAATATTATTATGCGTTAAATTCTCGTAACAAATACCTTGTAACACAAGTTCCAACAATTCCAAACCCGATCAACGTTTTCTCAAATAATCGTCTTATACCTACACGCATTTACTCAATGGTCCTCCCTTCGTTTCTTATTATTTTTCTTTCTCATTCTTTATTCTTTTTGCGCGCTCTTATAATCGAACACATTTGATTTTATCTCGTGAATAGTAATAGGAAAAAATTATCGAAAAAGAGCATCTACAAAAGTATCGCGGAAGCATTTAAGAGTATATAAACGTTACTTTGACACGAAAAATATTGTCCGTCACAAATTATTTGATGAACGTCTCGAATGACTCAATTTACCTGTTATATAGATTGTACGGGAATTGCAAGTGCGTTGTTTCGACTTTCGTCTCATGATTGTATCGTGCCCACTTGCGCACTCGGTCGAGCTATCCATCGTGAAATTACTAAATAAGTGCAAAGCAAGCAAAAGCAAGCAAAAGCAAGCAAAAGCAAGCAAAAGCAAGCGACGGTTTTCTGTTCTGTGCAACCTTCGCATCGTGCTAGGTTCGAATTCGAGATGGGCTAGATTCTGTGGGTACTTGAACAATGTTGAAAAGGTCAAACGACATTGATACCCTCGTTGCTTACTTTCATGTTTGACTTACAGATAGTTTGTACTGAGGAATAACAATCGAATGGTGCCTTGGCAATCGACAAATTAGACATTGAAATGCAAATGAAAGAGGACGAGAGCGCACCGCGACGAGTCAGCGAGACGACAACCGAGAGGGGGCGAGCGCGCGAGTCTTAAAGTCGAAGAGGAGGCGAACGGAAAACGGGGCAGCACCTGAGACAGCTTTGGCAAGGGCGATCGGCGAGGGACAAGCCCCGTCAACCAAGTAAGTCGTGCGATCGCTGGCTTATCTGGGCTTGTTGGCGAGATTGTCGAGCAGGGCGTCGGCGATGGTGCTGGGGAGGGACGAGGTCGTGTGGACGAGGGGCGCGGCGGTGCTGGTGACGGTCTCGTTGGGGCCGAGGCAATAGGACATGACGCCGCCGTGGACGCAAGAGGCTGACGCCGAGTCGCCGAAGGCAATGAGCAGGAAGCCGGAGACGGCGGCGAACAAGCCAGCGAGCAGCAGACCCAAGGCCGGCAGCTTGCGGTGACACAGCAGCGGGCCCTCCTCGAGCTTCAGGTAGCACAGCGCCGGCAGCACGTAGGCCAGTGGCACCGCGGCCAGAATTCCGTTCAGCTCGAGCACGATGCCCAGGCAGTCGGTCGACATGGAGATCAGGTAGGTGGTCACTATGATGCCCATGGTGATGATCAGGTACTTGCGGTCCGTGCCCGCGATGTAGGCGTCGTGGTTTTCCACCTCGTCGGTGCCTCGCAGCGCCGTCATGATCACCTGCGCATTCGCACATCGTCATCGTCGTCGGTCGAGCGAGCCCAGCCGAGCGAGCGGCGCGGCGCTCTCGGCGAAGGATTACCTCGCGAGTGACGAAGCACTCGATGGGAAAGGTGAGCAGAATGGTGCCGCTGAACATGATCCTCGACAGGTTCATCAGGTCGTCGTTCCAGCAGTAGTTCTCCATGAGGTCGCCCTGCACGTAGCCGGTGAAGGTGGCGTAGCCGGCCACGCCGAAGGCCGCGGCGATGAGGAAGGAGGTGAAGAGCGACCAGTGCGTGACCACGTCCCACTTGTCCTGGGTGGCGCGCTCGATCGAGCCGTAGATCAGGAAGGTGTTGTGGTGGCACATGAAGGCGAAGGCCATGATGCCCACCGCCGGCACGACTCCCGACACGTGGCCGAATTGCCAGCTGCCCGGTTGACTCGGCCTGGCGCAGTAGTGTCTCGTCAGAGCCGCGAGCGCGAGACCACGCAGCGGCGCGCCACCGCGCGTACTCACACGATCGACGACATCGAGTCCATCCGGATGAAGATGGCCAGCAGGATGAAGCCCACGCAGACGAGCGAGAGGAAGGAGATCTTGGCGAGCTTGGCCACGTTGCGGTAGAGGCAGAGCGGGATGACGACCAGCAGCGTGGCCAGCAGGATGACCACCTCCCGCCTGACGAGGAAGCTGTCGGGCTCCAGTCCCGTCACGCGTATCAGCACCTTCGTCACTGTGTCGCCCACCACCACGTTGTACGACACCATCGCTGCGAGCACAGGCTTCGTCAGCGCGCCTCCGACCGCCACCCGTCGGCCCGCGCAGCTCCACAGCTTACCTATGAAAGGGTAGACGAACTGCAGCGCCGTCAGGATGTAGAAGCCGGGACGTCCGAAGCTGGCGCGCATCAGGCCCTGGTAGCTCATCTCGCCGCACAAGTGGCCGCTCCTCACCATCAGGATCAGCGAGTAGTCCGTCAGCACCGCCACGATTATCAGCAGAAACATGCCCAGGCCGAAGCCCGCTTGGTGGAGCGCGTACGGTATACCTGGCAAACAGGCCACGCGAAGTCGTTCAACGGGACAAGTTGAAGTGCCACGGCGGGTTCGACGGGAGAGCCGGCCGGCTAGTTCGGCGAGGGGAGGGCGAGCGCTTGGCGAGAGGGAGGCAGGGGAACGAAGATAAATGTGTCTCACCGATCACGCCGCTGCCTATAATGGAGTTGATGAAGTTAAAGCTGGCCAGGGGAAGGCTGCTGAACTTGCCCGAGTCCTCGTCCTCTTCCTGGAAGCAGAAACGAGCGATAACCAGGTCAGGCGTTGCGCGCAGTTACAGTCTTTCGCAGCGGTGGCCGGCGCGATCGATCCTCCGTTGACCGCGGAGACCGCGGAGAGCAAAAGCACTTTCACGCGCGCCGGCAGCGCCAACTTTATGCTTTGTATTTGCGTCATGCCAGGCGATGCATTGCATTTTGGGCGCAGTCGGGCAGGCCGCGCAGCTACGCGAGCTTCGCGTTCGACGCACCCGCGGAAGGACGAACGAAACCAGCGTCAAACGTCCACGCCGCTACGAGCTGGTCGAGCCATACGTGCAACAGCAGCCGTCGGAAGCCATTGCATTGTGGGCGCACAATTCTTGCCCCTTGCGACGAGCGTTCGCTTGATAAGGAGTGAGCGAACGAGACATGAATAATGCATCGCATCGTCGCGTTTTATCTTGCGGGCGCGCTACCGAGGGTTCAATTTTATTAGCTAGTTAATGCGATAAGAATATAGACGAGAGCGTTCGCTTTGTCATGCGCGCCAAAAGCACGAGTTCGCTTATTTTTCCATGCAAAATGTGCCTTTTCGTGCAAAGCTCGTACAACTTATCTAAGCGGCACGATAACGGCAATCGCAAATTTGGAAATAGTGGCATGCTCGCACGAAAGAGACGTCGATCAGGACGTAGTCCCGATAACGCTGATCCCAAAAGGGGTCTCTCGATCCATGGGTGCAGCGCGATCCATGATAAGATAGCCATGGCGTCGTCGCCGTATCTCGCCGTTTCACGCGCTCGACGTCGCGGACGGGAGACCGTCTGGGGTTTGTCCGAGCGCGATCGCCGCCTTTTGCAAGACACGTGTGCGCGCGCGCCCAACGAGGCGCCCTCGGCGTCACTCGTTGTGCATCAGACTCAAAACGGGAAAACATCGCTGCGACCGCGAGCACTCGGTCGAAAGCGCACATCTACTTGGCTACAGACGATAAATCATGCCGGAGGAGCTTACCCTGACGAGACGCCTCATGTCGTCGAAGGATTCCTCGGAGCCGAGGCTGCCTCCCTATTGATATCAAGCAGAGCGACGTGTCTGTGATCACTCCTTTCTGCAACGTGCCGCAGGCGCGCTTGGCGCGCTTGCCGCGCACAGCCGACAATGGTCGGCGCGGACTCGTGAGACTGAGACCGAGTCGCGCTCGAGGCGGTATGCAATCCTTACGTAAACCCGACGCGGGCGCTCGACGGACCGACCACGCTCAATCGCTCCAAGCGAGCCTTCGACGCGAATGACCGGCGGCGCGGGCTGGCGTCCACCTGTTGCGCGAGAAACCGAGGCAAAGGCTTTTCCACGAGAGAGAGAGAGAGAGAGAGAGAGAGAGAGAGAGAGAGAGAGAGAGAGAGAGAGAGAGAGCACGACGAGAGCCGCGGCGGTGGTCGTCGACTGACGCTCGCGAAGGTGAACGCGCGCGTGGGAGAAGCTCGAGCCACTCGAGTACCGTAAGCGCCTGCTTGCTCGGCTTCTCGCCGCGCCTCCTTTCTTCGTCCCCACTTTCGTGCCTCTTCCTGCTTCTCTGGCCCCGCGACCGCGACGCAGTTACCGACTTTCCGTCGAACGAGCTGCGAGCTGGTCTGGGCCGGAACTCGGATAGAATCGTGTAATAACGCGCTCCAAGTTCGCGCGTTGCCGCGAGGCGGCAACTCGGCCGGCGCGGCCGCGATGGAATTTAATAAGACCGCGGGGCATCGATCGGTTTTCGCGCGCGCGATCGCTGCACAGACGTACGCGCCCACAGGCGTTACTGTCGCCGTCGCTAGTTGGATTCCCGTTATTTCGACGCGCCTCCCCCCGAGGCGACCGCAATTCTGTCCCCCCGCAATTTCAGTTTCCTAACCAGCCTCTCTCTCTCTCTCTCCCCCATGGTGACGTCGACTCGTGGAAATAGTGAAATCGGATCCCGACTGAAATCGATTCGAATTCAATTAGACAATTGGCCACGAGGATCGGTTCTCGGTGGATGACCGCGCCTGCATAGGTGCACATAGGTGAGCCGTATCGAGTTACCGCTACGGCCGGGAACTCCATACTCGGCAGCGAGAGGCGAGCTGGCCGGCGGCATTCGCGGCATCGACCGAGGGTTCCTCCGTCGTAGCCTCTCCCTCTCTGCGTGTCACTCGCGCTTGGTCGATCGAGTCGAGTGCCGACGCGACAGCGTCCGACTGACAAATGGCATGAGAAACGATGCCCAGTGCGAATCGATTCGCGCCTCGCTGCGCTTGCATAACTCGCACCGCGAGCTCGTCGACCGCAGCCTCAACATTGCGCAGTCGAACAAAAAAAAGTCAAGCGGTTGAAATGGTCGCGAGCAGCGAGAGTCATCGTCAATTAACGCGTCGCGGCACACAACTGCCAGTAGGACTTCGAGCGGGGACGATATGGCAGAGAGAGGGAGAGAGAGAGAGAGCGAGAGAGAAAACGAGGATGCAAGAAACTCACGTCTTCGAAGGGCTTCCTCGCGTCGAGGATATAACTCTTTTCATTCGCGTTGATCCTCCTGGGCTGTTCCGACTGAGGCTCCATGCTGCTGGCGACTCGTCGAGGACGGCAGCACAACTCGCGGGGTCAGGGGGTAGCGGGCTGCCGAGAAGACAGAGAGTGAGAGTGGAGCGGAGGATCGAGAAGGGCTCTGATCTGCGCGCGTCACAGAGACCCGACTGCACGAGCGCCGACGATAGCGCGCCGCGGCTACTCGCGCCCGCGGCCTGCGGCTATCGATTACGGCCCGCGGCGCACGCGCTCCTACTCCCACGTCGAACGCGTCGCACGCAACCAACTGTTTGAGTCAATCAATTCCACCGTCGAGCGTGTTCGGTCTCCGACTTTGCGGCTCTTGCGCTCTCTCGCCTCACCCGTACGACCTCCGACACTTTTATCTTCGACAGCGAAACGCTTATCGGTCGATTTTTCGCTCTTGCTTGTAGGTAAGTTCGTGTGAACGATCGTAATAAGTACGTTGTTTACCAATACAGATTCACAAACTACTTACTCCTTCTTCGACTTCAAACTTCCAGTCGATCTCGATTATTCGTTGATTTCCACAGTACTACTTTAATCAACCTGACATTCGCATTAATGTTCATCGACAAAGCTGATTCCCGACAATAATTATACTTGTTAACCTCTCGCTACATTGTAAAAGCTCACCGAAAGCTCTTGCCCTGGTTTTCCGGAAGAGTTTCGGGACTTTGAATAATTCAATTACGCTAGTGAAATGATGTCGTAAAACGTATGCGCAAGTTCACATTTACGAATTTTCATTAAGAAATAAATTGCATTCCTGCAGTGCACGATCATATGATTATTTGAAATTATCTGCAAGTTGGCGCGCGTTCCGGTAGAGCTCGCCCATAACCTAACCTTGTGAGAAACACTGGAATCGTCGTGGATTGTTGTGAAAATAAGAGCGGAGCAAAACATGTTTTCCGCTCGGAAATTTCGAAATATTTATTAGTTTTCAGTGCAGATATTTGAAATAAAGTACAGGAAGACAATTCACGAGCTTTAGCAATGGCTGAAAGTAACATTCTCGACGAGGACTCTCCGTTGCCTGAAGATTTGGGAGACGATTTGGTGCAAGAAGTTTTGAAGACCGGTATTGATCTCCGGCAATATTCTTCGGAAATTGAGAAAGAACTTGAAGAAGTTGAAAATAAGAGTATTCAAGATTACATCAAAGAAGCAGAAAATATAGCTGGTCTTTATAATCAAATTACATCATGCGACGATATCCTACAGGTTAGACAATGCCTGTTCCATATTGATTGAATTGTCTAAAACAGTTATAGTTGAGTCTTCTGTAAAAAGAACACAACAAAATAATAAATTATTTTGATTCTTACAGCAAATGGAGTCGATGCTACTTGGTTTTCAGTCAGACTTGGGAAGTATCAGCGAGGAAATCCTTTCTCTTCAACAAAAGTCTATTTCTATGAGTCAACAATTAAACAATCGACAAACTATTCGAGGACCTCTTAGTCAATTTATTGAAGACATGACAGTCACGGAATCTCTTATAGCGTAAACTTTATGTTTTTAATGTTGCACTTAAATCTAATTCACAAAATAATTAATCCTCATTTATGTGTACAGTAGCATTATGGATAGTCCAGTGACTGAGAAGGAATTTGAAACAAATCTTGAAATACTTAATCACAAGATTAATTTTGTTAAAGAACAAAATTTCAAAGATGCAAAAGCATGTAATGATGTCAAAGAAATTTTGGAGAAACTGAAAATTAAAGCCATGGCAAAAATTAGAACCTATCTACTAGAACAGATATACAAATTCAGAAAACCCATGACTAATTTTCAAGTGCCTCAAAACAATATGTTAAAGCATAAGTTATTTTTTGAATTTATCCTATCCAATGAAAGAGATATAGCTGGAGAAATATGTGGTGAATATATTGACACTATGAGTAAAATTTATTTCTCTTACTTCAAGTCGTACTGTTCTAGATTGAAAAAATTACAGGTAATTCAGGAAAAATAAAATCTAATCTGTTCACAATACATATTTCAAATTATTAAATTTGTTAATAAGTACGAAGAAAATCCTTCAAAAGATGATTTAATGGGAGTGGAGGATACAGCTAGTAGAGGCTTATTTCACAAAACATCTCACTTGAAACATAGAGGAACTGTGTTTTCCATTGGCACTAGAGGGGAAACTTTATCTTCTCAATTAGAAGCACCTATAATTGTACCTCATACTGCTTCGAAGACTAAAGTAAATATAGAATAATTTGAATACAGGAATAGTCAATTATATGTGACATTATTCATGATATTGTATTTTCCAGTATCATTATGAAGCTCTCTTTAGAAGTGAACAATATGCTTTGGTTGACAATGGTTGTCGTGAATATTTGTTCCTGACAGAATTTTTCAAAGTGCGAGGACCTCAAGCTCTAGATATTTTTAATCAAGTAAATAAGAAAATTTATTGTATTTTTAAATAAACAGCTTTTAATTTTATAATGTAATGAAAGATTATTATTGGCAGGTCATGGGAAAAACTCTAAGTTTATTGTTGAAGAACTTACAATCATTTGTTGATGACTCCTACGATGCTATAGCTTTGTATCTGTGCTTGCATCTGGTAATGAGGTATCAGCTGATGTGCCACAAAAGAGCTGTACCTGCACTTGACAAATATTGGGACAACATGACTGCAGTTATTTGGCCAAGGTGATGTAAACTTTTACTATTTTTGTTCAACTTTTAAAGGAAAAAATAATTTCTCATAACGAATTCTTTTTCCTAAATTTGCATATTAGATTTGAGTATGTATTTAAACTAAATATTCAAAGTATTAAAGACTGTGATCCAATGAAATTTTCTCGAGAAACAGGTCCTCATTATGTAAGTTGAAATTAATTTATTTTCCTTTTTAATTATTAATCTGTGATTTATTGAATTGTTGGTAATGAATATTTTCTTAAAAAGATTACCAGAAGATATGCAGAATTCAGTGCAGCGATGATTGGAGTAGGAGAAGGTTTTCCTTGTGAAGGTGCTACTCAACTCTTAGCAGAGTTAAGAGAAGCAGTACAATGTTTTCTTTTGAGGATGGCTGCTGTTTTTCCACAGAGAACACAGCAGCTTGTATTTCTTAGCAATAATTATGATCTCGTACTTGGAGTTCTCATGGTAAATTTAACTTTATAATTATAATAATATTTTTAAATTTCTGAAAGCTGATTAGATCTTTTCGTTTTGTAGGAGAGAACTAGGGACAATTCCAAAGAAGCAGAAAGTTTCCGAGAACAATTGAATGCAAGGTCTGCCGAATACGTCGAAGAAATTTTGATGCCTCATTTTGGTGGTATTATTCAGTTAGTCAAAGAATCGGAGGTATTGATCGAGAAGGGTCAAGTCGAAGAATTGAAAAGGCAAGAGGGAAAGGCTTTGGCTCTTGTACAATCGTTTACAAACAATTGGAAAAGATCATTAGAAGAAATTAACCGCGAGGTCGTAAGGTCATTTCCAAGTCTACTTTTAGGGACTTCTCTAGTTCAGCGTGCTATGACGCAATTAGTTCAGTATTACCATAGGTTCCACAAAATTTTGCCTGCCAATGTCCGACCACAATTAACAAATATCCATCACATTATGGTTGAAATTAAAAAATATAAAACAAATTATTGATTTTAAAGAAAATCTCAGATCTTCCAGAAACTTTTTGACTTGTCTTTATTAAACGATTTTAGACATTTTTATCTCTGCTTGTAATTTCTATGATTTATCTATCAGAACTGTGAGTAAACGAATCAGTACTGTAACTTTTGTTGCGATACATTTTTTATATTATCAGTTAGATAATGGAAAGTATTCAAAGATTATTTATAAAGAGGTCGATAAAAGTATTGTTATTTGTAAATACAGAACACCTATTTCATTTCGGTATCGACTAGGCGAATAATTATTATTTGGATACAATTATTATCATAACAAATTTTTTTAAACATAAAAGATTGTTTATTTTTTTAAAAGTTGTTATAAAATAACAAAGGTCTTTAACAAAGAAAAAATGAATGTATATCTATTTAATATAAAAAGTACTTTTTAACGATTGCAATCAAATATATTCGAATACGAAACTAATTAATTTAATAAAATGAATTTGACAAATGTGTATATAGATGTCGAGGATAATAAGAAAAGCACTAGATAAAAAACTCTGTACATTTTATTTATAAAATAATACATATGATTGTCGTTAAAAACTAAATCGTGTAAATGTCAGTGAAAAGTGCTCGCATGTTACATGCTTCACGTGTGTATGATTGCGTGTATAATATAAATTAATAGAGAGAAAGAGAGAACGAATAGCTAAGCCTACAAATTAAATCGAGAATTGTAGACTTCGATAATCTCATTCTACGAATCGCAACTTTTATGGCATTTCCTTTTGTCCAATTCGATTTTATAAATTAATAATAGAATACTTATATATTTTATTATACTTATACGTAATAATAAAATTGTCAGTTTTCCGCGCGGATATATCGATTTTTTTTTTGTTTGCTAAAGTCTATACTGCAGCCATGAAAAATCTCTCGCGCGAAATTGCTAGAGATTATCATAGTAATCTCTAGTAATTATCTTCTTTACAAAAATAATGTAACTCGGTCGAGTTTCCACGAGCAACGAATTCAATTAGCTATTCGTTCTTCACATAACCGTGTCGATGGCGTGTAAAACACCATTCGTTGCGGGCACGTTGTAGGTGACGATATGTCCGTCGTTCACTCGAATTCTTCCTGCAAAGACAAAAAGACAACGTTTATCGATAAACTCGACTGTCGGCTCGTAATATTTTATTAATCCAGTGTCCTATTGTCACGGCGACTTTCACTGTTTTACAAAAACAGTCGCGAAAAACGTCGTAATAGTAATTCCCGGGGAGAAGGCAAGTTACCACGGAATAAAAGTCGGCAGCAGCTGAAAAAATGGCGAGCTCGGCAATAAATGTGCACGGCTGCTCGGGTAAAAATCGGAAAAGCCTGAGCGATGCGAGTATCGGCACGATTTCGCCGGTGGGCTGCTCCAGACAAAAAGCAAAGCGGCCGGGTCTGCCGAGAGACTCGCGGGCCGATGCTATCGCCGCGCTCGCGTTCAGCCGGAGGCTACATATTCATGAAGTGAAGCCGCGGTGGCGTTAAACGACGCCCGCGCGAGCAAGTAGGTTGATTGTTAGTTCCACTGACGGCGCACAATCCATGATCCACGCTCGCCTCCGATTCGAGCGACTCGCTCGCTCGAGCTTTCCATTTTTTTTCTCTCTCTCTCTCTCTCTCTCTCTCTCTCTCTGTCTTCCTCGATCCTCGGATATTTCGTGAGCTTTGCTAATCGCGGCTCATTAAATCTTCCGCGTCGCGGTTACGCGATCGTTTGGCGAAAAAATCACGAGAGAGCGGGAGTCGTCTGGAGCGACCCACCAGGCTAAACGCTAATCCGAAGCGTTCGGCCCAGTCATATCACCCCCCTTCAATTATACGCGATGACTCGCCATCGTATTGTATTTGACGCCGCCGAACCAATGCCGGGTGATGGAGTATCGTTGAAAACGTCGGATATTACCTGGACTAATTACGCGTCGAAGAAATTCCACGCGAAATCAGCTGATCTACACGTAGAACGAAACTTGACTGGCATCATTTCGTCGCTAATGCGCGCGTGCACGCTGCTCTGGACTTTGCAGATCTTTCGGTTGATTTCCTTCAATGAATCCCTCCCAGAGCATGATTTTTCACGTCGACCGAGCAGCCGGGCAAGGCAAGCTTTTCAGCCGTTTAGCCGCGGCAATTAAGCGCGCGCGCGTTACGTTGTTTCGGCCAAACGGCCAGCAATAAAGGTTTACGGTCAATTTTACAGCGCGCGTTTAATCTACTTCGAAGAGAGAGAGAGAGGGGGGGTAGAGAGAGAGGGAGATACAAGAAAAGGAGAAATAAGCTACTGTTAGCTAACGAGCTGCAACTCGTTTCATTATTGTGGTCATTAAGGCGCAGGGGCGGAGGTAAAGGAGAAAAAAAAGTCACAAACAATGCAGGCAGGAAGCGATTCGCGCGACCGCGAATAGGATGGGCTTGCGAAACGCAGCAAAGGATGATCACTTTCTCGGGGAATATATCGCGTGCTCGCGCAACGGTCCCGCGGGCCGCACGCCTCGGTCACTTATATTTATTAAGCCGCGGCTGCAGGCGCGCACTTTCCGCTCGACATTCACCGACCTATTTGCGGCGCGCTCGAATCGCCCTGGGAAGCGAGAGCGAGAACAAATCAAATCAAAGGCGCACCGTTGCGTCGATCGAGCGGCCGATTGTTCGCGGCGTCGGCCGGTGTCAATGGAAAGAGAGACAGTGGATCGCCCTTGCGAAACTGCCGGCGTTCCCAGCATTGCCGCGCCGCGGAGACAGTCAATGGAGCGACTTACCGCCGGTCTTCTGTATCTGCAGGGGCGCGCTCTGTCTGAGCGTCTCCTTCTGATGGTAGTAGCGCATGCCGGCGGTGTAGAGGGTCGTGGGAATCACGTGCCTGAGGACGATCTCCTTGGCGGCCTCGGGCCCGTCCGACTCCTGCCAGAGCGGCGCGGCGGCGCTGCTCTTAGCGCGGGCCTCGGCGAAGGCGGCGTCCGTCGGCGCGAACACCGTGAAGGTCTTGCTGCCTGCGCAGATCGCAGCGAGCGCCGTTGGTCATTGTTCCGCGATGCCCACTGGCGCGCCGATCGCGGAATCGACCAGGTAATTGCGGCGAGGGGCGCGCGCCTCGACGGCAAAGTGGTTATCGAGAGGGAAATGATCCTTCGAATCGCAGCTCGCGAGCCCGCGGCTCGCAAAAGCCCGTGGATTTTAATAACGATCTCATTACTTGACATTCGCGTTGCGCAATGGGCAAGGCAGCGGGAGAACGGCCGCACGGTCGCCCGCGAATGACGCCCGCAATTCTTTTGTTTACGCGCGGAGCCATTACGGAGCCGGATATCGGCTCGGGGCTACGTCCGACGAGCACTCACCCGACAGCGTCTCCTCCAGGCCGGAGACGTGCAGCAGCTTGAGGAAGGTGGCGAAGCGCCGCTCGCGGTCGGCCTGCAGCGTCTGCACCAGGTCGCCCACCGGCAGCGGGAACATCACCCGGTCAATGGCGTGCGCCAGGCCCTGCGGGATCTCCACGTCGCGCTTGTTGGGCGCCACTCGCGCCCCGTTGATGGTCGTCACCTGCTCGAGCCACGCGCTACATGTAGTCCGCCGCGGATCGCAGTCCTCGCGCGCTCCCGCTTACCTTGATGTCGTTCCACTCGTGGTCGTGCATCGAGTAGACGTTGACGCGCAGCTGGGTGCCCGCGAGGCTGACCCCCGTCATCTCGTCCTGCAGGCTGTCGATCTTGAAGGCCCCGGGGACCACGTGGTGCAGCAGCAGCTGTGGAATCGGACAGAGGCTCAGTTCGAGAGCGATCGCAAGCTCGAAGCGACACTCACCCCGCTGAGCAGCCGAGGGTTGTCGCGGAACTTCTGCTCCGCCTTCTCAGGGCCGCCCAGTTGCACGAGCAGCGTGCGGAAGGCCTTGTCCGTGGGCACGAATATCGTGTAGGGACCTTCAACAGAGCGCCGATCGAGGTCGTGAGCGACATCGTCGTTTGGCGCGCCGAGGCCTTGGGGCCTGGAGCAGAGACGCTCGGAGCCAGTTTGCCGGCTCTCGGTTGCGCAAGTCCGATCGCGCGCAATCGCGAACAATGAGACAGCCGCGCCGCGACGACAATTAGCGGACGGCTAATTAGAGCGCGGATCGGCCGTTTGGCGCGCGTGAGAACGGCGCGCGAGGCGGAAACCGGCCGCCGATCCGATCGATCGATCGCGGTCGGCCGCGCGTTCCCGTGGCGCGCGCTAGAGAAAGGCGCGACCCGCTTGACGCCGCTCGACCGACGACACTCACCGGTCTCGTTGAGCACGCTGTCCAAGCCCGACTGGCGCAGGTACTTGGCCATGGCGAACAGGCCCTCCTTCCTCAGCAGGTTCGAGAGGCCGTCGCGGCCGGAAGGAGCGCTGGGCTGGACGGCCGCGGCACCAGAGCTCGCCGACGACGACGGCGACGACCTGGTGGCGGGCGCCAAGGTGGCGGACGGCGCGCCCGACGACAACACGTCGTTGGCGTCGAAGCTCGACGTGTAGAGCGGATACTTGAGGGTGACGGCGGGCTTGGCGGTGGTGCTGATGGAGTTGAGCACGTGGCCGCTGATGGACGAGGCCGAGGTCACGTACTTGTCCCGCGCGGAGACCGAGTTGGGCGAGACGGACAGCTGGGGCCGCCTGGTCGTGGGCAGCGTGGGCCTGAAGGTAGTTGGCGGGCTGCTGGTCGGCGCGTCCGTCGACGCGGGCGGGGCGGTCGCCGCCGCCGGGCTCCTGCTGCTGGGCGGCAGCTTCAGCTCGCCCTTCTTGATGCGCTCGACTATCGAGTCGACGTCGGTGCCCGCGTCCTTGTCCACGTTGCCCTTGACGCCCTGCACCTGATCGCGCAAGTAAAGCTCAGTGCAAACGCTCGCCGCGCGATCGCTCGCCTCGCGCGTTCCACCAACCTTGTAGCTGCCGTCGGGCTGCTCCTCGAGAACCACGAAGGTGACCTTCTTGGTAGGTGCGTTCTGCACGGGGTTCTTCACCTCCTCGAGCTTGCCGTCGATGTTCTGGCGCAGCACCTCGAACTCGCCCACTCCCTTAGTCAACTCGTCCAGTATGAGCTTGGGCGGCTTGAGCGTGGTGGTGTGTGCATTGGCCGGCAGACCGTTGGGCGCGTGGATCACCTGCAGCTTCTTGCCGTTGGGCAGCACGATGTCGCGGGTGGTGACGTTGCGCTCTTTGTCGTCGACGCCCGACTGGGCCAGCGCGATCTTCAGCTGGCGCAGCAGCAGGTCCTTGTCAGGTTTGACGCCGCCGGGCTTCTCGCTCTGGTAGATCAGCTTCACCTGGGGCTTGGTCCTGCCCTGGGCCTGCGACTGTTGCTGCTGCTGCTGCTGCTGGATGAGGGCAAGCAAATCCTTAGGAATCGATTGCTCGTCCTGCACGCGCTCCTGGCGCTGCTTGGGCCTGGGGCTGGGGGTGGTGGTACTGGTGGTGCTGGTGGTAGTGGTAGTGGCGCTGCTGCCGCTGCTGGTGGTGGCGGCGGCGAACTTCTTTTGATGGGTGGCGATCGCGCGCAGGAAGATGTCGTTCTCCGAGGGCGTGATCCTGCGCGCGGTGGGCGAGGGGAGCAGCGGTCCGAAGGTGGTGGTGACCGGCGGGGCGAGCGTGGTCGGCACCGCCGCCGGCAGCAGCGTGGTGCGCAGTTGCTGCTGCTGCAGACGCAGCAGCTCCTGCTGGCGACGCAACTCCTGCTGCTCGAGCAGCAGCTGTTCGCGCTGGCGCTGGAGGAGCTCCAGCTGGCGCTGCTTCTCGTAGTACTCCTGCAGCTGGGCATTCTGCTGCTCGTTGAACAACGTCTGCGGCAGTTCGCCGGGGATGTTGGGCAGCGGGATGGGCGGCAGCGTCTGGTAGTTAAAGGCGCCGCCGAGCGTCGGGTACTGGCTCTTCAGGTCGAACTGCTGCTGATAGACGGGTCCGGAAGTCTGCAGTGCGGCCTGGCCCAGCTGCGAGTTGATCTGTTGCTGCTGCTGCTGGATGCGATTCTGTAGGCTCTGCAGACTCTGCAGCTGCTGCTGGATCTGCTGGGTCTGTTTCTTGCGGTCGACCTTGTACTTGGCCAGCGGCGAGAAGAGCGCGCCGCCGTCCGAGCCGGCCGCTGCCTCCGCGTTGGAGCCGAACTCGCGGTGCTGCTGCACGTCGCTGAGAATCTGGGTCTGCTGGGAGGTCGACAGCCTCGGACGAGGGTCGAGCGGCGAGCGCGTCTGGAACTACGAGGGCAAAGGCTCAGTCGCGCCTGGTCTTTTCCGTGGGAATGAGCGACCGCGAGGCGCGTGCCGGCAAGGCTCGCTCCGTTGCGTTCGCGGTTAGCGGCGCGCCGCGCGAATCACTTACCGTCAAATTTTGTAATCGCCGAAAGTGCGCGCGCGAGCGATTCGTTGGTCGCGCTCGAACGGATCGGGAAAGGGAGAACGAGAGGCGGCTCATGATGAAACGCGAACGCAGAGCAGAGTCAAAGAGTGAAAGAGAGTCAAATCCGCGCTCGAGAAAGTTTTTCGTTGCACTCACAGAGCCAACAATGGCACGCGCCGACGCGACGAGCGAATTCGCATGTCGAAAGAAACCCGGGAGCCGCGCGCTGTAATAACGCCGATTCAATTAAGACTTTACGGTACGGTACTCCGCGCGGCGCTGTCATTCCTAAAGATGCTCCCGCCGAAGCCTCGCCGACCGTGCGCACTCGACTGTCGCGTTGGATTGATACTGGTCGAGGTACCCGGGCGACAAAGCAGCGCGGAGGAAAGCGGTGCCAGGGAAAGATTTAACGGCGCGAGATCGGCAAAAGCGAAAGGCGCGCGCCGTGTAAATCTAATTAAATAGCGCGCGCCAGCGCCAAGCGCAAGCGAGCAGAGGTCGGACGCGAACGCAGCCGTTCGCGTGGTTCGATCGAGCGCGCGCCGGACCGAGATCGTTCCGCCGGCTCTGCATGTGGAAATTAATATATCGTTCGACGGAGGTCCGCTTGACGGATCGGCTGCCGGAACTCTTTGCGTCGATGCGCGCTCGACGGCCGCGCGCAACGCAATACTCGGTCAGTTACGCGAGTTTCGAACGCGAATGCAATGCGGCTCGTTTTCGCACTTTCACACCAAGACGACTCGATGCGAATCCTCGCTTCGCGCGCGCCAACGCTCGCCGTGACGCAATGTTTGTTTTATTCGTTCGTTTTTCCCGCGTAAGGGAGCCGCGTCTCTTTGCTCTTCTTCTTCGCGAGCGTACTCTACATTTTCATTTTTTTTTAAGCGCGCATCGAGGAATTTTCAGTTATGCAAAAGGATTAGAAAGTTTTCGAGACTTTGGGGTAAAAAACTCGGCGGTTCGGCCTGTGAGAAAGCGATCCATGAATATTGATTTCGCCAGCATCTCGCTGAAAAAATCGTGCTCTGATGCAGGGAACCCGTTTACCTGTTTACAGCCAGCATTTCTGCATTAATATTTAAAATTCAAGATATTGCATGTAGCGTCGGCTGTAGGCAATCAATCGAGAGTTTGCCGGTAGTTTCGAGCGATCTCCGAATTCGGAAAAAAGATGGTCGAAATAAGGATATAACGAGCGAGCAGCGTGTATTCCGGGGTGAAATAAGTTGGTCGACACGGAGCTCGGCCTGCACGCAGTCCAGCAGTCCAGTCGTCGCGAGGAGGAATCAAGCGAGGTACATCGAAGTGGCGCCTAGTGCTGGATAGCCTGCACACACGTGTGTGTAGGCCAGGACGAACGATCGCGAGCACGTTTACTCGCGACGAGCATCTGCCGAGCGCCAAGTGCCAGCGCGGCTGCGCACGCGGCGCTCGGAGATTTCCTCGTTACGACACACGCAACGCCTCTTACTTTCCGTCCGATGCTCTCTGCGCTCGCACGTCGATCGGGCGCACGCGCGCCCGGCGCGTCTGTCTGTCGTCGGGTGAAAGGAGGCGCGGACGATGAACGGCCGACGAGCACGCGCGCGCTCGCGAACCGGCCACAATCGTCGCCGAAAACTCGCCGAGGTAATGGCAAAGGGGACGTTACTCGCGCTGGGATAGCTTCGGTAAGCCGCATTCGCGCGGCGGAAAGCGAGAAAGTCGTGCTTATACCCGATGGGAGCGACGCATATTAATTTTTCCGGAATCCTCCCGACTGACAATAGAGTTAACGCTCTCGGCTTACACGCGCGTTCCTCGCTGAAAGAAAGAAAGAAAGAAAGAAAGAAAGAAAAAACTAATTGCTGCCTACCTGGAAATCCCATCCACGCGCGCACGTGTTGCTCTAATATGTACCACTTTATCACGTTCGTGAGAGATCTGCCAGTGCCGATAACAAAGCCCACCATTCCTACGTAACACTTTCGTTCCCAGAAATTTTTCGGACCTTTCTCTCTCCTCTCCGTCCCCCGCTCTCGCGCTCCTCCGTTATATTTAAGCTTTTTTTTCCACTTTTCCCTTTTTTTCTAAAGCGCACGTGCCCACGGAAAGCAGTTTTAACGCGGCATTCACACCGGGAGAAAGTTTTTAGCCGACTCTTAATATGATAAACATTGCTCGTGGAAACTCAGTTACGAGGCTCGCTGGCTCGTCCGTCTTTTTCCCCACGATGCACTTGCAAATCTAATTGAGAGCATTGCGCGTGGATAACAAATATAGCGCTGGAAAGGCGAACGCGAGAGGCGTAAAATGGTTTGTTTATTCGCGGAACGAAATGGAACAACGATCGAAAGCCCGAGATTGCCATCGGTAAGAGCATCGCCGTTAATATCCGCGATCGCCTCTGCTTTTCCATTTTCTCCGCTCATGTCGCCAAGTTCACGGACGACACATGTCCGCAGCGCACGCCGTGGCATCGAGATGGAGGCGAAGAGCAAAGCGAGCGTCGGATCTTGATCGTCCTCGGGGGGGGCGAAGGGGGCAGGCTCCCCGCGCGTAACGAGATCCACGATTCCCGGTGCGCGACACGCGAATTTTGTCATCCTTGCAAACTCTGACTTTCTTTCTTGCTGCGCGAGCGCGAAGCCGACTGACGCTGTGCCTCGCAGAACTTTCCGCGCGCTCGTCACGCCGAGCGGATCGATAGACAGACGTCCTTCCGGCCGACCTTCGCTCGGGCGCGCGGAGAACTTGGAGCGTTCGGACATCGTCGATGGGAAACACCGTTTGCCCGTCGCATCGTCGGCCGGAGCAGCGCGGTTGCTCGTTACGCAACGAGGGTGCGCTTTTTGGAAAATGTTGAAAAATTGCCGGCGTAATTTTCTCGCCATCGTCTCTTCGATCGCGCGCAGCTCCGCGCGGCTCCGCGCGGCTCCGCGCCGGCTACTTAGGTATGCAGTCCAGTAGCGGCTCTTTCCGCGTGTCCCGGCTTCCTGCGCGAGCTGTCAGCGGCCAATGTCCCGTGGTTAGCGGCGAGCGCGCGAGCCGTTCGCTCGGAACGGAAAAGTGAAAAGATGCTGTAACGACGAGCTGCGCGCGACAACGAATTATCGTCATCGCAAGAGAGTCGATGAACCGCGCCGACGATTTCGCCTTGTTTCTCGTCGGACTATCCCCGGAGGCGACGAAAAATTCGAATTTCTCTTTGATTACCAAAGGAAACAAAACGGGAAAGAAGACAAATGGGACGATGAGATGCACGACGAGGAAGAAAAAAGTAGGACTCGATGAGTTGATTACAGCGGCACGGTACAAGTGCTGCTTGTGCGCTCTCCGCGAATCGAGCGGAGGTTCGATTTGACGCGAAGAGACCGAGCCGGAATCGCCCGAGATCGCGCGAGCCGCGTTGGCTAACTGGGAGCGCACAGACTCGCTGTATTTCTATACGCGGTTAGCTCGCACGACTTGTCGTCGACACGACTCGCATTGTATTCAATTTTCTTATCGTTGCCGTGCTGCCGTCGCGATGGGACTCCGTTCGCAGCGGATACTTTGATTTACGCGCGCCATTAAATCTCATTCGCCGCGGCGCGTAATTATGCAATTGGAAAATGAACGCACGCCGCCGCAGCGAAATGGAAAGCAGAGCGCGTCAGTGTACATCGGGCTCGTCGACCCACCGTTCTCGATCGACCTGCTCTTTGCGCGCCACAATTACAAAAGTGAAAATTGTAATCGCACGGGTCGCTCGAAGGAAAGGCTTTAGCGGCGCAGGACTCATCGGGCAATTAAGCGCCTCTCGGTTGCGTGTGTGCAATCGACTTTCTTCTACCCCACTCCTCGCCTCGTCGCGGCGAGGAGCTCGCGAGCGCGCACGAGAGAGCGATCCTCCGTCCGCTCGTACTCCGACGCACCGAAAGGGTCAGTCCCGTCGGATTAGAGCGCATCGGAAGCCGCTCGGGAGAAAGCGTCTTTCCGCCATGTACGTACACATCCTTCACCTTCACCCGACTTGCCCCGTCGGCGCCAGCCGCGCGCTCCTTTCCTTCATATCTGCGCTTATTGTTACATCCCGTAGACTTTCCCGTGGCCGCGCCGAATCAACAAGGATTCGTCGACTTGCAGCTCGGCCGTTCGCGACTAATTTGCCGCGGTCCTCGTGCCACGCGAGACCTTGCGGCTCAACAAGATGCTGCGTTACATTTCGTCGCCGGCTATAACTGCACGAGCTTGTCGCTTGCGAATTTGCAAGAGACCACTGTCCAACCTAACTAATGGGTTTCCATAGTTATTTAGCTCTCGTTAGCCGCGTGTAATGAGGCACGGCGAACACGTGTCGCCGTTGCTGCCGCGATCACGATGAAATTTCCGTGATTACGCCGACCGACACCGCTACTCGCGTGGGATTTGCGGGACCATTGCACCGGACGCGTCGCCTCCTCTCGTCTCTTTTCACTTTTCCAATAGCCTGCGCTTTCCTCTCTCGCGTCGATTTGTCTCGCTGATCGTGTGATGTTTTCGCCCGTGAGATGCGCCCTTGTACCGATGAGTCGCGCGAACTTGGACCGTTTGGCGCAACTTCCCGCGACTGCGCCTTTTCCCGCTCGCTCGCGGCAAGTTCGATGAGCCGCGTCGATGGACCGAGGAACGTGGCAGTGTGTTACTGGTTTCGCGTGGCAGTCCGGTTCGCTCGACCGACTGCGAGCGCGCACCCACGCCAAGATCATTGCCAAGTTTGTACCCTGGCGTGCCGCTCGGGAAAAGCGGCCGCGTTGCGGAAAAGCAAGTCCGGAAGGTAAACGCGATTACGCGCGCCGTAAAATTCGCCGGTGCGTAAAACGCAATGCGTCACAAACGCATTGTGCGCGCGCGTGAAAGTTTTCGCCCGAGCGCTACTTTTGACGCAGGAAGCGAACGCTCGCGAGACGATTATCGAGCGAGTCGCGCGTCCGCGAGCCGAGCAAACAACGCGTGGCGAACTTTCTCGACGGCACGCACGGTCGATAATGATAAATGTGTGCGCGAGCGGCGATGTCGTCCCGCGAGGCGCGAGGCGTGGGCGATGGCGTAGAGAGATGCGAGAGCGATGCGAGAGCGACGCGAGAGATAATCGCGATCGAGCGCGCTCTGTCCCGATTATTGTCGCGACCTCGATGTGACCGCGTGAGAATCGGTCCAGCGGTGGCATTTCACTGGCAGCGCCCGAGAACCGCGCGGGTACAGGTACGCCCGGGATCGCTCTCGCGCGCGTGCAAATTACGGCCGCACACCGACGAAAGACGCGAGTAGGCAAATCGTGGAATGTCCGTAGCGCCGGCAAGAGAGCGCGCCCGCGGACGAAGAAGCTACTCCGCCAGAAGCGCAGGACGGCCAGAGGGGGAGCAACGACTTCCGCGTCGAACGGAAGCGGCGGCAGCGCGCGAACGGTACGCGTCCCGACTGCAGGCGGTCGCGTCGCCGCGCGGGTGAAAGCCGCGGAAGATTTAATCCGCGTGTCAACGCGCAGCAGCCCGCTCGATATATCGCGGCGCGAATCGCGTCTGCAGCTAACAAATTGCCGCTGCTCGCCTCGAGAAACGTCTCGTTAATGGATCGAGGCGAGCCAACGCTATCGACCGTGACAATGCACTCCAGTTTCCGTTGACCGTTTCTCCCCTGCCACCATTTCGGTGCGCGGCTTATTAAATGAGCGTTATGCAGCATCGGGAAACGCTGCGAGATGTGTCCGCTGCGTTCCGTGTCAGTGGGCGCCGCAATCGCTTCGCGAACACCGTCGATTCCAAGCTCGGCTCGGCACGAGCGTCGACCGCGGGCGCGCGCGTCTTTAATCGCTCGCGGCAGACGTAATCTCGCGGATTGCACGACGCTTGGAGGCTGAGCGAGGCGGCGCACTGTGATATAATATCGCATTCTTAAATGTCGCGCGCGCCATCTCCGAAATATCAGTGATTAAAGGTGTCGCTCGTGGGCGAGCGCGCGGGGCGTTAAACGCCTCGGCCGATCAGTCGGCGAATTTGGAAAGGGTAATTGCCAGCCGCTGCGCTGTCATTATCGTTGCCTTTCCATTGTGACATTGCGCTGGTGCGCCACTGCTCCGCGAACAATCCTCGAATCCGCGCGAGCTTATTAAAAGCGCGGGGCTTGCGTAATCGCGCAGCCGAGAGTCGGGCGCGCGCGCGCCGCGTCGCCGTGATTTGAAATTCAATCGAGCGCTCGCGCGCAAACGGGAGCTTTGTTGAGATAGCCGTAAACAAACGCGCGCGAGTGCGGCTTACGTAAGTGCGTGCGTCGATGCGCCGGGCGCCGTAACGCGCCACGGCTACGGCTGGGAACGGCCGAGTTTTCACAGACCTTGACTACGGAGCCGAGCGCGCGCGCACGACCTGCCCACGGGGCGCAGCTGCGCGTGCACGAAAGTGCTCGCCGAATCCGACTCCTGACCCTGCCTTCGCTCGCCGGCGAGCCGCGCCGTAATTGCTCGTCCGACCAGCGGCGCACGACTGACGCCGTTTCGATTGCCATTTCGCCGACGTCCTTCTCTTTGTTCTTTTTCTTTCGCGAACGATCCTCGCGCTGATTTCGCCGAGGAGCAGAAAGACCGTTGCCCCACCGTTGACCGCCGAGAGCAGCAGCAACCACGCATTCTCCGGTCGGTCGTCGGTCGAAACGTAGTTAGCCCGCGCCCAGAGCGGTCGTTCGCTGGCCAGCCCAGCCGCGAGTTCAGCGCCACTACCGAGAGAGACAGATAGCCATCGGATCGTTGCGCAAGCGCGAGCTGCAAGGCGCAACGCTCGGTTATCTCGCGGCTCACGCGCTCGGCTTGTTTGTATTCGCGTCGGGTATTCGCTCGCCAACTGGCGGGTCAATGTTGGCGCGCTCGCGCTTTTCCCAGCAGCCTGCCTCGCGGCGCACGGATCGATCTCGGCGCCGACTGCGCGGCCTTTGCCATTTGTCCGCGTTATTGGTTCGACTCGCACGCGTAATTGCCGACGATTGCGCTCGGCTGGCCGATCTGGGAAACAATTAGGCGCGGGAAAATCGAAGGCGCCCCCGCGCGCCAACTCGGATGGACGAGACGCCGGCAGCGAGCTGCGATCCAACTCGGTACGCGCGTGTCGCTCTCGTCGACTCCCGCGCCGAGCGGAGATGCGCTGAAATTTTCTCGCGCGCGCGTGCGGGCCCGCCGATTGAATGCTAATTACGGCGGATATTCGACTCGTGGCGGGCGAGAGTCGCGCTGGGAAGCGCTCCCACGCGCAGTCACGACGGCTGCGCTCGCGCCGCGACCAAGTTTCTCCCCGGCGGACTGTCCGCTCGCCTACGTGGACTTCTCGCGACTCGCGTGTGGCACGACGACAGCGAAGAGACAGCGCGGCAATGACCGCTAATGACAGTCGAGGAGCCCATCACGGCTGCGTGCGCGCGGCGAGATGAGCGACCCATCATCGTCGCGGCACGACGACGACGACGACGGCGACGCAGCCACGACACACGCGCGCGTGAAAGTTCTCGCGGTCGGTTTTCAAGTTCGGCCAATCTCGCGCTCTCGCGGCCTTGCGTCGCTGGCCATTCTCGCGCACCGGCGCGCGATGAAGATGCCACGAGCGCTTTTCTTTTCCACGACTCAATTTGCATTTACCGCCGAAAGTCGCTTTCGCGTCGCTCGAAAGTCAAAACCACCTCGACCTGGCGTCCAACGCGTTTTGCAGAGAAAACGCGTCTCGCGGTCCGAGTCCTCGACTTTCGAGTCGCGTCGTTTCGATCGGCAAAAACTACGTTCGTGCAATGGCCATACTCACTTGCTGCAAGGGCGCGTCGGACGTCAGAATCGAGGGGCCAGCTGCGGCATCAGCGAGCTCGGCGAAGCGCAGGAGCAGCAGGATCGCCGCGAGGCAGTAGCACACGGGTAGCCTTCGCCACATGGTGGCGAACGTGCGATCGTTGCAGCTTCCCAGGAAGGTAGGAGGGGGAGAGGGGCGAACAACGCACGAGGAAGCCTCGGACGATCGATCGGCCGATACGGCGGAGCTTAGCTCGGTTGCAACGATCGCGTCGAGCTTGGAAGAGGAGACACACTGGTGAGTGCGAGTGCAGCGCAGAACGGAACCGGTGTTGCGTGGTCGCCGAGTTTCGCTGGCGATGAGAGGGAGCTCGAGACTGCAGGAGATCGGGAAACGTCCGGGAGTTTTACTTCTCCGGCGGCTAGGGAAGCGCCGTTCGAGGTGGGAGAGCGCAGAGCAGCGCTGTGGCCTGCTCTCGCGCAGACCTGCCTACCTGCATGCACGCGCCACTCGCGTCTCTTTCTCTTTCGCTCTTTCACTCGGCAGCTTGCGGGACGCGCGCGCGCGCGCCCGAAATAGTCTCGTCGCTCGTTGCCTTTGATCCTACCGATGGCTCGGGCCAAGTTGTTCGACTCGGCGGGGAGCTCGAGCGATCGACAACCGGTTGCACGGCATCGAGGCGCGAGACACGGTCTGCCAGTGCAGCAGCGCTCAATTAGCACTGCCGAACGTCGCACAACTCATATAAAACTGATGCGCAAGCCTATCGCGCCGATCACTCGTCACTTTGACGCTCGTGCCGACGTCGATTGCCCAATGTATTTTGCGCTCCGGTAGCCCGCGGAGGGCAGCCTATCGAAACTGCCGTCGCTCGTTACCGGAATAGCCGACCTAACTCGCCGATTGCGACTATGGCTGTAAAACTGCCGCCAAGCCCGAGACATTGAATTTAAAGAACTTCGCCGTTGATTCTGTCGATGCGTTGTGAAATTTTTTTTTTCGTCCACCTTAACGCGACTCATGCCGACGACGTTCAATTAACGGACGCAGTTGCAGTCAACCGTTGTAACAAGCAATTTTGGTCACTAGCCAAACGCGTGCATCCATAGAGAACTCATTGGTTTCGATAGAGCCGTAAACCCGGTGAGATTCCAATAGAAACACAAACATTTGCTTTCTCGCGCAAGTGCGCGCTTGTAAGGGGGAGAGGGGGGAGTTCACGATCGAATAAAGCGCGTACGGGATTTCGAAAGAGAGTGATTAGCTTTGGGATGCCCGACGCCGCTACCAATAAAAGTAGCGGTAGACAGCGAAAGTGCGAGTAGCAGCAGCTGATGAACTCTTTCCTCCTGCTGTGCTGAGCTACGCCATCGAGAGAGATCCGATTTAGAGTGCATCTCTCTCTGTCTCTCTCTTTCTTTCTCTCGAAAAAACGAAAGTTTCATATATGTGTCGAAATAGCCCGAGGACAGGTCAGCACTTTCATCCGTGCGCCCTTCCGCTCGACGATCGTGTCGCTTCCATTTCTCGAAGTTCGCCAATTTGGCGCGACTAGAAAGCAATCAGCCGCTCGAATTTTTGAAATATCGCTCCTTCTCGCAGAAATGCAAAGAAGAAGAAAGAAGCTTTGCATAAGCAGTCGAAAGCCGAGAGGCGAGAGAGAGAGAGAGAGAGCCACGCAGGGGATGCGCGAGGCCGTTTAAGGAAAAGAGATTACATCCTACTTTCTAGACGCGATTATAAATGCAACGATCGAGCGCCGGCAGAGAGTCTGAATAAACAGAGACGAGAGCGCGGCATAAAAAATGATCGTCCATTATATCCAAGAAATCGGCAGAGTGAAGGAGAGAGACAACGCCGGCGGATCCGTTTTTCCCCCGCGAAAGCAGCAACAGAAGAAGACCGAAGTTGCGCAAAGCGCGCGAGCGACGTTTTTATGGCTGTATGACGAATGCGCCGTGCGGCAACTGCAATCACAGCCGCGGAAAAGTATGACTTTCTTCCGCGGGCAACGTCGCGGGGCATCATTCCGCTGCGCACTCTGGCCCGATGATTGCAATTAGTCGGTGCGCAGTGTTGCGTAAAAAAAAAAGGAAATAAGAAGGAAAAATGCGCGATACGGTCGAGCCGCCGCCGCGCGCCTGAGAACGACCGGCCGCGACCCGAGTGTGTGCATTTCGCGCACACTCTATAGAGATATTTGCCGCCTTGCTTTCCTCAAACAGCACTGTGGAAACATTTATCTTGCCCGCGCTGCTTTCGAACAACACTCATTTGGCAGCTGTTTATCCCGCGAGTTTCGGAGCGTGATGCATCGCTTTTGTGCAACGCCGCCAAATCGACTCTCGTTCCGGAGCATTGCGCGCGCTACCGTGCTGCCGACCCTCGGCTGCATTTCTCTTGCGAGCGAACGACTTAATCGGCGTTTTCGATTACAATTCGTCGCGACAATTAAAAGGAACGTAATGAAGTAATCGCTCAACGTCGAGAATCGGAGAGAGGACCGAACGAGCTGCCGCGGTTCCGGACTGCTTTCAAACGTCACGTTGAAATTTAGCAAGGATACGTCGGGGCCTGCAATTAGGCTGTCGTATTATGTGCTCCGCGCGGCGTGTGGCACGCGAAACAGCCTCGGCAGTGGAACAATGGCGATATTAGCCGCGCCGTTGCCGCTCGGTCGAGCGAGCGATGGGCCGCCGGCGACGGCCGACTGTTTCCTCCGCGTGCGCCCTCTTCGCGATCGTCGCGCTCGCTCCGTCCTCGCCGATGCCATCGGCCGCGAAGTGCGTCGCCAGTTTTTTCGCTTCTTCGGCACCGACCGCGCTCACTACCACCGACAAAGCCCCGCAGACGCTGCGAGCAACGCGCGATAATTAATGCCAAGCGCGGCTCCACGTTGTGGCCTTGTTGCAGTCTCATCTTTCCGCGCGCCGCACGCCATTGTTACTCGCGCGGATACGCGATGGGCTCCGCGCGCACCAAGTTCAGTTTTCTGCGACGCGCGCGGCGAACAGCGACGGATGAAGATTGTGCTTGCACTTGTCGCAACTGCCTCCGCGCGCTCTCGCGTTACGCGACCGCAGACTTTTCAAGCTCCACCGCTTCCCAGTCGAAACAATCGCAATTTTCACCTGCTCGCGCTCGCACCCACAATTATTACGGCGCGCGGTTCGCCGTTTTTCGCCCGCGTTGCGCAAAGCCGCGCTCGCGCGCTTTTCCGCGGCGAGCCGGCCTTTTCACTCGTAATTGCTCGCCGCGATGGACTCCGTTACACGCCCAAACGATCGCTCGCCTCCACTCCGCGCCGAAAGCCAAAGCGATGCCGGGAAACGAAATCGCGGCTCGTCGACGATCGCGTCTCGCGGCGTGTTTTCACGGGCAACCGAAATAATCGCCTCGCGCAACCAATCGGCGACAAAGTTGCGTTACTTTTCTTCTCTTTTCTTTGCGCAAGCAGGCGGTGCGCTCGAGTTTTAAGGCCCAGTTTCGCATTTGGTTACGCGTCGAGGGCATTCGACGTTGCAACACGCGCGCGGACGCGCGTATGTGAACGCAGCTACGCTAGAAAACGGGCCGCGATTATGAGGGACGAGTCTTGTGTTCGCCGGCGGCGCCGCACGGAAGACAAGTGGCGTTCGAGCCGCTGCTCCCAGCCTTTTCCTTGGCCGTTCCTGCCGAGAGCGAACTCGTCGTTCGCGCCGTTAAACTTTACGAGCTTTTCAGGCAACAATCGGAGAAATCCGCTTATCGCGCATGACAATCGAATATTTGCGGAGCCGTCGGCAGGCGAAGCGGCTCTTTTTATTCGACGCCTGCTTACTGCGGATGTTTAATAGATTCCTTGGCGCCGTTGCTGAATGGCCCCCGCGGAGAAAGTCTCGCTTGTCGTCCTCCGTATTCGGCCTTGTTTTTTCGGATGAGAAACGCCCGGATGTATTGGCATCGCGCCTCCTGCTGTCCGTGGACCGTGACGCTTTGTCGCGTGCGAAAACCGTTACAAAATTAACAATTTAAATAAAACGTTTTGCGCCTGCAGTAGTCCCGATTTTTACTTCGGTGCGTCTCCAATTTTCTGACCGTTCGATTTTTCCTCAAAATTCGTGCCGCTTGCTTGTTCTGGATGTTTATTTATTAACAGTGAAGTGCTTCTCCGTTCGAATTAATTTAGCAAATTTTTTCGATACCATAAGGCATTGTGGTATCAAGTAGATGTCGCTTTTGTTCAGACCTCCCATTCCCTTTCAATGTAAGATCAGTATTGTATAGATTCCTTTTTGCCATAAACTTATAACAAATAATTATTATAAGGTTGCAGCTTATGATCAATTGATTTTTCGGTTTTTAATAAGAAACGTGTCGAGCCTTCGTTTACTTTACTTTGGGTTTACTCCAATACGAATACGCGCGAAATTACCGTTTCCAGTGGCCGACATAAAACGTCTCTGCGTTACCGACTTTATTGTCGATAATCAACTGTTTAGCGCTATTATTTTGATTTACCAATATCCGAGTAAAAATTACAACAATACAAATCGTTTCGAGCACGAAATAGTTCATGCTCGTACACAGCCCCCATTACCCATTTCGGAGTGATGAAAGCACAATAAAAATAAATAACCGCGAATGCTATTCAAAGACGTGTTTATTAATAATGTATAAAGATCAACAACAATTTTAGAGCATTTGATATACATTCGTAACTGATCACTTAAAAAAAAGGAGAGTATTTACAAAAGTATTGGAAGCAAAGTACGTCTACATGAGTGTAATAATATTTTGTACAGGTGAACGTAGCTGTGTTAACGATTTTCCATTGCATCCTAAGTAGCTACGTGAATAAGCTTCGCTAACCCCCTGAGTTAGTGAGAATTTCGGTGAGAAAGACCAAGAAAATTATTGTATGTACAACGTTTCTAAGTTAGCGCTGACAGCTTTCACAGCTGCTCGTCCATTCGCGCAAATCTCCTGAAATCCGTCACGCTAGCTTCCAGCTTGGAGCCTACTCTAGCCACCCGTAAGCAGCACTCTTGTATTTACAATATTTGTCTTTAGCGCGTCTATTGTCGCCGTAGCCGTGGAGCCAAGGCGGTGCGCGCTCAGCCGAGAGCAGAGGCCCAGCCGCACGCGGTCGCTGCGCCTCCGAGAGCTCGGCTGGAGCCCCGTAGCCGGTCAGAGTTTGGTGGTCGCGTGCAGTTTGATGTAGTGCGCCTTGCGCGCGACCTCGAGCTGCTGGGCGGGCACGAAGCACTGCGGCGGCGGCGGCGGCGAGGGCGGCGCCAGCCGGCGCTGCTTGCCGGTCCTCCTGACGAAGAGCCGGCCGACCAGGAAGGCCAGGGCCGCGAGCACGCACAGCACGACGGCGAGCAGCAGCAGCAGCAACAGCGGCGACGACGACGAGGACGGCTCACCGCCCCGACGGAAGGTCTGCACCTCGACGCAGCGGGCGTGGCCCGGGCCGGGGCCGGCCCCGGGCGCCGAGCGGTCGTCCACGCTGGCGCAGACGCGGTAGCGGCCCGGCGACAGGCCCGACAGCGTGGCCGGGCCGGAGCTGCAGTTGAGCCGCTGGCGGTGCACCTGGCCGGACTCGGCGGCGAACACGTCCAGGTCGACCTGGCAGCCGCCGCGGTCTCGCGCGGACACGGCCACCTCCACCTGGGGACAGGCGCGCGCTCGGGTCAGCGGGGGCTCGGGCGCGGCGGCGGTGGCGCGGGCGTACCTTGAGGCAGGCGTCGCCGGAGGCGTTGACGCGCAGGCCGGCGATCTGCGGGCGCGACTGGCGCTGCTGCGGCGGCCCGTCGGGCGCCAGGTGCAGCGTGTCCTCGAGGCCGATGATGTCGCTGCAGCCGAGGCCGAGCGAGAGCTCGTCGTAGACGGCGCTGGGCACCATCAGCACCACGCAGTAGCGGTAGCGGTGGCCCGGCTGCAGGCGCACGCTCGTCGGCAGGCTGACCGGCAACGAGCAGGGGTTGCGCATCAGCCGCGAGTCGCAGTGGATGGCGTGCGAGACGATCTGCACCTCCTTGTCGCCGAGCGCCTCGTACACGATCAGCGTGTCGCAGGTGTAGCGCTCGGTGCAGGGCTCCACGCGCCACAGCAGGTCCGCGCCGCTGCTCTCGTCGAAGTGGAACTCCTGCAACGAGCGTGGTCGGGAGCGCGTTCGGCGAGCGCGTTCGGCGCGCGCGGTCGGGCGCTACTCACGTGCAGCGTCAGCTGAGCCGCGGCGAGCGGCAGCCGCGTCATGACGGGCGGCGACGGCTCGCCGCAGAGCAGGCTGCCCGGCGGCACTTGCGCCAGCACGCCGTTCTCCAGCGCGGGCGGCGTGGCGCACACCGCCGACAGCCTGTCCTCGCTGCCTAGGCTGGAGTTGGCCAGCCAGGCGGCGAACTCCAGCAGGCTGCAGTCGCAGTTGAGCGGGTTGTCGGCCAGCGACAGGCTCTTGAGACGCAGCTTGGCCACGGGCAGGTCGCTGCTCACCATGGAGATGTCGTTGTCGTCGAGGCGCAACTCCTCCAGCTTGCGCAGCGGCACCACCAGGTCGCCGTTCAGCGAGCGCAGGAAGTTGTGCGTGAGGTCGAGGCTGCGCAGCTGCTCCAAGTGGGCCAGCGACGCGCTCGATACGTCCACGATGCCGTTGTAGGCCAGGTCCAGCCGCGTCAGCGACGACAGCTGGCTGAACGCGTGGTCCTCGAGCACGTCGATCTGCGGAAGGACGAGCGGCGTCGGACATGAGCGGGTGTAAGCGGGTGCAAGCGGGTGCGAGCGGGTGCGAGCGGGTGCGAGCGGGTGCGAGCGGGTGCGAGCGGGTGCGAGCGGGTGCGAGCGGGTGTACGCACGCACGGCGGCCGACCGACCGACCTGGTTGTGGCTGAGGCTCAGCGACGACAGGCTCTTCATGCCCCGCAGAGCGCTCTGGTTCACCCGCTTCAGCTCGTTCTCGGCCAGGCTCAGCTGGCGCAGCCGCGGCATCGCCGGCAGCAGGCCCTGGCCAAGCGGCCCGCTCAGCAGGTTGGCCGACAGGTCGAGCTCCTCCAAGCGGCGCAGGCCGCGCAGCGCCGACAGCGCCGCCGTGGTCAGATGGTTGCCGTGCATCTTGAGCGACCTGAGGCCGGGCAGCGCGGCGAACGCCTGCGGCGACAGCTGCGACAGCAGGTTGTACGACAGGTCCAGGTAGCTGACGTTGCTCAGAGCCTGCGCAATTCCAGCCTTGTCTCAACAGAGCCGCCAGCGGATCGCGAGCTCCGCGCGCGAGCGTACCTGAAACGAGCTGGCCTCCAGCGTTCTGAGCTGGTTGTGCGACAGGTCGAGTCTCTCGAGGCCACGCAGCTTGGCCAGTGCGACGCTAGGCACCGCGTCCAGAAGGTTGTTGGGCAGGCCGAGGGCCTGCAGGGGCCTCGCCAACGCGGTGAAGGCGTTCTCGCTGAGCTGTCGCAGCTCGCCGGTGGACACGACCAGGCCGTGCAGCGCCACGTCCTCGAGGAAATTGGCCGGGAGCGCGGTGATCCCCGACAGCGTGACGTCCAGCAGGGAGATGGCCCCCGGACGGCTGTGCCGCAGGTGCTGCGCGATCGTCTGCGAGCACGCCAGTCGGCTGTAGGGAGTGTGCTGCGTCGGCGCGGGAGCCGGCCGCTTACCCGAAGGGCAGTCCTGTCGCCGATGCACCTGAGCGTGTGCGGGAAATCGCAGGAGCACTCGAGTCCCGGGCCCGTTATGTTGGGGCACTCCCAGGCCGCCGCCGCCGCCGCCGCCGCCGCCGCCGTCGCCGCGTCGTCGATGGGCTTGGCTGCGGCGGTTGGACTCGGGGCGAGCGTTGACGGCGGCGGCGGCGGCGGCGGACCGATTGGCGATGCGGTCCGCGTTGGCGGCGGCGCTCCCTCGCCGGAGGATCCGTTCGGCGTGGCGCCGATGAGCAGCCAGCAGGCCGCGATCAACGCCCCCACCAGCGCGGTCCTCCTTCCACACGTATCCGGCATCCTGGACGGTCATTCGCTTTTTTTCATCATGGCACTTTTGCGCCCGACATTTCAATCGGCATGCGCGCTGCCGCTTTCGAACGCGCGTGGGCGTCGCACGTGGAATTCCAAAATAAATAAAAACAACGTGGGCGCACTTCACGTTTGTGCAATTCCTTAAGAAGATGGACGAATAAGCGAAACATAACCAATCAAAATTGACAAGTGCTGACTTTCCAAAAAATTAAGAAAAGAAAAAATAAGTAAATAAAAAAATAAAGTAAAAGCTAAAAAATAGTAAAGTTCAATGGGCGAGGCACATTACGCGCGACTGTGGCTGGAGGCGTGCGGAGATCTCGAAAAGCTGATGGCGGACGACAAGGTGGTCCAGGAGGGCGAGCCGATCGAGGACAGCGAGGTCGCAACGAACGCCGTGTTGAAACTCTATTTTCGGTAAAGCAATCCTCGCGCTCGCGCGCGGTAACGCGATCGTCGGGCGGCAGCGCGCGCACGGAATCGGCTGTACGCGCGCGCGCGCGCGCTTCAATGTCGCGCCTGCTCCAGTTACCGGCGAATGGTGCGGCGCCTGACGAGCTGCCACGACCAGATTGTCCAACCGCAAATCCGAGAGCTGCTCGGCAAGCAGCTGGATTGCTCGATCGCGCGCATGCTCGAGTGCCGCCGGGAGCTCGTCGACCTCACCTGCCTCGAGTGCCCGTAATTACTCGCTCGCCGGCAGCCCCGGGCGCGACTCGGCTCGCGGCCCGGTGGAGCCTCGCTGAACGAGCCCACCCTGTCCGTTAGATGGCCCCACGACGTGCTGCTCGACATGAAACTCACGCCGGAAGACGTACGGCTGACGGCGCCGGCCTACGACGCGGCGGCTCGCGAGGCCGAGGCGGCGCGGCGCAGAGGAGTCGTCGAGGCCGCAGCCAGGCGTGAGTCGCGCTTCCAATTACCGCGCTCGTCGTGTCGCCTTGACGGAGCCGAAAGCGACTTGTCGCTCCGCGCTCGTCGCTCGTTGGCGGAGCCGCCCAGGCTCTGCCAGCTGGCGCTTTCAAAGCCGAAGGACATTTGAATACAATGCCCGTGGCGGCGTCGGTGCGTGCCTGAATGCATAATTTAGCGTCCGTCTCTCTCCCGCTCTCTCTCTCTCTCTCTCTCTCCTCCCGGCCACGGCCCAGCGATCGAAGACGATAGCGCATCGGAAGTGTCGTCGCTGCAGACCTACGCGTCCGAGGCCGAGGGGTCGAGGACGGGCTTCCGGACGAGGAGACCGAGGGCCAAATCCCAGGCGACGGTCCCAGTCGTGGACGTCGCACCCGTGGAGACGCCCGAGAAGAAACGCCAGTGCGAGGCTGTCACGCTGATCCAGAGCCACGAGCGGGCCAGGGTCGGCAGACGCGCCGCCCGCGCCGGTACGTCCGAGTACTTTTGCGGCGCGCGTCGGCCGAGCGACGAGGCGAACGAGCGAACGAGCGACGAAGCCGAGTCGAGGCTCGGCCGCGTGGCGCCCGGTCCAGCGCCGAATAAGCCGCTCGCCCGGGCGATCTGCCGAGCAAGGAAAATGAATTATGGAAATGAGAGGCCGATCGAGGAGAACCGGCCGACCGTTATCTACGTGGGCGATGTCACGCGCGCGCGTCGGATCCAATCCCACGGGCGAAACCGGATCCGTGCGCGTGTGTGCGGAGGGGGACGAGGCATCGCGGTACTTCCGGTGCTCGGTGCGGTTCAGTCGCCAGCTGCTTTTCGGGAAACCCGTCCGACTTTCTTTCCGGCCGCGGCGGCCTCGTCTCGGGCTTATCGTTGCGGGATCGCTTGTCTGGAAAGCGCTGCATAACGAGCCGCGGGCGACGCGCTCGCGGACGCTCTCGCTGCACGCATCGCCGTCGACGGCTGTCGCTTCGCTCGCTCGCTCGCCGACACGGGCGCACGCGGCTTGGGGATACGGCTGACCACGGGATCGTCCGCAGCGGTCGCCGATCGCGAGCTGCGGGCGAGACTGGCGATGGACGAGCTGCGGCCACGCACGGCGACGCCAGCCGAGCAGACGAGGGCCGCCTCCGTGATCCAGCGGGGCTGGCGACGCCTCCGCGCGCGTCTCCACTTCGAGCGGCGGATCGAGCAGCTGGAGGAGCTGCTCGGCATGACGATGCCCAGCTGGAGGCCCCGCGACGCCCAGCTGCTCGGCGAGCTGGCTTTCCGCGAGCGGCTCGACATGCAGCTGCGCGCGGCCGAGCTTCGCGACCGCGAGGTCGCCGCCCAGCGCGAGCGGCTGTGGCAGGTGCGCGGCCCGGCCCTCGTCGAGGACGTGCGCGACGAGGTCCGCCAGTGGCTGCTGCTCTGGTTCGACGAGTTGGGCCACTTCGACTCCGTGCCCGCGCCCGAGGACGGCGGCTCGCTGCTGATCGCCACGGGACAGGTGCGCACGCCGGCCGAGTACTTGGCCGCGCCGGCGGACGCCGCCGCGGGCAAGAAGCCCGCGCGGGAGTCGCCGACCGACGCCGAGGAGGAGGAGGAGGAGGAGGAGCCGGTCGAGCCCGAGGGCTGGCAAATGTCGCCGTCGCGCGCGTTCCCGCTGCTGGCGGAGGCGAGCGCGGAGTTCGCGGAGCGCTGGTCGCGTCGCGCCGAGGAGCAGGTCCTCGACCCGCGCGCCGCGCTGATCGCCGAGCTGTCGACCGAGCCCTTGTGCCACGAGCTGCAGCTGGAGATGCGCCGCGCGGCCGACGAGGCGATGCGCGCGCAGCTCGACGAGCTGAACCGCGCGCTCGCGGCCGACGCCCTCGAGGACGGGGCGCCCTTCGCGCCGCCCAAGCCGCAGACCTTCCCAAGTAAGGCGCGCCCGCGAGCCCGGCCGCCGACCGCCGCGCGCCCGCTCACGCGTTCGCGCGCGGACAGGGCCGGAGGCGGCGCCGACGCCCAAGGCGCGCCCGGAGCCGCTGGCCGGGGAGTCCGAGGACGAGCTGCTGCTCGAGCTGAGCAGGCAGGAGGTGCTGCGCGACTGCCCGCGCGAGCGGCTGAGCGACTGGCCGGGCGCCCTGAGCCACGAGGTCCGCGCCGACGCCGCGGCCCGCCTGGGCGACCTGCTGCTGCCGGTGATGGACTACTGCGTGCTGCCGCTCGGCTCGCGGCGCCTGAGCGGCCTCGCGCCCGCGGTGCGCTCGGTGTGCCTCTGCGGGCCGCCGGGCTGCGGCCAGCTGTTCGTCGCGCGGGCCGTCTGCGCCGAGCTGAAGGCGAGGGCGCGCCGCGCTCGCGCCGCTCGGCCCGGCCCAACGGCTTTTGCGCCCGGCAGGCGACGGTGTTCGACCTGACGCCCGAGCGCCACGTCGGCCGCTTCCTGCGCAGGGCCCAGCAGGAGCGGCTGGCCCAGGCGGTGCTCCGGCTGTCCAGGGCGTGCGCGCCCTCGGTCGTGCTGGTGGAGGGCGAGTCGGCCTTCCTGAGGTGGGTGCCGCCGGAGCTGCGCCCGGCGCAGCCCAAGCGCTTCGCCGCCGTGTACCGCAAGATCGTCCGGGGCATCGCGCCCGGCGACCAGGTAGCTGCGCCCACGGCCGCGCGCGGCAAAAACCCGGCGCCGCCGCTACTCCGTACGGCTCCCGCGCGTAGGTTCTCTTTCTCACGGCGTCGCAGCAGCCCTACATGGCCGCGCGCTCCTTCGTCAAGCTCCACGACAAGTTCATCGTCGTACCGGTCGCCGACCGCGGCACGCTCTACCGCCTCTTCAAACACGGCCTGATGCGCCGACCGAACGTGCACCGACACGTCGACGTCTCCTGCCTGGCCAGCGTCTGCGCGGCCAGCGGGACGCCCCTCGAGCTCGCCGACCAGGCCCTCGAGCTGGCCACCTCGATCGGGCGCCGGATCCGCCTCAAGAGGCAGCCGCTGCGGCCCGCGGAGATCCTCGAGCAGCTCTTCCGGCTGGGACTGCCGTGCCGCGAGGTGGACAGCTTCGCCAAGTTCCGCGCCAAGCTGCCGCTGGAGCTCAGGCGCCAGGAGCTCGAGCAGCAGCTGGCCGAGCGGCAGCAGGACAAGAGCAACAAGCGATAGATCGGGTATTCGTCGGGCGTACCTATCCGCGCGCTTCTTTCCCGAGAATGCCGCATGCTTAATCGACCTCGTCGCTGTTTCCGTTGCAGGACACGACTCGCTCGGCAGTCCGCGCCGAGCCGAGCAGAGAGCGAGCAAAAAATAAGCTAGCAAAAGAAATCGATGATAAAGACGACGAAACAAAAAAAATAAAAAAAGAGAGGAACACGAAAAAACGGAAGAACGCGCGAGGACCGAGGTCGCTCGTGTGTGTGTGTGTTCATTCATAAATCGGACGCTCGACGCCGTTGGCCGTCGAGAGCGAGCGCGAAATTTATTTTGGCGCGGGGGAACCGGTCTGTCGCGCGCACGGCGTGTCTCGCGGACCAGTGCCAGCGGCGACGTTTTAATTACGAGTGCCTCCTTCGGCAATTTTTCACGCCAATGCGGCCGCGGCGACGCGATCTGCCCACGTGTTTGCTTCCTTTCGCCTCGCGGCCCCTTCCAGTCGGCCTCGTCCTCGCGCGCGCGCGCCAACGCAGCCTCTATTAATTGGCAACGTCGATTCCGACAAAGTCGATTCGGACTCGGGGAAAGCCGCGACCGCGCGAATCGCAATGGGCAGGCGAGGCGCGCGACGAGAAACCTTACCTGCTTATCCTGAAGCTCGTCGCCGGCTCGCTGCTGTCGAGCTCGGGCAGCACATATCACTGGATGACGCGCACTGTAGACGCCGAAACGAGCACGGGGTGGTCGGAACGAGAGAAATCCGAAGAGCGAGAGCGCGCAGGTGGACCGCCGCTCGGTGTAAACAGTCGCGCGCGAGTGAGCCTGCACACCGGCGCTACGTCCGTCGAGCGGAGAACGGAGCGCAGCCGAGTGGGGACGCCGAGCGTGTGTCTTTCCACATAGCATCGCCATTTATGGCACACGCGCAGCGCGGCCCTTACGCCCACCTCCTCCTCCTCCTCCTCCTCCTCCTCCTCCTGCTCCTCCGGATGGCGCTCCTCTCACGCGAGAGCTTCGCGGAATCGGTCGAGCTACCGAATTCTATCGACGGGATGCGGCCGCGACAAAAAGCCGACGGGCCAGTTCGGACGACACGACTGGCCCGCCCAATTATTTCCGAGTGGCCGATTGCATTTGCATTTTTATTGGCCACCGCGGCGGCATTTTTCGGGCTCGGGAGGTGGATGCGCGAGACGGCCCGATACTCATTCGTGCCTTTCATGCCTAATACGGCGCGAGCCCCAAGGCTAGTTATCCGCCGACGAATCGCCGCTCGCGAGGAACGAGTTTTCTCGTCCGCGTTGGGAAATGCCGCTCGCCTCGCGCGCGTGGAAAAATCGGTGACGCCCACCGCGGAAGGGCCGCGTGGGCATCCGCGGCACACTTGCGACACCGCGCCGCTCGACGCGCGCGCTCACATCCTCTCCGCGCCGGTCAATTAGCGCTGCCTTTCCACGGATTCAATTCTCATTCAAGAGTCGTAGGTCGTCACCACTCATTTCTATGCACAATGCTCCAATCTTTTATTTCCCCGACCACCGCGGCCGTTGAGCGTTAAAAGCTCTTTGTTCGGTACCCGACTGCATGTACTTGCGACGAGTCTCGTTTACGAATCGTTTCTCTTTGTGTCCGAGACGATCATTCGCGATCGATGCTTTTTCCATTTTAACGAACGAGCGAGAGGTGCCAACTATCTGATGTGTACGTTGCCCAACGAATCGTCAATGCTTTATGGCTACGGACAATGGAGCACCGCACGCGCGCTTTTTCAATTTTTACTTCCTGGTCGATCGATGGATGAGGACAATCAGTACCGTCTGCTACGATCACGTGGATCCGGCAGCTGTTGGGCTGATGATCGGTGAAAGACAACATAACCTCCTGCCACCTCCGATACAATGTGTACGGTTGGTCTTGCTTGACCATCAATAACAAGTCATGGTATTTTCTGAATGAAATATATAAAAGTAGTCGCTTGATCGGTAAAAATGACATTTTCATATCGAATTACAAATTTTTGTAAACGTTTTTCAAGGTGACGTAAATTGTTTACGTAAGGTGTAACAAGTGCTGATTGTGTTCTGAGAACCGTAGATAATTAGATGAAAATGACTATTATGGAGTACGTGCAAACTTTATCAGACAATCCATACTTTGGTGCTGGATTTGGGTTGTTTGGAATTGGTGCAGGAGCAGCGTTGCTCAGAAAAGGCATGCAAGGGGCTGTGATTCTATTCCGGTAAACAGTGCGATAATTATATTTTTTTTAATTTCATTACAGTAGGATATTAATAATTTTCTTATATTTACAGACGACATTATATGATTACGCTTGAAGTACCATGTAGAGACAAAAGTTACGATTGGCTGCTCAAATGGATTACATACAAAGGTGCTAGAAAAACTCAACACCTTGCTGTGTCAACCAGTTTTCAACAAAGTGATACTGGATACGTTTCCACCAAATACGAATTTATACCAAGTATTGGTAAACACTTCTTCAGGTTTGTTCTTTACATAATCCAGCATGTACAAACTCTACTAAGAGTAAGTGTTTTGAAAAAATAATTTTTAAGGTATCGCAATAATTGGATAAAAGTTGAAAGAACAAGAGAGCAACAAATGCATGATGTCAATTTGGGAATGCCATTTGAATCAGTTCATCTCACTGCATTTGGAAAAGACAGGAGAATTTACTTTGAGATTTTGGAAGAAGGTAATATTAACTTTAAGTAATGGAATTATAAGTTATTGAGAATAACGAAGGAAAGGAATGTAATTAAAGTAATTTAATCACTAAATTACTTACTCATCAACATTACGTCAGAAATTTCGATAATCTCTTCGGGATTTATTAAATACAAAACAAATTAGCAAACTTAATACAATGTAAAATTATAAAGAATACAGATAAAAAAATTTTTATACTTGATTTCTCAAGTAGTTAAATTATATTAGAGACTAGAGAAAGGTACTCATCTCCAATCAAATTACAACTGAGAAATCAGACATTGTACAATGACTTCCTTACATGTAAATTCATACACAATCATATAAAATTAATCATGAATCATAATTTTACAGCTAGACAAATGGCTTTAGCTGAACATAAAGGAAAAACTATAATGTACACTGCTATGGGCCATGAATGGAGACAATTTGGACATCCAAAAAAGCAACGGCCTCTCGATAGTGTTGTTCTTGATACAGGCGTTGCTGAAAGAATAATGAAAGATTGCGAAGAATTTATTGAGAACGTGTCATGGTATAGTGATAGGGGAATTCCTTACAGAAGAGGCTATCTACTGTATGGTCCTCCAGGCTGTGGCAAATCTTCATTCATAACTGCTTTAGCTGGTGATTTAGACCGTGGAATTTGCGTTTTAAATCTGTCAGATAGAATGCTGACAGATGATAGATTGAATCATTTATTAGCAATTGCTCCACAGCAGACAATTATCTTGCTTGAGGATATTGATGCAGTATTTGTGAGCAGAGAAGAAACGAAAGAAGTCAAAGCTGCATATCAAGGTTTGAATGCTGTTACCCTCAGTGGTTTGTTGAATGCTTTGGATGGAGTTGCTTCATCAGAGGGGAGAATTTTATTCATGACTACAAACTACTTGGACAGGCTAGATCCTGCTCTCATCAGGCCCGGCAGGGTTGACTACAAAGAATATATTGGTATGCATGCTCCTTTTAGTTTCTCCTACAATGTTTACTTAAAACTCTAAAAGAATTTTCGATTTTAGGGTATTGTAGTGCAATTCAGTTGCAACAAATGTTCCTTCGATTTTACAAAACGCAAAACGAGAATATTGAAAATCTCTCCAAAGAGTTCGCTCAAAGTGTTCTAGCGCATGGCCGCAATGTGAGTCCAGCACAAATTCAAGGTTTCTTTATGTTTTATAAAAATGAACCGGAAGCCGTTTTAAATAATGTGCCAAAAATTTGGGAACTTACGTAACGCTACGATCCTAAAAAATTGCATGATTTGTAAGTATTATTTGTAAGTAATAAAATATTCATTAGATAGTTTTTAAGAAACCAAGTCATTTATTTTACAATTATAAATGAAAAATTATAAAAATAATATAATTGATTCATAAATATCATTTATTAAAGAGGTGAAAAATATCAGTGACACCGTCTTTGACTATACATTCATGCATTCAAAATCACAAAATATTTATTATAATGGGCTATGTGAGATCATCAAAAAATAAAACACGTAGGAATGTTCGTAGAAAAAAAAACTTTACCGACTTCGCTTACAACTAATAATATATAATTATTTAATATTTATTCGAAGTGTAATTTTCATTTGTACGAGTAACGCTATATATATATATGTATATATATAAGGAGATGCGAGACACATTGCATTTTAAAAATTTGATATCGTTTATAAAAATATACATATATCTATGTATATATATATATTTATATATAATTGCGCTATAACGCGTCATTCGTTTCGAAGCTTAAACTTGTAATGCTAATTTAAAGCATAGTTTAATTATTATTTTTAGATAGAATATAAATTAATTAATCGCTTCTTATATTACGTTAAAAAAATCACAATATTCAACTAGAATTACTCGCCAGTGACTTGAATGTCAAATACAACGTTCTGCGTGGCAGTTATGAAGAAATTCACTTGGAAAAATGGTGTCCCTGTGCAGGAAGACACGATAAAAAAATGTTCTTTTTACATTGTACTATCCAGAGAGGCTATGTACGTTTGATATGAGTACTCTGAAAATGGTAGTCCTGGGCAGGATCTGGAAAGGGCAAAGTTTGAATTTGCCTGTACGATGAGCTAAACCGTTGTGAACATTCCGAAGCTGTCGCGCGACTTAAAAGCTCCAGATGTACGGCTCGTAATTCATTGGGTCGACTTGCTCCGCGTGAGTCGGATGGCCGCTATTGCCCAGCATGCACGAAGAGTAAGAAATGTTGGCGCTGGCCTGGCTGGCGATCGGCGGTGCCAGTGCAGAGAGCGACAACCTGCAGTCCGAGCGCGGTTGCATTATCGGTCCCACGGTTTGCAGCGCTTGCGGCGCTAAAGTTGCTTGAGGGCACATAGGCGGCGCATGCATGTGCTGTCTGGGCTGCATGAACTCCGAAGTGGCGGTGGCCAGCTCGTGCGTCGCTTGCATCATCGGCGGAGCTGAAACGCCAAAGATGTTCGTGAGGCTTCTCCGGTCGCGGAATCGAGAGAGAAGACCAAGCGACTCTTTCTCGTCGACTTACATTGCGCTTGATTTTGGAACTGCAAACTTGGCTCTTGGTGGATCGCGGTTGTGGCAGGCGGGGCTATCTCCGGAGGCGCCTCGTCGCTCGTCCTTTTACCCGGCTGCTTGGACGCGTCCTCGGCGCTTGGATTGCCCTTCCTGCCGGACGCCCTCCTTCTTTTGCTTGCAGAGCTCTTCAATTTGCTGGACCTGTTGCCGCTGGGTTGCCAGAGGTGCACCGTGTGCACGGCATTGCCGAGCCTGCGCAATTTCAAACGGCATTAGCGCCTGCAGCGCGCGCTCGTCGACCATTCGGAAATTACCCCTGCTTTTTGCCTAGCTTCCAGCTGTGAATTCCCGCCTTGTGCAATCTTTCTCGGATCGTGTCGACGCTGCACTTGAGTCCAAGGGCAGGCGCTACGTGCTTGGCCGCGGTCAGTGGCTGCTGAGTGGCCAGCGCGACAATGGCATCGTCCTCCTCCTTGGTGGTGATGCGCCTGCGGCCCTTCCTCTCTTTGGTTTGAACGTTGCCCTCCTTGTGCCAGCGGTCGAGCCATCTCTTCACGGTTCGCTCCTGCGTGGATGGGCAGCGATTAGGCATCGAGCGACCAATTGGCGGGCCACCCGGAGCAGCCGCGCTCGGCCGACTTACCGATCGGTTGATCGCGAGCGCGATCGACAGAGTCGACAGTCCAGCTTCGGACATGCCGATCATGCGATTCCGAATTTCCACGCTCGTCTCGAGGGTGCCCTTGACCTTTCCGCCCTTCTTCGTCTTGCTCCTGCTCGCCGCCTTTCTAGACCTGTCGGGGCGGCCGTTGTTGTCACTGCTCGCGTCGTCGTCGGCGCCGCTCGAATGCCGACTGTTGCCGTTGGAGCTGGCGTTCGAATTGGAGCACACGTCCTCTCGCCGAGGCTGCTCCTCGGCGAAGCCCAGCCGGTGGTCGTCGAGCTTCTGGCCAGGTAGGTCGCAGCAGTGCTGCGCCGGGATCGGGCCCTGCGCTCGGTCCTGCGCTCGGTCCTGCGCGTGGTGGTGGGCGTGCATCGACGCCTGGGCCTGGACGTGCACGGGCGCCTGCTGCTCGTGGTGCATGGCGCTCTGAAAACGACGCGGCTGTGAGCGTCCGATGCGCCGCGAGCGCGAGGCTCCGTCCCACCTGCGCGTAGTGGTGGTGGGCGCCGTGGCCGAGGTCGAGCGGCCAGGTCCGGGGCGCGCCGATGATACCGGGCGGCTGCCGATGGTACGCTGGCTGCGATTGCGGCTGCAGGTCCGCCGGACGGCCGAACTGGCCGGGATCGGGCGGCACCGCCGTCAGCAGGGCCTGCGCGTCGTCTGCCGGCGGGCCGCTCGCGAACGAGAAGTCGGCCTGCTGGCGGTGCGCCGCCGCGCCCGGGGCCCCGTCCGCCTCGAGCGCCTTGTGCGGCTTGGCCCGCCGGGGCGCCGCTCTCTTCTTCGAGCGGGGCCCGCCGCCGGCTCTGCCCCTCGTCGCCTCTCTCGCCGGCTTCTTCTTGCCGAGCTGCGTTCCGGTCGGCCGCCAGACCGCCTGCTGTATGCCCGGCCCATCCGTGGCGCTGAAAAGTCGCGCGATCCAAGCTCAGCCGGGAAGTCGGTCGGCGAGCGGGAGCAAGGTGGCTTCGCCGCGCTACTCACGCGATAGGTATCTTCTGGATGTGCTTCCTGGACGGACTCCAGTTGTGAATGCCTGCCTTGTGCAGCCTCTCCCGAATAGTGTCCACGGAGCAGTTGAGTCCCAGAGCCGGCAGCACGGCTTTGGCGGCCGTGATGGGCGTCTGCGTGGCCAGCCGCACGATCGCCTCGTCCTGCTCGTGGGTGGTGGCTCGCTTGCGTCCGCAGCGCTCTCGCGTGTCCACGTTGCCCTCCCGGTCGAATCTGTTCAGCCACCTCTTGACGGTCCTTTGCTGGAACGCGAGCGTTTCGTCACTGAGCTGCTTGCTCGGGACGCGCGACGCGAATCGTCCGTCGGCTTACCGAGCAGTTGACGGCGGCGGCGATGTCCTTGAGGCCGAGGCCAGCCTCGTACATGCCCACCATGCGGTTGCGGATCTCCGGAGTGGTCTCGTGCACGCCTCTCGTTTTACCCATATCGAAGCTACGAGCTGCCAACCGTCGTAACCATGCACTCGGCTGGCGGATCTCAAACTGATCGCGCGAGCGACAATCGGTCGCGACGTACCGTTGCACTGCAGTCCCTCGGAACCGGGCCAGCGCTCGCTCCTCAGCCGCTCCGTCGTTCTCCCCAAGGCCACGGCAGCCGGAGCCTGGTCGACGATAACTGGCCGACGCCGAGGAACACGTCAGAGTCCATGGAGGCGCGAGCACAAGGGCGGCGGCCGACCGGGCCTGCCGTCGGCGCGCGCGACGTCCGCTCACCGGCCGCGGGCCTCCGTGCAGAGCCCGGGGGACGGCGGTGCTGGCAACGCGGTCGACTCCTCGACCGGCCCTGCTCCCGGGGCTCGCCTCCGACGCTCGGCCCTCGCTCGGCCCTTCCAGCACTCGGCCGCGATGGGCTTCCAGGAGCACTTGGCGATCGACCTCGACGGACGCGCGCTATTGCGGCTGGACGCGCGCGCGCGCGCGCGCGCAGCCGTACCACACGGTACACGCGACCGAGCCACGGCGCTGCAAGCGTCGATAGTGGTCCACTGCGCCGCCAGTCGCCTTCGTCAGTGCCAGATGCGCGCTGCGCAGTCACGGCTCGCGGCTGATGCGTCGATCGAGCAGACGACGCGCGACGCACTTTCGCCAACGGACGCTGTTCCCCGCCACTTTTGTATACTCCGCGAAAGCTCTTCGCGGGCAACTTTGCTGCGTTCGTCGTCCTCTCGTGCAGTCCCACAGGCGCGTTTCCTCCGAAAGCACATCTAGTCATACATTTCGGAGCATATTTTCTCCTGAGACACGCATCGGAGGACGTTCAGACTTCGGCTAATAATTGATTATTAGATAACAAAGCGAAGTACGTTTGACTCCTTCAAATGTCTACATTAATTATATTTCTAAAAGAAAATTGGATGAATAATTTTATCCGAGAAAAATAATAACTCGTGCAAGTTGCCTTGAAAATAAACATATTGTTCTCGATTTCATCAACGAGTCGACCGTACTTCGCTTTATCATCTAATCATCAGTTATTAGCCGACATCTGAACGAACGCCGACGTGTGTCTCGAGAAAAATTTGCCCCAAAGGAAAAGTCGGTAAAAGATATGATTATGATTCCTTTAAATATTGGAAGTAGAGTTATCGTCTGTCGGTAAATTAGGGTTCACATTGATCAATGTATTGCGGAAATCAACTACGTTCGACCTCTTAGCCGACTTTCTTTTAATAATATTATTAATGTCATCTACTTCCGATGATTCGGAATCATTCAATTCAAGGCTTCTCTTTATCTTAAGCGCCTGATTTTCATCATCCTCCTCCATGTGAACAACTGATTCGTATGGTGTATACAAGCTGACACCCTCGGCCATCTTGAATGTAAAAGTGCCTATCCGCCAAGCCGGTGGCTGAGAAAAACGTGAATATTGCAATCAATAGGTCGTGGATTTACAATCAACCTTATAACCAAAACTCCCTCGAAGGAAGGAAAACCAGGTTAACCACCAAGTGATTAAACCACCCTCCACGATACTTACACAAAGCGACAATTACTCAAGCAAGTAGGAGGTACGACCTCAGCTCTGGTGGTATTTTCAAATACTCCTACGATGATGAATACTCTTTGGAAAATCGCACGCCATCTGTTGCTGCCTTGCCTTACCAATAACAAGCAGCGCGTCGGTCAATGCGAACGGGTTGCAAACTATATTATAACGTGCGTCTTATAAATCAATTGACTGGCTTATCGTCGAGCGATAAAGTTTCCAGGAAATTGGAGTTGATGGATCTTTTGCAATGCATGATAGTCGGTACAATCGAAGGTTTGTAATACCATTGGTGTAATAAAAACAAAAAGTTGAAAAAGTTTGATAAATATGTGTAGATAACAAAATTGCATGGGATGGAGTACTGAGAAAAGAATAAATATATCGAATAAGACAGAAGCAGGAAGCTGAAGAAAACGAAATGAACGATTTGATCGAAACAGAGGAGACAAGTGAGAGCAGAAGGAAAGCAACGCGATAAAAGTTGGCTATGAGTCGCTCACCAATTCTTTATCCATGCGAGAGCAGTGCCATAATGCTATAGGTCGCGCGCGAGCGCACTGACCTGGTGGAATTCTACTTTGAACCAGACAGTCGCTTTGCGCTTTATACGTTCTGCGGCTTTCCGTGCACGCACACGTACGCGTTCGCGCGATTCGCTTTATCCCCTTTACCTCCCTTCGCGAAAAGCCAGCGCGACGTCTCATTCACCCGTTCGCAAATCGAAAAACGATTTCCCCCCGATCTCTCGCGTTGTCCTTCCATGTGAAAAAGTCGGCGGTCTCGATACCGAGGCATTTGCAAATTTGATAGCCGTCGTTCCCCTGTTCGACAATCGGATTTTCGTTTACGAAACTATGGTCTCGGAAATGACGGTAAACATTGACGCGTAGCCACTTTTCTTATTAGATAGTTGCACGTAATGCCGCATGCTATTTATAATGCATAACTATTCAGTTTATCCATGAGAAATCATTGATAAAATCGAAGTAATCGATCAACGAGAGTAATTTTCATGAAATATAATTCAACTCGACGCAATAAAATCGTAAGTGAAGTTGAATTCCTTCGGGTGGACCCAAAAAGAAGTTCCGAACATTGTCCAGAACGCTTGTACTAATCCAAGTAATGTACAAAAATGTGGTTGGTTCTGAAAATGAGCAGACCGGTCGGAGCGCCGCGATCGAGCTGAAAATCAGAAATAAGCGCGACAGCTCCAGAAATAGTTTGGCGCGAATCGCACATGTCAAGATCGCGCAGTTGACGCACCGCGGGCATATGTACCGCGTGTAATTGGCGTCTGATTGGCGCGGAAAAGCGTTATAGGGGCTTCAAGTGCCACATCCGTCGATCAAACGCAGTCCTCGGCTGCGCGCGAGTAAGACTCCAATTGTTATGCGCACTCGCAGACAATTGCAGCTATGACCCTTGATCTACTGACCAATTTTTTGGCCGGGGGCTCCTCGAACTGCCTGTCCAATATCCAAAGTGGAGTCCGCGGTCGTCAATGACCGTCAATGTCAACTTAGGAATCCCACGAAAGGATTTCCGGCTTGCGGCCTCGTCAATTTCGACGCCTGGCGTTCGCTCTCGACCCTCATCGTTCCATTCCATTCCAGCCGAAGAAAACGTACCAACGGCGAGAGAAAGACAGGGAAAAGCAAGGACCACCCGAGCAAGCTTCGTGCGGCACGTTCGCGAGTTCCGCCGGAGCGACGCCGCTGGCGTTCGAGCTTTCGAACGATCAAGCTCGGCTCGGCTACGACGACGGGTCGAATTAGCAGCGATGGGCGTGCTCGTTTTGCAACGGCGGCGAAAGGGCAGCGAGAAAGAAGTGGGTGAAACGCGGCGCGCATCGCCAAAAACTCGTCGCATTGGCGCGGCAACACTTGATCCAGTTTTTCGGTTTTTCGGCCGACCGGCGCTCTGCATTTCGCGTCGCTCCCGCCGGCTTAATTAGCGAGAGCGCGAGGCCCGGAAGGGTTGGAGCTCGCGGTCGCGCGGCGGAGGCGTCGCGCCGCGGGGCAGGGTGCGGCGGCGGCGGCAGCGGCGGCGACGGCGACGGCGACGGAGGCGCGGGCAGGGCGAGGGGCTGCGCCGCCGCGGCTAGGCTCAGTCGCGCAGCACCCTCCGCCGGCAGCATGCAGCTCCGCTCGGTTCCACTCTGTCGCCTGTCCGCCTCGCTGGCACTGCTCCTCGGCTTGGCCAGTGCGAAGCCCGGCGTACGTATCCTGCATGCCAACTGTGCTTCTCGCTCGCGCCCCGACGGCCGAGGTGGATCGATGCCTGTGTTGTCTGTTTGCAGACGCGGCCCAGCTTCGTGTCCGACAAGATGATCGCCACGGCTGCCAGCGTCGTGAACGCCTGCCAAACGCAGACGGGCGTGACCACCGGTAACTCGCGCCGCGCCGTCTCTCTTTCGTGCTCTCGCGCGCCTCCTTCGGGGCGTCCTACCAGCCGCCGGCCCCCGCTCGGCCCGCCGACTCCTCTTTCCCCGTTTGCCCCGTGGCTGTATTTTTTCGCGAATGTTGCGCGCCGAGCAATTGCTGGTTTGCCTCGCGAAGCACGAAATAGAGACAACGCGACCGCGTGGCTGAGATGAAAGGCTGCCGAGCGGCCTCGAGCGAGCCTCGTTCTGTGTGCTGTATTTTCGTTTATTTTTACAGCCGACATCGAGTCGGTGAGAAACGGCCAATGGCCCGACTCCATGGAATTGAAGGTAAAGTCTTTTTGAAAATACCATCCGTAGCTCGTTTTTCGCTGTGGAAAGGGCTCCGTCGGCCGCCGATCGTTCAAATTTATCCAAGTGTCGAAGGCGAAGTTGCGTCGAGTCCGGACCGCTTCGCCCGTTGCAACTTGTTACTCTCGCTTCGTGCGCGCCAACTTTTTGATTAATGCGGCACGCGGCCGTTAAGTTTCAAAGCGTAACCGCGAGCCATTAGCTGTCCACGAGGACAGGCCATCCTAACGAATCCTAACGGGCGCGTCCTCTTTGTAGAAACATCGCGCGTGCACTTTGCCGCTCCGAACCGCGATGCGGTCACGCGGGCACTGATCGACGCGGAGATTGAAAAACTCATTCCTCGGCAACGCGCGAAAACGACAGCAGGTCCGAAGTGGATTCTTAGCGCAGCGGAAATAACCGAGCAACGTTGAAAGTGTTACATGTACTGCCTTTGGGAGCAATTCGGATTGATCGACGAAAAGCGGGAGCTGAGCCTGAACGGCATGCTGACGTTTTTCCAACGAATACCGGCCTACCGAAAGGAAGTCCAGCAGGCGATTAGCGAGTGCAAGGCTCTGGGTCAATACTTCGGTATTGTATCTGTATTCCCCATTTGTTACTTGCTACCGCACTCGATTGGTCGACGTCTTCGTTTGTTTGTCGCTCTTCGGCAGCTCGATTAGTTGAGTCTGCGCGCTGAATTATTAGACAGCCGCTTTTAATCGAGTCGTCGGCGCGACTCGTTCATTTCCTTTTCGATTAATCGCGCGAGGTTCGGTTTGCTCGACCCGTCGATTTGTCCACGCAGGAAATGGCATTCCGCTGATTTATCGACAGCGAGACTGGCTATCTTGTGCGTGGATCGGCGAGCATTGATCGGCGATCAACTGACGAGATAACATGTGTAATTCGCAGCCAGTGCCGACAGCTGCGAGTACGCGTACACGTTTAACAAGTGCTACGCCGACAGATCACCAAGAGTAAGTTGAAGTCGCGCTCGAAACTCGCTCGCGACCGCATCAACGCACTCAATGTCATTGTTTCATTTGCAGACTTACTACCTCTTTTGAATCGAACGAAACGCTTAAGTCCGAATTACACACGGAACCCGAAGAATAATAAGATGTAGCTTAGATCGATGACCTAGAAGTGCTGAAAAACAAGTCAATTCGCCGAGTGGCTCATTTGACGCATTCGAGGAAGACGACGACCGAACCACTGCAGTTTGTAGTACTCGTACAATCAATACCAATGTCAATGTAAACTGAACGATGCAACAATAAACGAAACAATAAGTAGACGTATAAAAGGTGAAGAACGCTTTTTTAGGGCTTCTATGCGAATTTGCTTGTGTAACGCATTTTTTATTCACCGCTTTGTCTTGAGTTTCGGCTTGTGCGCTATTGTAAATATTTAGAAATACTGTCCGATAATTGAACGAAGCGAAACAATAAAAAGAGAAGAAGATAAAAAATAAACCTGACAGAACGTGGATTATCGTAGTCCACTTTTGTCATTTAATTTATTCCGCCGCCCATCTCCCCACAAATCGCTTGCCTTCGGAGATGATACTCGTTGGCCGGCGCGCGGTGACGCAAGAAGTCGGGGGAACGTTTGTTTAGTCACGACACGTTTGCACCGGAGATCCTGTAATTTTCGACTCCGACGCACTCTCGCTCAAAAAGCAATTGTCATTCTCTCCCATGTTTCGTTTGAATGCGAATGACGGTGCTGCGCCGCGCTGCGTCCGATGGAAAAGCCGAGCGATTATTTCTCAGCTCTCGCGCGAATCAGCGTCTACTCCGATGGCTGGCAATGCCATCCTACGAGAAACGCTATACGCGCGCCGAGACACGCATGCATTGCTTTTGACGACTAAATTGCAGATGTTTGGACGCGCTTCGGCAACGGGCACCGATGATTGTCGGTAATTAGCCGTATTAGCGGTCTCGCCTTGCGTATAAAGGCGCCTTCTCCGCGAGATTTTGTGCAGTCTTCTTATCACGTTGCAAGTAAGTAAGGAACTCTAAGCTCGTCGTAATCGCAGAATGAAGAACGCAGTCCTCTGCTTGCTGGTGCTGGCCCTCGGCGCCGTTAAAGTCCACGCTGGTGTAAGTAGGACGACGCATTTCGCTCAAGCTCGGCAGTGAACATTTTTTGGAAATCCATACAGGAAGTGCCGCGCGAGATAGCGCATTTGGTCGCGGACGTTCGTGAGAAATGCCACCGTGAAACGGGAGTCGACATCGGTCAGTGAGCGCTTTATTTTGCTTCTCTGATCGCCGCGGCTTTCAGCCCGAATGAACGCGCGAACTGCTTTCAGAGCACGTGGATAGAACGGCCGAAGGATACTTCCATCCCAGCGAGACCCTTGGATGTTACTTCTCTTGCATTTTCGGGCATTTTGATTTGGTAAATACAATGCGAATGGACTTCCGCTGCATCGACGAATTTTGATACAATGTCTACTGAAATTTACAGCTCGATCACGATGGACACATCAATTTCGACAAACTCATTCCTAAGATTCCCGAGTCGTTCAAAGATCACGGCATGGAAATGATTAACGCTTGCCGCCACCTGAGTGAGTCTCCCTCTCTCTCTCTTTCTCTCAATACTCAATATATATATATTAGTCGATCGCTTATTGCGTTTCAAACACTGATTCGAAATATACTTTTTGAAACAGCTGGCAAGAATCCTTGTGACGCGGCATTCAACATCGTGCAGTGCTTCCAGAAGACTAACCCCGAGGTATGGAATGCTCTAATTGCAAACAATCCATTATTGCCAATAGACCCGGTTACACTGATATATATCCATATTTTAGAAATACTTCGTCATATAGAGAGTACTTAGCTCGCCGACGAGAATAGCAATAATCTCTAGCTGGATATCCGTCATTGATTTCAATTTACTGGCTGCTAACTGTATGAAATGAGAATTTGAAATTGTTTGGCGAGTACTGTGGTGACAAATAAAGAAAGCATGTTATAAATACTTTTGTGTCATTTTTATTACTTTTTTTCATAAGTCTTATGTACTAGAGATTCAGAAGTCATTGCTCGCGCAGCACATAAGTACAATGCAATAATGCGATCATGTATGTGCAAATATTTTACACTTAACGAACAATTTTTTTCTCCATTTGAGTTCTTCTCTTGAATTTCGCGTTTCTGTAAATTGGCTGGGTTGATCGTCAAGACAACGATTAACAAAACGTAAACTAAAGGAGAAACATCCACATCAGAAGTTCGCGGACTCTCATACACATTCTGTTCGAATGAAATGCACAGTACATAAAAATTCCTCGCTATTCGTGATATTCAAATACTAGGAACATTATGTACATGTAACGAGAAACTCAGATCGGAAAAGAGGAGCACGTACAGTAAATGAACGCAGATGCTGTCTAATCGAAACTATATCAATTCATGCGGCTCTTCGTATAACCCTTGCCTTGATCGCACGTTCTCTGCAAAATCCGATGAATCACGCTTAAATCTACGAGGTGCTGGCTTTTCTGGGCGGTGTGCATTGCTTACAAGGTTCGGATCCGATTGCTATATCGTCTAAACATAAAACACATCGTTTCTCAACAATCTCTCAAATATCCAAATGTTATTTACTTTATTTCTTTTTAATTCAATTAGGAGATTTTTAATGTCACGCGAAAAGTGCGCTTCTCTATTTACCAGACTTGCAAACTTTGAAACTTCGAAAATTCGGCATACCTTAAAAAACGTGTCACAAGCTGAGACATTTCTCACGTATCCATCATGTTCTTCCAGTGACTACTATACATTTAATCAACTCTAAAGTAGAAGTCGAGTAATTAACATTTGTCCGTCGTTCGACTCGGAGAACCGAATGAGTAAAGTGGTGCGCGCGATGAAGTCTCCTGTGACACTTTGTACTAACAATAAGGTAAGTCAATATAGGCCGAACTCGTCCTGTTTAAAACAATTGTCGGAAGCTTCAGCTTGCTTTCAAACGATACTTCACAAACGCAACGATAGTCGTTCAATTTCGTTCGAATAAGCTTCGCAGGCATTTTCAATAAATCACATCGTTATAAATGAAAGAACGATTGCCTACAGCTCTTCTTTATAAACTTTACAAACGAATAATATCTGTATGTTCGCTACGAATCGCCTATAATCGCCTATATCAATTAGCTAGTTTTTGTAGTACTGTTTATATAAATAAATTCTTTTAAAACGTAAACGAAAAATTGTTGTTCCATAGTCAGTCCCAAATGATATAACTGATATTTGCAAAAGAACACTGATTTTGGCTATTTGAATATAGCAATAATAGCGGATAATCTCAATAGTTTGAAACGACAAGTGTCTCAATCTGTCGATACGAACCAACAAATCTAAATTCTGACTAGCGTCTGGGGTACAGGCACTGTTATTTCACAGAATAATATTCATAACTTGTCTTTCTCACTTTTTTCAAAAACTCAAATAAACGATTGTTACAGCACGACATTTTTATATATTAATATGTATATATGTATAGTATAGTCGGATCAGTTTTAAATTCACAAACAGCAAAAGACGCAGTAATTATACTTTTTTATATAATTATATTGATATATCATAAACTTTTATTTAATATTTTAACAGTTCCGATCAAACCTCATACTTTACTGTCGCATTTAATAAACCTGTCATACCTCTAACTGTAGAATTAACAGAGACCTCATATTTTGTGTTACGAAAGCTGCAAGCAAAATGTCTTACGCAATGACGACGCTTAGGAAAACAAACAGACAAGTCTTTGGAAATCACAATAAGAGTAGAAAACATTTCTTTTGGAAAACTAGCAGATTTTTTTGAGCATCAAAGCAATTTTTACACTCAGATGAAAAAGAAAAATGGAATTACAACTGTTTTTCAGACGAAAGACATTGCACTACTTTTAATATCAGACCCAAGCGAATACAATATCTAGATGGTAAATTTATTTACAAGACCAGAATATTTATATTCTGCAGTTTCTCTGCTCAAAAATTGCGTGCTTGTTGTCGAAATAGATAATAACATAATTCGACTCGATGAAAAGAGAACAATTTTGGTTAGACGTCTTAACGTTGATTGGCGTCTGATTATAATTGAAATAGCGTAATTGGAAAGTCGTCGGCAATTAGTGTTATTTTTTTCTCCTATTAAAACGATTTTTATTATACAATTGGCATAAAAGAACGATCGGCGCATAAAATATTTAGGAGAAGAAGACAGATAAATGTTCAATAAATATTCATTCACAATTATTTCAATAAATACGGGTTAAGTACGTTAAAATTCTAGGACGCGTTTTTCGAAGGGACTGGAATCAGGCAAGACAAACAGTAGTCTCCCTCAACAATTAGTTGCAACCGCACGTACATCTGACACGTACATCTCTATTTTATTATATATAATGAATCTCAAATATTTAACAAATAAAACGATTGTATATTTAAAATGGAATGTTTGAACTTACACATTAATATGGTCTCTTCAACCCATATAATATAACTTTATATATATATATATATATATATATATATCCTTTTATTTACTATCGACTTCTTTTTCTCCTCATTCTCGCTTTCTCCATCAACAGTCGTTTAAGTACTACGATAATATAGTTAATATTGCCGCAATTATTTGCTATGCATCGCTCAAAATAAGGGGAGCATTCGTCAACGGGAGCCAGCTTATTCGCAAGAAATTATGTTTTTTTGGCTGTTACATAGCATTGTCGTAACGTCGATAACCGATACCGACCGACATTCAATGTGCGCGCCTCTAGATTGTTTGACCTATAATGTGCAACGGCGACGTATAAATTAGAATACACGGAAGCATGAACGAGCAACGTAAAGACTTATTCTTGCGCGTAGAGATTTTGCTTTTCGCTTTCGCATTACTTTAGATGGATGGAAATCCAAGCTTTCGAAAATGTTATCATGGTTACGCCTGTAAATGCGTATCGGCATGATCAATGGTGCCCGAAAATAATCGAAGAGAATCGCAAAAAAGGTCTTGCCCCCGCTTATCATATACATCAATTTGTTTTGTATAAAAGTGATACGAATGTTAAATCGTTAATTATGTATAGTACTACAGACTTGTTCACTGAACGATACTCGATAATGACCGAATCGCGTAAAGCAACGTACGCGCCTGAGAGAGTTGCCGGAAAAATATCACTTGCGAGAGAATTTAGACTGGAATGGTGACTCGTAACTACAACGGTGATGATAATAGTGTCTCCTCTAACGATTGCTAACCGTGTACGTGTATCTGTATAATCTTCATTAAAATACATCCATCAGTGAACTACAGTATATCGCCTATATCAGTCAAGCAAATAAACTTTCTGATATGAAATTCATCAGTTCTTCGTCGATCGTTTGTTGCCCCCAGCGTGCATGACCAATTCGCGTGATATGTCGAGTGTCACGAGTGCAGTCCCCTTGAAAAGGTTCGGCTCTCTGAAAAAATTAGCTGGCCCGTTGGACCGGTCCATTTGCCGTAACGTAATAATGGCCAGCGAGCGCGGAATAACGGAAGAGAATCGACGGGTTCGTGAAAAATATCATACGAAAATATCGAGCGACACCCAGGGCAGTCCTGGTGGAAGGCTTCGAAGAGCGGACGAGCTGCGTCGTCCGAGATGCGGCGAACGAAGCGAACTCACTTGCAAACGAGAAGACGGAAGAGAGCGAGGGAGAGACGAACCGGCGCGGGCAGCGAGAGCAAATCAGCGGCGCGGAAGCTGGCGATCGGCGGCACTATTCGAGTACGGGGGCGCTTCAGTCGTCCCAAGTGGGGAAGCTGTCCTGGGCGACGAAGAGCGAGGACGAGCCGGTGGCGGCGGCGGCGCCGCCGAAGCTGGTACTGCCGAAGACGGGCTGGCCGAAGGCGTCGAGCTGCTCGCCCTCGTAGATGCTGCGGTCGGAGGCGGCGTACGGCGAGGAGGAGGAGGCGGCGGCCTGCGCGCGGTTCACGTCCGTCACCTTGAGCTCGATCGTGCCGCCGCTGGGCTCGGCCGCCTCGGCCGCCCCGGCCGCCCCGGCCTCCCGATCGGCGCCGCCGCGCTCCAGCGAGCTGTTCTTGATGCCGTACTTGAAGTACATGGCGAAGCCTGCAAGCACGAGGCAGCGCGCGTGAGCAACGGCGGGGGCGCGCGCTCGACGGCCAGCCGCGGCCTCGCTCACCGAGCACCATCCACAGAGTGAACCTGACCAGCGTCAGGATGCTCAGCTTGAAGATCAGGTAGACGTTGACGGTGACCGCGATCGCCGGCACGAACGGCAGTCCCGGCGTCATGAACATGAACGTGTTCCTGCAAGTGGCGCACGCGCGCGTCAGTCGGCCCAGGCCCTGCACCCGCAGCGAGGTCGCTCGCGCTTACCTGCTCTGCGGCTTCCTGCTGATCACCAGCAGCACGCCGACGATGCCGCAGAACAAGACGAACAGCAGAAACTTGGTGAAGCCGCCCATGCTCCCTGTGGGCCAGCGGGGCGGCGTTCTCAGTTTGGTTCGGCCCGCGGCCAGACGCTCGCTCTACTCACCCATGGCGCAGACGACGATCAGGTCGAACGCGAAAATGAGGATGTACAGGAGGCCGACGAGCTTCATGACGGCGCGGCCGGACTCCTCGGTGGCGGGGCCCCGGTCGACCCAGGGGAAGATGGCCGGGCACAGGTACTGGGCCTCCTGCGGCGACGAGCGCGCGTTAGTTGCGTGCGCGACCCCCCGCCGAGCGCGACTCTACCTGTAACTTGCGCTGCAGGTAGCCGAGCGGCGGCCCTATGATGGGCGTGTGCGCAGCGTACTGGTGGGCGCTGCCACAGCTCGAGCCGGCGGCGGCGGCGTGCACGCTGCCGTAGAACTTGTTCTCGGTGCGATCACTCACCAGGTACTGGTCGTCCTTGCCCAGACCGATCTCCTCCTCGTCGCCGCCGTACGTGTCGTCCGACTCCGGCGACGAGCTGTTCGCCCGCCTCACTCGCCGCACCTGCAAGTCCGCTCTTTACTCGCTCCGCGGGCTCCTCCCTGTCGTCGTGCCGCACTCACCATGATCCTCTGGCCGTTGCTGCACACGCCGAGGTCCGCCTGCGCCTGGGCGCTGTTCAGCGCCGTGGCCAGCTGGTCGGGCCTGAGCTCTTTGCCGTAGGTGGTGGGCGCGGCGGTCTCCCTCGAGGGCGAGCGGCACGGGGTGCGCAGGCTCTGCGGCAGCAGCTCCACCAGGTTGGTCGTGTGCGGCTGGTATCGCAGAATCAGCACGCAGGTCGACACCAACGTGTAGGCCAGCAGCGTACCTGCGAACCGCCCACAGTCGTCGCATCGTCGGACGGAGAGAACGCGCGCGCGCGCGCGGATTCACGGCCGGGATGAGCCGACGTTGGCGCGAAATTACTCGGCCGCTACAGCCGTCGCCTTCTCATCGATTTCGCCGTTTGAATTCCAGCTTGATCATTCGTCCAGCGCAGCGACAACGCGCGATGGAGCGAGAAAGTCGAGGCGCGACTGCAGTGCGCAGGCTCGTGCGCGCTCCCCCGGCGATTTGTATCGGGCAAATCGAGCGACAAGGGGAAAGCGCGTGCTTGGCGCGCCTCGACCTTATTGGCAGAGTCGCCCGCTCGATACGTCTCACTCACCGATGGACATCATCTCGACGAGCACTTCGAGCTGGATCAGGAGCGCAGCCACGGCCGCGCACAGCCCGGACGTGACGGTGGCCAGAGCGGGAGTCCCCGTCATCGGCCACACTTGGCTCAAGGACCTGCAACGCACATTGGCACGTGAGTGCGGCGGCGTGGCGTGTCGACTACGGCCGAGGCTCGTAGAGCGTTACCGGAATATCAGGCCGTCCTGGGCCATCGCGTAGACGATTCGCGGCATGGGGAACATGCTGCCGAACATGGAGACGGTGAGGCCCGCCAGAGCGCCCACGGCCACGATGTACTTGCACTTGTAGGCGCCCACCTGGCCGAACATCTCGACCAGCGCCGAGTCCTGGTCGACCTCGTCGTATGGCACTGGAAGATCAGCAGAGGGACCGCGGTTAGCGAGAGCGACGGCCCGCCGAGGTGCCGAGCGAGGTCGGCGCTGACTCACCGATCAACGTGAGGACCATACTGCTAGTGACGTAGGCGACGAGGATGATCACCAGCGACGAGACTATTGCTAGGGGTATACTTCTCTTGGGATTCGTCGCCTCCTCGCCCGTGGTGGCGATTATGTCGAATCCGATGAACGCGTAGAAGCACGTGGCCGCCCCGGTGAACACCTGACAGCCACGCACACGCGCTCGATTACGACTTCGGCTGCTGATGCACGCGTGCCTTCGCCGCCAGCTCGGCCTCGTCGCGCCGAATCCGCATTTCTTTTTCGTCGCGGCGCCACAGGCAGCGCTCGCGACGGCGGCGCAACAAGTTCGCCATTGTCTCGCTCTGGACGTTTGCCGCCGCCGACGAGAGCCACGACGCCTCCTTTTATCTCCGTCTCTCGAGATACCGCTGAGCTACTTGCTAGCTTCCTCGGCCCCGCGACTTTCAATTTATCGTTACCGTTATTGTCGCAGATAGCGCGCAGCTCCCTGACTTGCTGATAAGCGCCTTCTGCGCCGTCTTTTCACGGGTACTCGGTTGCTCTTTTACTTGGCCAGCCGCCCAACTCGAATGCATTAATGCATTATTAGCGGACCGACGGGGACCGAGGATCCGATGCCCGGCTATTATCTGTCGGGCGAAATGCCGACGTTCATTTCTTACGTCCGGAGGATCACTTTTACAATCCGCACATCGTTGCATCCTTTGTTCGTCAACGCAAACTCGTTCGACAATTCCATCGGCATTTTTATTTTATTCAGGACCGTTTGATCTAACGAAAACGCTGCATGGCCACTAGTTCCGAGACAATCTCGTTTTTAAATAAGCTCTTGCCTCGCTGAAAGATTATCCAAACGCTGGACAAGATTACGCGAGGTAACGCTTTCGCCACGGTCGTTTCGACCGCAAAATTGCATATAATTACGGGCTTTCTTATGCAAAATAAAATCCTGATGCCGGCAGGCGCAATCAAACTGCTACTCCAAGATTCTTTGAAACCAAGAGACACCGATCTTCTTCCCTTTCCGTCAAAGCCTCGACAAACGCAGTTATGAAATTGTTACGATCTCATCAACGTGTAACGATCTCAGAAACGCTCGCGGCGTTGTGTTAACGTTAAAGGCAGTGGGAAGGAGAGGTGCTCGTCTGCAGAAGCAGCAAAAAGATGAATAAAAAAATAAATGCGAGGATAAAAGCTTCGGCGTTTCGAATACGTCTTCTCCGGCGCTTTACCGAGGAGACGTCGTCGGTTTTTCGGCGCGGTGCTTCCTATCGATTGTCCCCTTCGCAAAGCACAACGCGCGTGTTCGCTAATGACGTTGAAACGAGATGCACGCGGTCTGCCTGGCGCATCTCGCGCGCATCGAAGATGACTCACCCCACTCCAGCCGTAGGGAAGGAAGCCCTTGTGCTCGGACCAGTTGCTCGAGTCCACGTAGAACATGCCCGCGGCCATGATGAACACCCAGACGGCAAGGTTCAGGGTGTTCAGTACGTTGTTGAACACCAGCGACTTTCTCACACCCGCCACCATCAGCACCATCATCAGCAGCGTTATCACGAAGGCGACCAAGTCCGGCGGCCGACCTGCCGAGCATACAGCCAAATTTATCGGGTCCCCGTGTGGCTTTTACCACTGGCGCTTCGATAGCTTCCGCGCTTCCGAGGCCAATAGTGTCATTCCTCATAGCCGACATCGCGGCATTTTTCAGAGCTCGTAGGACCGACAAGCGCATCGACGCTCACCAGGCCTGCCGTACAGAGGGACTCGCGCGAAATTCAGAGCGAAGATCTTGCTAATAAAAAAAAGTGAGAGACGTTCGAGCGACACCCGATGGGCGTCAATGGTCACACTCTGACTTTGGTCACTGTGCGGCCTTTCTTCGTTATTACGAAGCTGTTGCATACGAGCGCGCGACTATTAACCAGGCACTACTCTCTGACGCCGGAAAAAAGTCGTCCGACCGGCGAGGAAAATTGAGCGCGGCACTCGAAGTTTTCGCCCGCGCTCGAGAAAACATCGTACAAAGAGCTGCTTCCGCTTTTTCATTCGCCGCCTTTCTTCTCGCTCGCTATTTAATTTTCTCGCTGCCTGCTCGACAAGTTTGCGGCGTGTGTTGGCTTTCGCTCTCTCTCTCCCTCTCTTCCTCGCGTGCGCGCGAGGATGTCCGCTCGGTGCGTACGTAGCTGTACGGGCGGAAAGCTGGGTAAAACGGATGGGCCGTCACGCGATCGCTCGGGTAGCCGGGAGCTTTTATGCTTTGAAAAGCGCTAGTATTGCGTCGGGCAAAAAGCTTCGCTCGATGTAGCATTTGCGCGAGCCAAAGCTATCTCAAAATCAAACGGCGCTCGCCAAACAAACGTTGATTAATGTGAATACGGCTGATCTTCTCGGAGCTCGGCTCCTCTCTCCGTTGTACAAACAGCGTTATCTCCTTTCGAGGAATAAACAGCAGCAGTTTATATGCGATTCCTTTTTCCACTGTCAAGTTTTCGGTTGTGCGACTCGACGCACATCTAACTAGTTACACTGGTTACGGGGGGGGGGGGGTTAAAGATTAACGAGGCGCTCACGAGAAGCCTTAAATTATTAACGCTTGGTCGCGTAAATTGATTAGAAATCAGCCACTCGACCCTGATGTCGTCGATTGTTGATGTACCCTGGAAGAGCATGTTCTCAATTTTGAATCACCACCGCGCCCTCGATGTAACTCGAAGAAAGAGAGAGAGGGGTGGGGGGAATCCACTTATATATTCGGACCACGGCATTACAACGCTAAACAGACGTTCACTTTCCCCGCTTGGCAAATTAACGGTTTTCCGCAATATTGTCAACATCGGCGCAAAGCTCGCCGCACGGCTTTTCGCGCGACGGAACTCCGTTGCGATTATCGATTGCCGAATCCAATACGCGTCGACGGATAGTGGAAGCCGTGACGAGACCACGAGCGCGTACGGAGCATTTTTAATCGAGCGCTGGAAAATTGGTTGCTTACAAAAGCGCCGCTGCATTTAAAATCGATGCCGGTCAGCCGGCGAATGCTCTAACTGTCCGTCGGCGTTTGAATCGCGCCGCCAGCCGCCGTCGTCGGTACGAAGAAAAAATAGAAAGACGGAATTAGATAGCCGAGAAAAAGAAGGAGCGAGGAGGCGGAGGAGGAGGAGGCGGCGAGACTGGGATCGATGAAGTCCACAGGTGCCGCGCGTTGCGCAAGCGCGTCGTTCCTCGAGCCGTCCACATCGGCGAACCACCTCTAATCTTTCCGGATTCTCTCTCTCTCTCTCTTTCGCGCGCACGCGCGCGCGTAATCAATGAGATTCAAGAGTGACGCCCTGCGTGCTAAAAATAATCCCTAAAAGCTCCGCTCGTCGCCGCGTTCCTCGAGTGACAGTCTCTCTCGCTAGCGAGGCACAAGTAACGGCCGGCCTCTGATGACCATATCATTAGCGACGGATAACTCGAGTGCGGTCTTCGCTGCCAAAAGATCAGGCTGCAAAGGAGCAGCGAGCAATTACAAATGCTTGAACGTCGCCAAGCATCCTTTGGCCACTGATTTGCCGTCGAGAGCCACATCCGCGCGCAACAACACCAGCTAGCTGGAAAGGATCGTGCGTCAACGGATCCGCACTGGACCGTGGAGCCGATGCGAGCTCAAGCACGACTGAGTTGGAACCGTTCGCGCGCTACACGAGCAGCCAACGAAATACAGCCGAAGGCTCGTTCGATTCGCCACACCTGACGACGAGCGTCCTTGCTCTCGTCGTGCGCCAATGGCGGGAGCAGAACGAGAGAAGTCGTGCGTTGCAAAGCGCGGCAGAAGGTGCTTACCGAAGAAGGTGCCGAAGACGCTGCCAATGGCCTCGGATACGGCGCCGTCGGCAAGGGCGTCCAGGCAGGCGCTGAGCGCGGCGGCACAGGCGCTAGTCCCGATGAGGTACTCCAGGATCATGTTCCAGCCGATGATGAAGGCTATGAGCTCGCCCACCGTCACGTAGCTGTACATGTAAGCGCTGCCCGTCGTGTGAGGCACTCGAACTCCGAACTCCGCGTAACAAGCCCCTGCAATTTCGCCCGGAATCATCCAGCCAAACTTTACCGACGGCCGCGTGCCCGATTTGCAGCCGCGTCACCGCGAGCGCTCGTCGGCTTTTACGACTGTTCTCGCGGCGATCGGCTTTTCGCTAGCGAGCAAAGTGCAGCCCGTCGCGGCGATCGGGGAACGTGCTTTACTCACCGGAAAAAATGGATGCGATGGCCGCAATGATGAAGGAGACGACGACGCCGGGGCCGGCGACGCTCCGCGCCACCATCCCGGCGACGAGGTACATCCCTGTCCCGACGCACGAGCCCACACCAAGGGACGTCAGGTCCAGAGTCGTTAGGCACTTCTGCAATCAGCAAGCGCGGCCTGATCGTACAGCGAGGGCTGCCGTTCGTCGGCCACTTCTCATTGTGCGCGCGATCCGCGCGATCGCAACTGGCATTCTCGTGGCTGACGCTGATTCGGCCTACCGTCGCATCTCTCCGCGTTGCCAGTCGTGCCGCGCCAAACCGGGAACCGCCAAATTCGAGTGCGAGCGCCATTAAATACAACGAATCGAAGCCAGCAATATCGGCAGTCGTCGGGGGGTATACCCGATGTCGCGCGATCGACGCCGAGCGCTTCGTGGCGGGTTTTCAACGCGCGCCGACGATTCGCCCGCGCAACTACGCGCGATATTGTCCATTGCGCGTCGACTCGCTGAACGAGTGCACCCCCGTGCGCCAGCACTTGGACGCGTTCGGGCGCCGCGGCGGCCAAGCGCACGCCTAATATTCGGAACGAGGTAGCGTCGGCAGTGCCCGCGCGCGACGCGACCACGAGGCCGGGGCTCGCTGGGATTTCGCTATCGCGGCCCTGTCCCTTCGACCCGCTCCGTCGGCGAGACGACGGAGATTTGCAGCCGCAATCTCGCGCGCCCCGGTGACGAGCTTGAGCTTTTCTTCCGCCTTCGTCAATAGCCGAGCATCAATTTTTCTGTCTGTCCTTCTCCCTACTCGGCCCCTCGGCATATTTACGGCCCGACATTTATATCCTTCTTGTTATTTGATATTTGCGCGGCGTGTCGCGAGAAAGACTTGAGCGTTGAATGCTTTATGAACCATAAATTACGACCTAACATCGAGCTTTTCTCGCCGGATTCCGAAGCTCTATGAAACATCGTTTGCCAATACGATACGGTATAGTCCGATACTCCTTACAGTCAACGTCAGTCTCTTATCTCTCGAGACAGTACGCATTTTCGAAGAACAACTGCTAGCCCGAGCAGGGGTCGTTCTGTCGAATAACCAGGCTAATGAAATTGTCCGAGGGCTGCTCTCGTATGCCGGCAGATCGTTCAAACGGTGACCAAGCGAGACGAAGTGGCGCACGAAAAGAAGATCGCATCGTGCTGCTTTTTCGCGAGAGCAATTCAAATGAATAGAGTGCGGCTGGGCAGAGCCGCGAGCTCGAAGGGACTCCCGACCGATGGAGATTCCGTATAGTACCTGTAGTTTCTGTTTGGAGCCGGCCTCGGCGCCTCCGCCAGCTGCGCCGCGGCCGCGGCCTGGGCCGCCGGCTCGCGCCTGCTCGCCCTGGAGGTTCTCGACATCCTTCGTGCGAATGAGCTTGCCGAACAGTTCCAAGCCTTTCTCCCTATCCATGAATTCCAGCTTCATGTTGCTGAAACAGCGAGAGGAGAGCGCTCGTGGAGCACATAACGCCGGTCATCAATCAATCGACGATCGCGCGCCCATAAACGTCAATTGCGCGCGGCCGTAAACGTCAATCGCGCGCAGCCGGGGCAGCTCCGCTTCCGACGATCAATTCCGGCGCGAACAGCGCGCGACGGGAGGAAGCGTTGCGAGCGCCACTGGCTTTCAGCCTTCCGTCGAGCCTTTATCCCAGCCTGGCCGTCCCGATCGCCGAGCGCGCTCTCGGCTACAGCCGACCAAGGGCTACTTGGAGCCGATGAGCCGGGCGCGCTTGCCGCGTCCTATTCTCGCCAGCGGGCCCCGAGAATAGGACGCGACGCGAGCAACAAGTACGTCCGATAGAGCTGGCGAGCGGCGCGTGCCCGCGTCCTACTCGGCGATCGCACCTGCGATTTCCCGAGCGCGGCCCGGGCGCCCGGGGCTCCCTCGGTGCGGCCGCCTGCAAATCGGAGAATCGATCGTGGCCAAGGCGACGGGGCGCGCAACGCCGGTGCCACTTGCCGTCGGAGATGTCGCGAGAGTGGCGAGGCAATTACGACTGGGCTCGCGTTCGCTTTGCTTCCCCTTTCCACTTCAGCGGCTGTCGATATCCGGTGTCGCGGAGAAGCGCCTCCGGTCTCCCCGGCAAGCGCTCATCGGCGCCAGACGCCCGTCGAGAATAATAGCGAATTTCAATTTCTTCCGCTGCCTCTCTGTCTTTCGCTCTTTTTCTCCGTTGCTCCTCCTTGCCACTCGTTCCGACGCGCAAAACTTTCCCGTACAAAGCGACTCTATTTTCTCCGGCCGTACGGCTCTCCGCCGATGTGGGTTAGTGTGACGCACCGCCCAGTCGGCCAACAGCCCAAAGTCGCCTGTCCATGAGCACTGTTAGTGCCGGTTATTGGGACTTTGCACGCTTTTTCAGTCGACTTTGTTGATTAAGCCGAACGCCACTCGCGATATAGCGAAAAGCTCCGTTGTGACATTATCTTGTCTCGGCGATTCCAAACGATAATTCAAGCTAGATCTTTCCACTTTTTCGAGCAGAGTGAATGTATTATACAAGCGCGTCTTTTTAGGGAGTTGATCGAAGGTTCGGGAGAAGGAAGAAAATTCTCGTCTCCTCGGTGCGTTCGGCTCGAGTTTTTCACATCGATTGAAATCGAGTTTCGCCGAGCACATCGGGACGACCGTGAGCACTTATTTCGGCACCGTGAAGGTGACATAGCAGAAAGGAGCCGTCACTGCACCTGACATGTGTAAAAGGGAGGAGGCAAGGCACGGAGAGAGAGAGAGAGAGAGAGAGAGAGAGAGAGAGAGAGAGAGAGAGAGAGAGAGAGAGAGAGAGAGAGAGAGAGAGCGAGCAATTGACCGAGAGGGGAGAGAAAAAATCGATCGGCCACTAGCCTCAAGCTCCGCGGGAAAAGCGGACGTATGAGCACGCGTCGGAGAAATATTTATCTCGGGGCGCGCCGGATGAGAGTTTCTTTCCGCCACCTCGCGCACGCCGCGCCATCGATCTTGCTCCCGGCCGCTTCGACTCTGCGGCGCTCCACTAGGAATACCCAATTGCGTCGGCGATGAATTTACGACAATGCCCAGACGAGCCGATCCGCTCGGCAGACCGGCCCGTGGCAACGAGCCAACTGCGCCTTACTCGCCCTCGCTTTCTTCCTGGGCCTGGCACTTCGCTACGACGACGAATCGTCGGATGGAGACACGACGGTAACGCACGGCCGCCGACCGACCGCCGCGAGGCACGCAATCGAGGCGCACCGCGCGAGTAGTCGAGGCCCGGTTACGGTCGGACGCGACGCCGCCGGCACGCTCGCCTTTCTCTCCTTTGTCCCGCCCGTTTCGTTGCCGTGCGCGCACCGTCGATCTCGTTATCAGCGGCAGACTGCGCTTGATGTTTCGGCCGCGCTCGTCCGACGGAAAAACGCCACCGAGGCTCGCTAGTCCACGTTTTTTTGGGGGAGGGTGAGGGTTGCGGCCGGGATCGATCGGCTGCGCACGTTCGACGCGTAGCAAGGATAGGCGCTCGCCTATCCGGTGGCCGCCCGATCGCGCGCGAAAACAGCTGCCGCACGTGCGGCGCCGCGTCCGCGTCGTCGCTGCGCGGCTGCGCTTGGGAGTGCTCCGATCTTTCCTGCTCGCTATTATCTCTGACTCCGAGCCCTCTGCTCCCTCTCCGACGATTACCTCGCTAATTAATCTAGTCGGCTGCTCGTGAGAGCGACTCTCATCGAGACGCACGGCCGGTCCGCTTGCTCTCGTACTTTTTTTCATTCCCGACGAACGCTCTCGCCTGACGACAATTGCTCATTGCTGCTTTTCCTGTTCCTCCTCGTCTCTAAGGGGATTTTATTTCTGATTTGTTACATAGCCTGGGATTATTCGAACGAGTGCGACTCGGTTCGTTTGGGATTCGGTTGAGGCCTTTTTCCGTGAAAATCGAAGCCGACGTCGTTTCCCAATCTGTCGCTTTCATTTCGGCAGAGAGGGACTCTATTTCTGCTCTTTGCGGATGGCCCACGCGCGTGAAAAAGCACGGCGAACAAGACGCGCTCGGCCATTCTACTCGCAGACGCAGGAAGCTTTACAGTCGATGATTCCCGCGACGAGCAATCCTTCGTCGAAAGCTCATTATAACTTATAACTCCTCGCCAAGTTTTTCATAAATTGGCTGCGAGGAGGCTGGCATTCGCAGCGTGGACGCCTGAAAAGTAGAGCGTCTCTCGAGGGGGAGCCGCGGGTGTGCGTTGCAATATTGAGTCTCGACCGGGATCGAAATGCCGAGCGAATGGTTAATTCGTAACGCGGGCGCGAAGGGATGAACAGTCGGTGGGGCGTCGTTCGAACGTATGGCCGGCCCGACAGTTACGGGAGAGTGCGCAACCTAAATAACGCCATAATAAGGCGCAAAATCAATAAGCGGCTCCCTGGCCCTCGCCGTGGCTGCTGTGGCCGTGGCCATACGCACGAGCATCGACGCGGCTTAAAAATCAGAGACGCGAGATCGCGGATTGGCCGCCGCGGCTGAGGGGCAGGCGAGCGGGCCTGTCGTTATCGACGATCAATCGCGACGCCCGCGAGCGACCAAATAACTACACTCGATATCGCAATCGAACCGACGGAGGCGAGCAACAGGCGACGGCGGCTCGCAATTCACCCGCTTGTCGCATTTGCGATTCGCGCGATCGCACCTTCGGACTACCGTTCCTTTCGGCTTTCCGTGCAGTCGCTGCAGGCTCGCGCCGCGCCAAACTCGCGCGAGCGATCGATTGCCTTTTCGGGCGACGTGTGAAAATTGCGAAGACTGCTGCTGCTGTTCGCCGACCGCGTGGAACAATCAATAGCGTAGAGTGCGCGCGAGTGAGAGACGAAACTCGCTTGAATGTATTTCGACACAGCAGCAACTCCCACGCACCTGTAAGAGAAAGAAAAAGAGGACAGGTGTACTATCGATTGTCGCGCGCGCGACGGCGACGGCGGTGCTAGCTGCTATCTGGTGCACACGGACAACCCATTTTCGTGACTCTCGCACGTGCACGCGAGAGCCCCATTGAGATTGGAAGCGTTGCTTCCATGGAAAGGGGCGCGAGAGCCGTCGACGAAAGGGAGCAGAAAAGAGCATAAAGTGGCGAAGCAGTGTCTGGTATCTGTTGCTCGCGCAACGAGCGGTCGGAGGGCACCGAGGAGCAGGGAGGGATGAGAGAGTGAGAGAGAGAGAGAGAGAGAGAGAGCTGGTGCTGCAAATCGATATGGTGCATGCGGCTGTTACCCGAGTCAGGTGGGCCGGATGGGCCGAGAGAGCGGGTGACGGGAGCACTACGAAACGAGCAGCAGACGCGCTGGAGGGTTGCCCGTGGTCGGCTGCTGCGTCGCGCGCTCGGCCGCTCGCGCCTCTGCCCTTGGCATCCTCGACTCGGCCTGCTGGCGCGCGCACTGCCACACTCGCACTCACAGCTGCGCACCACCGTCCGCGGTCGGGCCGAGCTGCTGCCTCGCACTGGCCGCCCTCCGTCGCAGCCGCGGCCACAGCTGCGAGTCGCGCCTGCGCGCGCCCTTCCGCTGCACAACCCCTCCACCCTACCCGGACCGCCCTGCCAGTCGGACTGCCGCAGGCCGCGCGCTCGCGGGTCCTGACGTTCATTCATCGCGGCGCGCGGCGCCTGCATGCCTCTCGCCCCGAAGCCCTCGTCCCTCTGCGATCATTCTCGTTTCTTTCTCGATTTAGCTGACCTCTTTGTTCGAACGCATATACTGCACGCCCGCAGCTGGCCCACTTTCGCACGGATTCGCACTCACGAGCGGCTGTATAGCCCCTCTCCCCCCTCTCTCTTGGGGCTTTCGCTGGACGAGCTTGAGTTTGAGCTTGAAAAATTGGCATTGCGCGCGTGTGGATTCGGCAGCGCGAAGGCTCGGCAAAGAGGAAAACGAGGGGCCCGAGGTGCGCGCAAGTCGAGTGGCCCTGCAGCAACCTATTGCCGTGCGCGTGATCGACTTATATCGTACCCCGTCGATTCTCCCCGCACCGATTCTTGACACACCGGCCGGCCTACCTACTCCCCTCGAGCTGTTATCCTCCGCCCTGCGAAAGTTCCTTTATTGTACGTGTACGCGTCGAACTAGTCGAGCGATCTCGTAATAGCTTTTGAGTTTTCATGAGTTCCATTGTCAGCTCGCTTCTGGTATGTATATTCGAATGCAAACTAGCTACTGCGAGTTCCTTTCTTACCGACTGCAGTGTGCAAATCTATGACGATCGCGTCGTTCGTGCTATTCACAAACGAGCATTGCCGCGTCTACGTCGACTCCTCGCCTCTACAGCTGCTATTTGAACAGCTAGCGCCGGCTTTGCGCTACTAGTCGCCGCACGTGCCCACCAATCATCATTTCTTTTCCGATCTCGACTCCGGTGCATTCGGAGCCAAAAGTTTCATTACATTTTTCATTTAAGTTCTTTTCGTTTACTCCATCTGTGATTTGTTTTTCCTCTTCTCGAGCTCAACTGCTTTCATAACCGTTTCGCAAAATGACCAGCAAACCAGCCTACAAAATCGGTAATTATTATTTACGAAATTACTACCACGTGCTGTTTTTCTGCTCGTAAAACTTACGATTGGGGTTGCCAATTAAAGCAGCTGTGAGGCTGTCAAATTTCTTTTTCATTTTATTAGTTTACGTTTTTTTAACTTTGATTCGCCTTGTTAAAGTTATACATTACACATATTTCACGCTTAATTTCCTTTTTATTTTTAGCCGATATTAACTTGGCAGAATTCGGAAGGAAAGAAATAACTTTGGCTGAAAATGAGATGCCTGGACTTATGGCTATTCGTAAAAAATATGGACCAAAGAAAATATTGAAAGGTGCCAAAATTGCTGGCTGTCTTCATATGACAGTGCAAACTGCAGTGCTTATTGAAACATTGGTTGAACTTGGTGCAGAGGTAATAACTGTTCTTTTTACTTCTTTGGTTCAACATTTTAAAGATATGATATAATTGTTATAATTGATAAAAAATGTTCACTGTATATAAAAATATCAATAGGCATGAAGACTTGTTTGTGAATAATTTTAATCTATAATTAACTACTTTAATCTTATCTTATTATCATTAAACAGTTGATAATACTTCACTTGGAGATTAGGTAAACAAGAAACTTAATGATATGTTATATTACATAATTCCAGGTCCAGTGGTCTTCTTGCAACATATTCAGTACGCAAGATCATGCTGCTGCAGCTATAGCAAAAACGGGAATATCAGTGTATGCTTGGAAAGGAGAAACTGATGAAGAATACGAATGGTGCATTGAACAAACTTTGTTATTTAAAGATGGAAAGCCATTTAATATAATTCTTGATGATGGAGGAGATTTGACTAATATTGTACATACCAAATATCCTGAATATTTGAAAGACTGCAAGGGCATTTCAGAAGAAACTACAACTGGTGTACATAATGCATACCGTATGCTTAGGGAAGGAAAACTTAAAGTTCCTGTAATCAATGTTAATGACTCTGTCACAAAAGTACGTAATAATATTGTTATACTGTATTTTGAAAAATAATAATTCTAAAAAAATTCCAGAGCAAATTTGATAACTTATATGGATGCAGAGAATCTCTTATTGATGGAATCAAAAGAGCAACCGACATCATGATTGCTGGTAAAGTCTGTGTAGTTGCTGGATATGGTGATGTTGGCAAAGGATCTGCTCAAAGCTTAAAAGCGCTTGGAGGTCGTGTAATAATAACTGAAATTGATCCTATCAATGCTCTTCAAGCAGCAATGGAAGGCTATGAGGTATAAAGCTATTGATTGATATCATAGCTTTACATAAGGAATAGCTTTGAATAACATCAAGGAAATTAATACCATATATTTTTTAGGTAACTACTATGGATGAAGCTTCTAAAAAAGGTCAAATTTATGTTACAACAACTGGATGTACTGATATCATCACAGGAGAACACTTTATGAACATGCCAAATGATGCCATAGTATGTAACATTGGTCATTTTGACTGTGAAATTCAAGTTAAATGGTTGGAAACTAATGCAGTAGATAAAGTGAACATTAAACCACAAGTTGATCGATATAAATTGAGCAATGGAAGGTAATTTTGACAATTTATTTGTTAATTTATCGATCGATTATCATTTTTAATAGTCATTTTGTAAAAATTGTTATTAACTATTCAAGGCATATCATTCTTCTCGCAGAAGGACGTTTAGTTAATCTTGGCTGTGCTACTGGTCATCCAAGTTTTGTCATGAGTAACTCATTCACAAATCAAACATTAGCACAAATTGAATTGTGGACAAATTCTAACTCTTATCCACTTGGAGTACACATGTTGCCCAAAAAGGTAATTTCAAGGCTTTCAACTTTAACTAATTATTGAATTTTTATAAAGATAAAGTAATAATACGATCTTCTGTAATATAGTTGGACGAGGAAGTAGCTGCTCTTCATCTTGATCACTTGGGCGTTAAATTAACGAAATTGACTCCAGCTCAAGCTAAGTACTTGGATATACCACCTGAAGGACCATTTAAACCAGAGCATTACAGATATTGATAGTACAATTATTTTTGTTATTACGTCGTATTCAAGATTTGAAAAATATTTATCAACATGATAAATATTATTTTCTCTAGCATATACTACCTCGGTTTTCATAAATCCCGTACTAAAAAATACAGCAATTTTTAAAAAAATCTATTTTGTTTTATTTAAATGATTATAGAGAATTCCATCTTTTTTCTTATTTTTTTTATACAATATACTAATAATATCACAATCATATTTCATTATTTTTACGGCATAATTTTTATGGTATTATTTTTACTATTCAAGTTAAGTAGATAATTAAAATACTCTTTTGTTCAAAACTGAATTTAAACAATCACATTATAACTGTACAACTAGATACAGTATGAAAAAAATGTTTGTGCTTTTTCAACAGTTCTATAAGAAATTTACATTAATCAACATTTTTTTTATACTATGTACACGTACGAGGGGTGTTCAAAAAGTATGGTAACTTTATGTTTTTCTCAAAAAATATTTATTCATTGGTCAATATTTATGTTGCCCCTTCAAAGTAATCCCCGTTAGATATAATACACTTGTGACAACACTTTTTCCAATCATCGAAGCACTTTTGATAATTATTTTGAGGTATAGCCTTGAGTTCTTTCAGCGATGCAGTTTTTATTTCTTCAATCGTTGAAAATCGATGTCCTTTCATGAGTTTCTTAAGTTTTAGGAAAAGAACAAAGTCACTGAGAGTCAAATCGGTGAATATGGAGGCTAAGACATGATTGTGGTGTTGGTTTTGGCAAAAAAATCTCTCACAAGCAACGATGAATGAGCAGGTGCATTATCGTGATGCAAAATCCACGAATTGTTTTTCCAAAGTTCCGGACGTTTTTTGCGTATTGCCTCTTGCAAACAACGCATAACTTCAAGGTAATACTCCTTATTGACCGTACGAGCTTATGATAAGAATTTCTGATGAACTATGCCACAGTAATTAAAGAAGACAGTGAGCAAAACCTTGACATGTGATCGAACTTCGCGTGCTTTTTTGAGTGTTGGCTCTTCTGGGGTCTTCTATTGTGACGATTGGACTTTAGTTTCGACATCATAATCATATACCCACGATTCATCACCAGTTATAACCCTTTTGAGAAAATCAGAATCTTCCTTGACTTCATTCAACATCTCCTGTTGAACGGTTCTTTTAAGCAATTAAAGAAGACCCCAGAAGAGCCAACACTCAAAAAAGTACGCCAAGTTCGATCAAATGTCAAGATTTTGCTCACTGTCTTCTTTGATTACCGTGGCGTAGTTCATCAGAAATTCTTACCATAAGGTCGTACGGTCAATAAGGAATATTACCTTGAAGTTATGCATCGTTTACAAGAGGCAATACGCAAAAAACGTCCGGAACTTTGGAAAAACAATTCGTGGATTTTGCATCACGATAATGCACCTGCTCATTCATCGTTGCTTGTGAAAGATTTTTTGGCCAAAACTAACACCACAATCATGTCTTAGCCTCCATATTCACCAGATTTGACTCTCAGTGACTTTTTTCTTTTCCTAAAACTTAAGAAATTCGTGAAAGGACATCGATTTTTAACAATTGAGGAAATAAAAACTGCATCGCTGAAAGAACTTAAAGCTATACCTCAAAATTATTATCAAAAGTGCTTCGATGATTGAAAAAAGTGTTGTCACAAGTGTATTATATCTAACGGGGATTACTTTGAAGGGAACAACATAAATATTGACCAATAAATAAATATGATATTTGATAAATATTTGAGAAAACCATAGTCACCTTACTTTTTGAACACCCCTCGTACATATGTACATACACACACCTATTTATATGAAAATAAAGTTACTCTAAATTTACATTTTCAATAGTGCCATATTTTCTTGAAGGCAACAGCAACCACAGCCAGTTGGGCAAACAGTCTCATTTGTAAACCATGCTGCTAAATGATATGTGTGTCCACCATGTCCACATACCATGCAAAAATTACTAGGACCTGAATAAAATATATATTTTAATGTCAATGATTTGAAGTAATACGTAAAATTTATAATTAAAATTATATTGCATGAAAAAATTCACCTCTAACGGAAATATGACAAACAGCGCACTGAAATGTTAAACGTTTGCAAGTTGAGCACTGTGGGCCTTTACTCGATTTGTTACAGGCATGACATTCGCTTTGAAACTCTATACTTTTATGATTATCAAACGATGTTGAATTGACATGTTTCAGTACTTGTGCGCGAGCATCTAAAAGTCTCCACCTATGCAATACTTCGGCATAGGCTTTTTTGTACGTATCATAAAGTGCTGTGTTTTTCTCGTCAAGCAGTCTGAAAGTTGCCATCATCCTTGTTTGCATCCTTTTATAATAATTTTTGTGAGCTACAAATAAATTTTAGTAGCATTTACCTTACGTGACGTCCGTATTCATTAATCGATTCTTGAACTTGAAAACCATCTAATGATTCAGACCAGGAATTTGATCTATTCTGTTTCAAATTTGGAAAATTCCAGCCTTCTAAAGTTGTGTCTGCAGGATGAATAGTATGATAGGGTGACCCGCCGGGCTACAATCACAAAGATTATTAACAATTGGGAGAGTTGCATTAATTATTGGAAAGGTTTACAAGTTTAGTCATTTATTGTATTTGTTTATAAAAATTAAGCAAATGAAATGTTTCGGATTAGTCATTAAATTAATGTTAAAAGCGATCAGTTTGAACCCCAAGAACCAATTAATTATAAGTGATTCAAGAATCAGAAGCTTTTTATTAATAATACTTCTTCTTATTAATAATAATTCTTAAATTAAGAGGTGAATATTAAACCTTCCCTTACCTTTAACCACCACTTTCCAATGAAAAGCTTCTACAACAAACGTAATATTATGACAACATGAGTTTAAAAGGTTGAAGCCAATATGTACATTAGTTGCAGTCAAGAATCATAAAATCAAGCAGTGTTTATCAAGCTACGTCATATTCAATCATCATAAAAAAATCCTTTTAGTTTGTGTTCAGAGGTTTAATACTAATTTAAATGACATTGTAATTTATTGTAACTATTGTAATTGCTTCATATGAAGAAAACAATTGCATGATATGATTATACAGAATAATGTGATAATGCGCATGTTGGTTCTTAAGGTAACTTTAATAACCAATAGTGTAATTCGTGACATATTGTTGTCTGATATGGGAAGTCAAATAAAGTCTCTTCATGCAAATCGTACCAATATAAAAAAAATAGAAAAAAGTGTATTATTACAATACCTCTTTTTAATGTATACTTACACTGACATTCACAGATTTACTGACAAAGCGATTTTGAAGCATATCAGAATTTTCTGATCTGCAACTGAAAGCACAGCTCAGCATACCTGCCATTTGGACATCAGACTGATTTGCATAGTGCTGTATTCTAAAAAAATTAGAAAAAAAACAAATACACAAGGAATATTCAACATATGAAAGATAATTGTAATTACGTATATTACATAGAATGTATTAGATTTTGGCCGAAAGGATGTAGAGACCAAGGCGCATCTATATCTGGCGTTTGATGATTCGACTGTAGATTTAGCGAATTTGTAAGGGGTTGCGAAATAACAAGAGCAGCTAAGCACCATGCCTGCACTAAATCGGGTCTTTCTAAACTCGCCGCTACGTTTGCATTATAATGGCACATTGCGGGTATATTCGTGGTATTAATTCTAAAGGAAAATTATTTGTTTTAATTACACATTTTTTCGATCGGCCTTCTGTAATAAAGCTTAAATTGATGTTACATGTATTTTTCAGCTAATTCCTTATTGACAAAAAAAAGAGATGAGGCATCGTATATGGTAACTAAAGAATGATAATTTTTGTGGCATGTTCTTCCATATCCTCGATTTGGACCGTGAGAAGTTCTTCTTGTTACCTAAAAATAAACAATATTAATAAAGAAATCTATAACTTCCCACATTAATGAATGATTAATATAAGAAGTTTACTCGATCTTGAAAATAAAAAGAACTAATTGAGATATTATCTGCAGGTTGGACGTATGAATTGGAATAAATTTGCATAAAATGCCCTCCATTGTTTACACTAGACGCTAGTGCCGAAAGAGCACGAGGAGTTGTACCTTCGGGTTTGATGGAAGCTCGTCTGACATAAGATGAACGACCAAAGCACACAAGCGTGCCTGGAAATTATCATTTATGCATTTATTTAACTCATTTATTTCACAAGAGTTTAATAACTTTGTCTATTTGTATACTGACCTACACTGCAAAATTTGGCTCCTGATGTACGTGGAAATGGTATATAAGAATCTTGATAATTAGAACAAATCTTGTTGGAATTCAAAAAATTTTCTGTATGTTGAATATGATAACCAAGATGGTTATTTTCCGTTTCGTCTTTGACGCAAGTCTAAAAAATAAAAAATGATTGAGCTTCTGTATTGTTAGAAAGCGCATTTAAGTACTAGAGAATTTATTTTAAAAACCTGTTCCAACGTAGCAATCAGCTGTCTTAAGCAAGGTTCTAAGCAAGAACGATTTTTCCTTACTCTTTGTTGCGCAGTTTGTTTCAATACTTTTAAAAGCTTGGTCATGATTACGTTATCAACAGTAGTTCCTGGGCAAAATTGAAAAGTAGGCTGAGCACTATATGGATAATTTCCTGGGAAATTGACTTTTAAAACTACATTGTAGTTTTTATTTGAGGCAGTTACTGTACAGCTTCTTTCAGCGGCATCCATAGCATTTACCTACAAACAGTTATATATAATCTACCATGTAACCAAATAAATAATTCAATAAAACTATTAAATAATGTACCTCTATGTTTGGTATATTCATATTGATTAAAGAAAATTCTTGCTGTAAAGTTTTAGGCTGAGTCGGTGAAGAAGTTTCCTTTTCCAGTTTAGAAACGTCGCCTTCATAATTTAATTTCAAGTTATCCATACTTGTTGAATAATTTATGTCGCTTTCATTGTTTGATTCATGAAGCTGCAACTCCTGGACTGACTGTAATGTTTCTAAATACAAAAAAATAACTTTTAAACGAACAAGATATATCTGCAAAAACGAAATAAAGACAAGGATATATTACTTAAATTATCGTCTCCAGAATACTTAGAATATACGCAATTGCCGTCATCTATTTCATATCCACATAACTAGAAAAATAAAATGTTGATTATTTTTACAAGTACAATAATCATGCTATTAAATTAAATAATTATAATTACCTTTTTAAACAGAGGAGGAATCTTGAATATCCTTAAACATTGATCTTTTGACCATGTAATAAGCTCAAAATCATTTTTTTCTGAAAAGAAGTTCAAGTAGATTAATGAAAGAGATTTCATTTAAGAATGAATATTCTAATATTCAAGTTATGCTTTTAAATCAAAAGTTATAAATAGGAAGTAATCTACTCTCAATGAAAAAATTGGTGGAATTTTTTTTATGAACTTTGACATTTATCAGGCAAGTTTAAGATATCAAAGAGCTTTTTATAAATTACAGGCTCGATTAGACAGAATAATATTTAATAACTTGAATAATGGAAGAATGGAGTGGTATTATAAATTTGATACACACCTGTTCTTGGTTGTCTCCACTGAAATTCTAAAACAACATCAGTATGCCCCACAAATGTATAAACAGGTGTTGATAAATTGGAGGTATTCCATAACAATAAGCTATTTTCTCCTCTTCTCAACTGAGGTACAACAATAGTAACCAAACCCTCGCCAAAAGGCTAGGAAAAGAAATTAATTTTTAATTTTAAAAGAACAAATTATTATCTTAACAATATGACATACTGTATAGCGTGCTCTCCACACTGGAGAATTAGTTGTCAAAATATTTTCGGCTCTTCGTGGATTATTGGTGTCAAAAATTTTAACAGTACAATCTTGGCTAGATGTAGCTAACTGATTCTGTTGAAATGGACACCAGTCTAATCCATGTATCTATAATAAAGTTAAAATATTGATGATAACCCAGGTCAATTGATGAGCTTAATACATTCGCAGGAATGGATTACTTTTGTCAAATGCGCAGCTATATATTGCACAGGGCTATTTCCTTTTCGTTGATCCCACACTTTAACATCGCCATCATGTGAGGTTGCCAACATATTTGGTGATGAACCACTCCATCTCACTTGAGAAGCTCCAGCTAGAAAGCCAAAATCATCAAATTTTATTTTGAGAAACTTCATTGCAGCTGAAGGAGTAGAATTTTCAACATACCAACTGCTGACAACGACAAACTTGGTTTTCTCTGATCTCTTATATCCCAGATATGAATATACGTATCTATACTGCATGTTGCTAAAATATCTGGATCTTTTGGATGCCAATTTAAATCACTTACAACTCTAGTATGTGCACGTAAGCTGTGGGTGGGTTGCAAGTCATAGCCATTATTTCCCATAAAACTTAGAATTTCTACTCTATTATTACTCTGTGAAAATGAATTTAGATGACTAAATAATTGTATAGTTATTTTCCAAATGCTTTGTAATTAAATTAACATTGATTACTCACAGATATTGCACACAAATGACAATTTGCCAAATTAGGATTCCATTCAGCTGAACCTACTTCATATTTACTTTGCCTATGGAATTTTCTCAAAGATTCTGACTCCTCATCTAGATGTTTTATTGCCAAATATCTTCGTCTGTATAAGAAAAATTGATTGTTGTGTGACATATATTCTTACAATAAAAAAAAAAAATTTACAAAATAAAATTTACTCACCCAGCCAAGAGTACATGGTTACCTGTAACATCAACAGCCATAGTATTGGCCTGTAGTGAAATAATTAATCATTATATGATCTTAATAAAAAAAAGACTGGCAAAAACCAATTAAATAAACAAAAACCATATGTGAGTTTAAGTGTCAACAAACTAATGTAAATGTATATACCTGTACATCTCGATGTTCGGTAACCACATAGTCTCGACCCCAGCGTTTCGACATATTGACAATGTTTTTCCAATAAACAAACTTTCAACTGATAATAGTAAACATATTCATTGACCAAAGTGAACGTACATAGTTGGACTTGTGTGCGTGTTCACTATTTACTGCTGCAGGATAAGGTTAAAATTCATGTTACATTACCTAAAGCGAGATTGACTACGGTTGATTGGCCGAAAAAAAAAAAAAGAGAGAGGCTCATCGATCAAAGTATTCGTTTCGTTGTTAATGTAATTTGCGTATAGCTTGTCAATTGCAAAAGAAAAACAATCGGTTGCTATGACGATTTTGCGGGAGGTAATGTACGACGGTTGAAGTTATTCATCGAAATGACCCTAGCAGAAAAATGATTGATTTAAAAAAAGAATACCATTAGCTTCGTCTTAATTTGTACCACTCGAAAATTGGTTTTTTGGAATTTGTACCCCTCCAAAATGTTAAAAAAAACGAAAAAACGATATTTCGGAAAACTCATACTCCTGGCAGAAAAATGATAGATATCTTAAAAGAAAGAAATACCATTAGTTTCATTTTAATTTGTACCATTAGAAAAAAGCTTTTCTAGAATTTGTACCCTCTCTAAAAATAGAGAAAAAAAAAGATTTTCGTAGGGTAGATTAGCAATTTAAATTAACGTATTACTGCGCATGCGCGGTGGAAAATCTATTTTCCAGCAGACAAATATACGATTTAAAAAAATATATATATATGGATGCCTTCTTCTTAATTTGTACCATCTAAAAAATACATAAAACTAATTTGTATCCCTGTAGAATTTGAATAATACAATGTTTTTTGTGCGATTGTAATACTGATAAATTTTACAGGAAAATCTTTTATTTCTTAAGAAAAAAATATATTTCTAGCTTTACCTTAAATTTTACCAACTGAAAATAGTTTTATTGTAATTTTTACACTCTAAAATTTCATTAGACTTGTTAATATACAAAGTCCTAAGTTAACGTGTGTTTTTATATGGTCGTGTATATTGTTTAAGGAAATAAATATTTTTCCTATGAGAGTTTCCTACTTTATCATCCGAGTAATCAGCTGTTTTTGCGGATGTAGGAGTTTAAGAACAATTGCTAATCTACCCTACGAAAATCTTTTTTTTCTTTATTTTTAGAGAGGGTAAAAATTCCAAAAAAGCATTTTTCTGATGGTACAAATTAAAATGAAACTAGTGGTATTTTTTTCTTTTAAGATATCTATCATTTTTCTGCCAGGAGTATGAGTTTCCCGAAATATCGTTTTTTTCGCTTTTTTTTAACATTTTGGGGGGGGTACAAATTCCAAAATAGCAATTTTCGAGTGGTACAAATTAAGACGAAGCTAATGGTATATTTTTTTTTTAAATCAATTATTTTTCTGCCAGGGTCGTCTCGATAAGTTATTCGCGAGTCGCGGTCGTGTCAGCTGCTAGTGTGGCAGACGGCAGGGTGGGGAGATGCGGAGTTTACAGCGAATGAAGGGGCAAGGGGAGAAAAACACTGTGGGTCATGTGTGGAAACTGCGAAAGAAGGGGAGGGCGTTGCTGCGCAAGTGCGAGCGCAAGTCATTGTTGTTGGTTTTTGATAGTGAGTGCGAGAGAGATAGAGCATTGAGAGGCAAAGAGCTGCTTCGAACAACGCTGTACTTGTATGCTATTTCTGTCACGTAGCTATATAGTGTGTATATATATATATATATATATATATATATATATATATATATATATATATATATATATATATATATATATATATTGTGGCTGCAGCCAAAGTCACTTTACACATATACGCAGTTCAGCTAAATTGCACCAAGCCATCGATTAAGAGTGGGACTTTGTGATCGGCGCAAGAAAACTGAAAACAAAATTATAAAAAAATAGTTAAAGTGTGGTTTCTCATAGTGGTAGAGCCGATTTTGACGACTTTTTCCGTGAGCCGCCCAAGTACCAAGTAGTTCTATCGAGTAGTGCTGATTTCTCTTTTGACGTTTTAAGGCCTCTTTGTTTGTTTGCTCTCTCGCGCCCACAGTGCTGATAAAATGATATTCGTGACCATGGATTGTCTTCGACATTAGCAGGTGCTGAGTTTAGTAAATTTAGTTTTCTTCTGTGGAAAGTTTTGCAAAAAGAAACATATATATATAGACTCCGAGTGCATTTCCTGAAGAGTGAACCGACAAACTTTGCTTTAACCGCGACCCTTTCATTCGAGTGACGCTATCTTGTGCTACTTATCTTTCCTTTGCCAAAAGTTTCTAAATTTTGTTCTTTGTTGCGATTACATCGAGTGTCGCGAGTGCGTTGTTCTCATCGCGACATTTATCTGTGTCAAAGAATTTGGTCCGGTTCAAGTGCGACTAATTAAAGCATACAAATAGCCTCGTACTTTATTGTGCTGCTGTGAATAACAATTATTAGAATTCTATTACAATTTGCGATTCAGTTGACTTGTTTTCTCTCACAGTTTTTCTGAACTCTACATCCTATTTAATTTGTGATGTACCCCAAGTGTAACGCTGAAGGAATCAACGTCGAATCGTCGATCAATTTTGTGCACTCGAAGAGAAAAGGATTCTTCATACACAAAAAAAAAATGCTAAGAGACCCCATAAGTTTACGAAATCGTATAAGTTGTTTTCTTCTTCGTCGTTATTAAATAATCTCGCGCTCAACGCTCTCTGTTTACAAGGAACTTTGGAAATTGCACGTAGTTTCAAGGCCAAGGATATTGCTTCTTTGTAAGGAGTTCTCTTGCACCTTAATTCTATAAGTACAAATTTACCGTCCCAGTGCAATCTTTAAACATTGAAAATAAAGCATAAACAAACAGCAAAAATGAAACTGTTGGAAAGCACTCGCTTTGAGGCAATAAACAATGCTTTATCCATTACAACTGGAGACAGTAAAATCATTGGAAGGTCAGTATAGATAATGTTTGTCAATTTCTTGTATCACAATGCATGTTTTCATTATAAATTAAATATTGACTTTTATGCTTATTCACAGAATTGAAAGTTACTCCTGTAAAATGGCTGGAAATGATAAGCAACTATATAAACGTTTTAATTCTGAGCAAGGTGTAACACCACATGATTTTCAAGCATTATCACCACCTCAAACATCTCTTGGTACATCTCCAGCTCAGAGCTATTATAGGTGAAAATATATTTTATGCAAAGAATTGAATGATTTAAAATATTTTCTTATACAATCAAAATCAATTGGTCTTGTGTAGTCGTAGTATTTCTGGAGATGAGGAAGGTCCCTTATGTGATACAATCAGCAGAAAAACTTTATTCTACTTAATTGCAACTTTGAACTCAGCATTTTATCCAGACTATGACTTTTCTGATGCTAAGAGTCATGAATTCAGTAAAGAACCAAGTTTACAATGGGTTATGAATGCTGTAGATAGTAACTTGAGTGCCACAGCTGGAGATCATTATCGTACATTGAAAGCTGCACTTTGGGCTACTATTGAAGATGAGATATCTTTGAATGAATGTGATATTTACAGGTAACGACAGGTGGGAAAGTTATGTGCACTTTCTGAGAATAGGTTCACAATTATTTTTTAATTTTAGCTACAATCCAGATTTAGCATCTGATCCTTTTGGAGAAGACGGATGTTTATGGTCATTTAACTACTTTTTTTATAATAAAAAGCTTAAGAGGATTGTATTCTTCACCTGTAGAGCAATAAAGTAAGTTGTTTTCATCATTTGAAAACTAAAAGTGAATGTTTTTACAGACTAGTTCATTAAAATAAATTTTTTGTAGCCCGCTTTATGCCATGGATTCAGGCATTAGTAGTGATATTACAATGGATGAAGACGATGACGATACTTACTAATCCGTAGAGTTTCTGATGACTATTTTGAACTTTAGGATTTTCACTCTGAATGTTATATTACTTTAAGTACCCTGTAGTATTGCAAAACAATTATCACATTACAACAGTGTATTCTTGTTTCTTACTTTTTGAAAGTAGTTTTTTTTCTATAAGGCAATAGAATAGTAAAACTGGGCCTTCACAGGTGAAAATTAGTAATGTCAGATAGATGAACATATATAAATATTTGTAAAGTCTTTTACAAAATTCTATAAAGACACTATTACTATGTAATGAAAAATATTCCCTGAATAATTTCGATTCTAGTGTTTGTCAAGATTGCAATCAATTTACTCTTGATTTAAAATCAATTGTTGATTGTACAAATTCATCTCTAACGTGTATTAGAGTTTGCAGAATTGTAATTAAAAGAAAAAAAATTAAATTCAGTATCTAACTACTTCGAACATTGATGATACTATTTGACTTATGTGATCAAGAAGAAAATCATGTTAATTCGAATTATATACAATATTTTTTTTTTTTAAATACCAATGTACTATTATAATTTTTCGTGTAAAAATAAAATAAAAATATGAATGAATTACAATATTATTTCCGAATCTTACCTTGTTAAAAGGAAGTACATAGAAAATATTACATGAAAAAATTATAACAAAAAAGTTCTTAATTTAATAGCAATTGATGTTATCTACATTACTAGAGTAGTTTGAGTCCAGTTATCAAAAGTCGTACAGAAACTTCTTAACAGAAAACTAAAAATAATTTTTGATTATTACGAGTATAAATTTTTAATACTACTCACAAACTTTCCTTGCAACGACATTAGCACTTGCTATAATATCATGATTCAGTTAACAATTATAAATTTTACGGGAAACATTATTCAACGTGAAAAATATTGGGGTGCTTGTTGATAAAAGTTATCTAGTTGTAAAAATGCTGTACTGTATCTCATTAGTTGTAGTAAAAAAATATTTGGAAATGTTTCCTCAAGTTAATATAAAATTGATACACGTAAAAAGCAAAAAGTGTAATTGAAAATTCTGGATTACTCAAAGCTATTTCAATAATTTACAACTTTACTTTTTCAAGGACTTCACTTTGTTTCACTCGTTAAATGTTCTTCATTTACTTGTACATTATGACATCAGGAGATTGATACATGCACATGTATGCGTCACATAATAGTCTCTTGGCATGTTCAGGAAGTATTTTGTCATCTGTAACTGTGGATAAATAATTGGCTCCTTCTTCACTTAACCAGTAAGGAAAGTCCGGACACGGTACCATTTCAGGGATGTTATACCCATTTTGCTCTCCTTAAAAATTTAGATTTGATCAAACATGAGTATTGGGTCAAATTAAGAATTGCAAATTTTACTTTACCTTTTCTATCTGCCATTGAATCAAAAAAACACCAAGGCGCATTAGAACCAGGACCACATTTAACAAAAGATACATAATGCGATGTTTCAATGCACACAACAGCCAATAGTTCCAATAATAGTCGTGGAACTACATAATTCTCTTTTAAAATTTCATACTTCAATGGTACACTTAAGGCTCTTGGTTTATGATTTGTTCTCATTTCATGACTATGTGCCTAAGTATAAAATATTTTGATTAAATATTCAGATAATTATTGTGTAATAATGAACATCACGACAAACCTTCTCGAGACATTTGTTACAAAATGCTGTACTTTCTAAACCTTCACCACATTGTCCAAAACATTCTTTACATTCAAATTTAGCCAATTTTCCACAAACTGTACATTGTCTGGGAGCTGAAAATGGTTATACATTATATCTTGTGTATAAATCCATTTTAAAAACAATCAATTCATTGCATACTCACAATCGTCAATAATATCCGTCACGTCTAAAAGTAATGTTGGTTGTATTTTTGAGTACATTTTAAAAGCTTTGCCAAAACGAGGCATTTGGATAATGAAACATGAAGGTACTTGGGCTAATTTAATATTACTAGTTAAAAAACTTTGCTCCAGTAATTGCTGCACATTGGGTAAAGTAAGTTTTTCGTCTTTTTCAACAAAAAGTTGATAAAAATATGAATCCTGTCCGGAACTCAATACTAAAAACGGCTCAGCTTTCAATGTTTGTGCTAATAACGACGTTAAAAATTCCTCTGGATCTGTGTAAAATTGATGTTGATAATATAATAATTGAAATAGCAAACCGTAATTATATGCACTTGCATTTATTTATTTTGATACCTTTCTCTTCAGTAGTTAGACCAGAAATTGATGATGATTTGTCCAACAAAGTTCTCAATTTCATGACGTGATCAGCTCCAACAAATAAATCCTTTCTTAAAGGATTAACTATTTCTTCACGCAAGACTCTTTGAACTTGTTCATATTCTAAACAATCTCCCTCATTTGCAGGCCTATATAAAACATAACTGCAAATTAGAAAGAATACACAAAAATAGATAGGAATTGTTACTAACTTACCTAAATAATAGGCGATCGAATATAGAAGTAAAAGCAAACATGCTGAAAAGAGTGGCATCCAAATAACAAGAATTATGATGACCTTGTATACCTCTAAACTTGCCACAAATTTTATCCAAATTATTTCTAACACATATAGGTGGTACTGCTCCAGTTACAATAGAACTTTGAATTGATTGAAAATTTTCAGTTGCAGGATGGTAATAGCTTTTGCTTGCCTGTACATGTACATGTTTTGATTATCAATATAATAAAATGATGTAGGGTGTGAAAATAAGGTAAATAATCTTACTGCCATATCATATTGATAACAATCCTTTAAATCAGTAAACCATGCTCTCTGTGGTTTACATTGGAAATACCGGATATTTTGATACGTTCCATCTGTTGCTAACGGATGAACATCATCCTACAAATAAAGTAATTTATAAAATAAGTAAGAGAATAATTAAATTATCTCTCATCATCTTACCAATTCAATGGCTGCCATCATCTTATTTGTATTAGAAGTTTCAGGTGAACCAATCCATCTTATAACCCCATAATGTACATCATTATTAACTAAAACTTTTACACAAGAGCCAATATTCAAGTCCTGTGTATTCGATGATTGCTGAGAATTTGAAGGAATCTCTTCTGCTTCATCATCTACAAATGAAATTAGTATTAGATTAAATTACACGGAATTCTCAAAATTTTTTATTTAACAAAACATTGATTTTCAGATTTTTAAAACGTTTTGTTACAAAATCTACATTACTACTCCAATTTGGATCCAAAACAAACGTTGGATAAAGATGTAAAGATGTGGACATTTTATAAATGAACCTTAAGACTGATTTAATCTTATAGACACTACTACTTGCTCGGAGCACCCAAGCAACATTCTAAATTTAAACTGCAAGTTATTATTATCCCTTCCAAGACAGGGCAGACAAGCCAATGAGCTCATGTTTTTTCTGTGAGATATTTTAACTAATTATAATCTTTTAATTAATGAAAAATTAATTCTTACCAGAATTGAGAGGATCAAAACTTTTCAAGTTTCTGTACATTTGCTTTGAATCATGTTCTTGTTGTTGGATTGAGATTTTTGATGAATGATGATATGAATGCGTAAAATTATTAATAACTTCAGTGTCAAGATTTTCATTATTATTGTCACTGTCTAAAAGTGAAGAACATTTATTTTTGTCAAATATATTTGTGCTTTTCTCAGTTTCAATTATTTCCTTGGCTTTAGAAGCAAAAAAACTGTCACTTGGTTGTAATATGTTGCTGGATAAAAATTCTGTTGCAAAAAGAATAAATATTTAAAAAATTTTATAAATTTGTAATTAATATAATAATATTTATTATATTATATTAGATACTTTTCTCAAAATTTCTAATTTCATCTAAAGCATCAGTTTTTCGTGGATTAATGTTACTTAATGTTGTAAATGTTCCAGGTGAATTAAAAATCTTAAAATATTTTTGAGTCAAAGGAGAAGGTTTACATACATTTGAATTTTCCTACAAACACATTACAATTTAAATATAAATATATAGATATTTAAGATATCTAGCAATAAATGAGTTGTTACCAATAAATCAAGTGCTAAATAATATCCATCTCCAAATTCTTTTACAGAGGCAAAACATTTTACGCTTGCTAGATATGTATTTAAATTATTAGAATCTGGACAGAACCAAACTTTACTATTTGGCCTAATATTCTCCACATCTTTACAAAACTGCTTATTTTTTGCTAAGCGCACCCTATCTGCTAAACTTGAAACAGCACATAGTAGATTCCAAATTAAACTTGAAACAGGTAGTAAGTCAATTTTGTAACATTTCCATTCCGTATGGTACCATATTTCACTAGGATTTTTACAATAAACTTTAACTCTAAGAGCATCTTCATTTTCATTTCCAACGGCTTGTACAAGCATTCCTGGCAAAACTTGACCAATATTAGCATTACATATTCCAGTTAAACGGCTCAAAATGGTTTCTTTTACAACGATATGATATGTTATATTTGAATTATCATGTATTGCTAAATGACTAAGATTGCACCACTCTTCTTCCATTTTATCATGAAATTTGTTGCACTATCAAACATTGTCAAACACCCATGAAATAGTAGTAGATGACATTCATCTTCTTATAAAAATATTATGTATAAATAAACAAGAAACACGACACAAAATATAATTAGCAAAAGATTTTATACATTAAATGATCTATACAGATGCAAATAAGAAATTATAATTCTTGTCATCCCTATACTTAAATATTAATTTTTTTTTGCTCTTCCACAATATTTCAATCTTGATTAACATATTATTTCGTTTTTATTGAAGTATGAATAATGTTTCAGAAATTTATATAGATCATTATTGAATTTGTATTCACAAAGAACAACAAATACGTCATTCAAATTTCAAACTTATATCAAACGTTTTAAGCAAATAATAATAGTTTGTAAAAATCACAAAATCATGGTTGACAATGAAATAACGCTCGCTATTGCTAATCGTAGGACGCAGATCCGCTCGGATATCAGCTGATAATGTTAATTTTCAGACAACTCTGTAGAGAGCGCTTGCAGTAAAAATTTGGATTTGTAGATAATACAGATCCAGTACTCGGTCGGTGTGCCCCACGGTGGCGCACACGGAGCAGCAGTGCAGTTGCAGAGAGAAAAAACAGGCGCGAATTCGGCCTATCGGTTTATTTGTTGGTTAACTCAAACTTTAAAGCTTATATCATTTGGTGTTTATTGTATAAAAATAAATAGTGCTGGGCAAATGAGTTAAATTTTATAAAAAATAATTATCTTTTATAAATAAAAAAAAATGGGTGATTCTGATCTAAACGAACTGCTCAGAAGAGCAGAACAAATGGCTGCTGATGTAGAAGGCAATGGGGAGTTACCACAAGTGGAGAGAAATCTTCGACAAATATTGGATGGTTCCAACGAAATATGGTCGCAAATGACACAAACTGGAACTCAGGACAATCAAAATCAAGCGTATGATTTTCATTCTAATTTTTTATTTGACGTAGCGATTTGATTTGTTCTAAAAATCATAATAAAATCTTACATTTGATAGGCATCTTTTGTTGGGTTCGAGAGGCATTGATTTATCTCAAATTGCTCAAAAATTAAATTCTATTAGTACTCGTCGTACTTTTGAACCATTAGATCCTATAGCTGACACTGATATAGTAAGCTACCTCAGGAATGAAAAAGAAAATGCGATACTTTCTATTATTGAACAAGTTAACAGAGATGTTAGTATTGACTATGTATCATTTATTTGCAAATTTTATTGAAATTTATGCATAGTCAAATTATTTTATTTTCAGACTTTTGAACTCAATCGAGTTCAACAATTAGAGCATACTCTTGGAGAATGGAAGCAAATGAAATTTGAAATAATGAACTCTATGACTGCACCTTCGGGAGAGTTGGTTGATTTGCGTGGAATTCCACAACGCACCAAAGTTGCTGGATCAATGATGAATGGTCTATCGAATGTTGAAGCAGCTTATGCTAAAGAATTACAGAATTATAATGAACATGTCCTGAAAGGAGTTACAAGACCTAGCTTGTTCGATGCTTTTTCTACAGCAGCAGCAACATTCAATGACAAAAAAGTTTTAGACATGTGGCAAATGGTGAAAAGTATGGTTGATATACCTTTTACACCTGCTGGAGATCCAATCAAATCAAGGACTAGTACTATTATTGAGACAAAGATTGTTTCACAAGCAAGAAAATACTTGGAGAACAGATACAAGGAATTTATGAATTCAATTGTAAGTGAAAATCTAGCACAAGCAAAAAGAGGTGGCATACCAGGTACTTTTCCACTTGTAAAAAGCTTTGTTGGAATTAAAATAGATAGTATGAGAGATTTAGAAGAAGTACTCATTGAAGATAGACCTCTCTGGCCTTTGGTATATTATTGTATGAGGTCAGGTGATTTAAAAGGTGCCTTGTACTGTATTAATCAGTGTGGAGCAGCATTCCAAGAGTTCAGATCAGCTCTAGAGGAAGCCATAGAAGATTCCCAACGTCATCCTAGTTCTCGGGCTGAATCTACTTTAAAACTTCATTACAGAAAACATGTCCGATCTTCCACAGATCCATACAAAAAAGCAGCATACTGTGTACTTGTTCCTTGTGAACCAGATGACCTTCACACAGAAGTTATGTCTGCTGCTGATGATTATTTATGGCTCAAATTATGTCAGGTCAGAGAACAACCAGATCCTGAAAATAAACTAACTTTGGATCACTTGCAGACTACTATCTTGGAAGTTTATGGTATTTTATAGCAAAACAGTGTGATAATATTAGGTTTTTTTTGCCCTTTATGTACATTTTATACATATATTTTATTTATTTCTTCCAGGTGAATCATACTACAGAGCCCATGAACAGCCCTTTTTATATTTTTCTATGCTATTTTTAACTGGACAGTTTGAAGCTGCCATTGAATTCCTTGCAAGAGGAGCAGGAGCTCGCCACTTAGCTCATGCAGTTCATTTATCTGCTGCAATGCATGAACATGGCTTACTAGCAGTTAGTCAAAGTGTTTTAGCACCACTAATTAGTATTGATCCAGCAGATAAATCTCCAGCTAAAAGGCTTAATTTTGCTAGATTAATATTAATGTATGCCAAGAGGTTTGAGTCATCAGACCCAAAGGAAACATTACATTATATGTTCCTGTTGAGGTAAGATTTTAAAAAACCAATACTTAAAGAAGTTACTCATTCTTATTAATTTTTTATTTTCTTAGATGTATGAAAGATCCATATGATAGAAATATGTTTGCTGCATCTGCAGCTGAAATGGTGGTAGAATTATCTCCAGATAATCGTACTCTACTTGTTGGAAAAATAGATAAAGATAGACGCTTACCTGGATTATTGGATCAATTTCAAGTAAATACAGATGACGTTATTAGTATATGTGCCGAAACTCTTTATAAAAAAGGTTTATTAGAAGATGCAGTGATGATGTACGATTTGGCTGGAAATCACGAGAAAGTATTAAATTTAATGTGCGTGCTATTGGCCCAAATTGTGAGCCAAAAGAATACATCAGGTTCTTTAAGGTCACGTTTGCAAACTGTTGCAACAGAAATTAGTCTTAGATATCAAGGCTTACCTATTCAAGCTTCAGCGGAGTCAGTAGCTGCTTTCTATACTTTAAGGGATCTCATGGTTTTCTTTGATCAATTTCATAATGATCAGTATCAAAATGCCCTCAGAGTATGTATAAATACAGTTTTATCAATTATATTTGTTTCTTTTGTTAAAAATATTACATAAATATAATATTTTCTGATCAGACAATAGCAGACTCAAAATTACTCCCACTCCACGTGAAACAAGTGGATGAGAGAGTTACAGCATTACGCCGTGTGTCACCAGAAGTGGCTGGTACTTTGGCCGATGTACTTCTTGCGACGATGACCATTCTTTATCGTCAATATCAAAAGCTAAGGTCTACTGAGCCAGGCGATGAAATTGCAAGGGAACAACAGTTGACAGATCTTCGAGAACAAGCTCGCGCTTTAACGAGTTTTGCCGGAACTCTTCCATACCGTATGCCAAATGAGACCAACAGTCGTTTAGTTCAAATGGAAATTTTGATGCACTGAAGCAAAATTTTAAATATCGTGCATTTGATACAACAAACGATTAATACTTATTTGTATTATTTTTACCATTAAAATGTAAAATACTTATAATGTAAAAATAAATTAACTATAAATAGTAATAATTTATTAAAATTCTGATTTTATTCTCATGTAAAAGTGAATATAATTATACTTAAAAAATATAATAATCTAGTAACAAGATTTATTCTCTAAATTACCTACACTCAAGGATTTAACTGTTATTCCACTACTTAAGTCTTGAACTTTGCCTTCTTGTAACTGAAATATTAAATATGAAATAATAGTTATGTATGTATTGAGAAGTGAATTTTTATACAGATAAGTACAAAATATTTACAGCTCTGTAGTCTAGAATCAATTCTTTAAATGCTAAGAAGTCAGTAAATGTCAAAAGAATTTCAAAAACTTCTCCTTCCAACTCCGAACGTCTTTTACTAAAATTATTTATTTTTTTTATGTCCTTGCAAGATTTTATACTATTAAAATAATCTTAAGACTCACAGTAGTTCACTTATGAAATCGTTCATAGAAAAGTTTGGTATCAATGATGTCAAGTTCGTATCAATGTAACTTTCAATAGCTTTGTTCTAGGCAAAATATTAAATAAAATTACAATCATTATCATACATTTTTCTCAATATAAACACTTACATATTCATTAAATATTTCCATGTATAATAATTTATTCTCTTCAACTGGTTCAAAAACTCTCCAATATTTATCCAAATAATATTGTTGAACTGATTGAAATCTTTTTTCTGCAAAAATGTCATTTACTCTTGTAAACAAAAATCTTAGCATTTTATTATTCTCTTTATTTTACCCATTATAAGATCTTCTATATGTCCAATAATTTTATCAAATAAACTATCACAAGCTTCACTTTCTTGTGAATTATTCTCTGAAGATTGAGCAACCAACGAATCCACTAAAATTTAAGAATTTTATCAGTACAATAACCAGTAGTTCTAATATTTCTAATGGAAAATAAATTTTTTTCGATAACATATATAGAGATATCTGCAATATTTAATATAATTTAAGAAGTTTTTCTAATCTTACTTATTTTTAAAAATACTGCAAATTTATTGAATTCACAAGTCGGTTCACATATAAGATCAATCAATATTTTCTTTTATAAAATTCTAGAATTTCAGTTTGAACAACCAAATTTATATTTTTTTAAAACAGAATGATTTCTTGTAAACCTGATCTGCATACATATTAGCCATGTTGACACTTTCTGTGATAGTAAAAACAATATGGCGACAAATGCAAGTGCGCAGTAACTACGGTCGCAGTAAACTTTTGTTTTGATTATTCTATTGGGCAAAGTAATGTCCAAAAGTTGCCGTTAAACTATTCTTACAATTAAGTTTTCTTTGCTGATCGTACTAAAAAGTATAATTTAATATGTCGGAACACGCTATCCCGCTTGACATTCTTGATGATTTGAGCAGGTTAAATATTATTATCTATAAATAATGAATTAGATAATCAAGTTTTCAAATGAAATCAATTTACATAGTATTATTTAGTTTATACACTTAGTTAATACAAGGGCTTTCTTCATCAATAATTTTATAAAATATTTTTTTTATATAATATAAAAGATGCATGAAAACTAACCCATATTTATTCCATCAAAAGAATTTATTGATGGCCCAATGGCAGACTGAAATCTTTATAATTTTTATAATCTTATATATCTTTATAAACTTTATAATCAATTTACTTTTTCAGTCGCTTCATCATCAATATCCCTGAAGAAGAACGAAAAGATCACATCCGTATATGTTTCCAAATAGAATTGGCTCATTGGTTTTATTTAGATTTTTATTGTACAGAAGAAAATCCAAAATTGAAATCATGTGGAATGAAAGAATTTACAAATCATATATTTAGGCATATTCCTTATCTAAAACCACATTTCCCTCGTGTTGATGCAATTTTAGATCAATGGCGTGAATATAAACAAAATGTACCAACATTTGGAGCCATAGTTTTGAATGAAGATTTAACCAAAGTTTTACTTGTTCAAAGTTATTGGGCTAAAAGTAGTTGGGGCTTCCCTAAAGGTAAAATTAATGAAGATGAAGATCCTTCCCATTGTGCAGTTCGAGAAGTTTTGGAAGAAACTGGTTTTGACATTTCTAATTTCATTGATAAGAATGAATATATTGAGTCTGTCATCAATGACCAACTTGTAAGATTATACATAATATCAGGAGTACAAAAAGATACCAAGTTCCAACCCAAAACACGTAAAGAAATCAAGAGTGTGGAATGGTTCGATTTAGAAAGTTTGCCTAATAATAAAAAGGATATGACACCAAAAGTAAAAATAGGAGTTGGACCAAATGCATTTTTTATGGTTTGCCCTTTTGTCAAGTGAGTATACGAAAAAAAGTATTTTTCATCTTCAATTTATTTTTACCTAATTATAAATATTGTTAGACGCGTGAAACGTTGGGTCCAGGACAAACAACAAAAAGAAAAGAGTGCATCAACTACCCAAGCTAAAAGAAATCGCCATAAATCTATTGGAGATATTGATTCTAGCACTAAAAATAAACGGTCACAAACTGTTACAAAAGTAGGTTATTTTGTATTCCCATTTAAAATTAAGTCTTTATTGATTTTCATTTGATAAAAATTTCTACTTGTAGAATGATGGAGTAGATTATAAATATCAGCGTCAAGTTAATACATCCCCTGTGCAAAATCGCCAAAAAACACATGATTATAAAAATACATCGTCTAAAGGAGCATTCAAGCGTAATTTGTTTGGCGAACAAAGTGGAGAACAGTCTCCACCAGCTTTAGCAAAACAATTGATAGAAAGTCCATTGAAATCTAAGTCTAATATATTTTTGAAAGACACAACAAACTTGGTTGTCAAACGGTCAGAAAATATCAACAAAACACCAATAGGAAACAAAGAAAAAAAAGGTAGGTAATCAAGTTATGATTTTACACTATGATAAATTATTTTACACTACATTATCTGATTAAACTATTTTTCCTTAGAAAATGTCAAGTCAAATTCTGGAAAATTGACTCGAAAAATGACAGAAAAATCGATGACTTATCAGTTAACAATACCACAGGTGTCAAGAGATTATTTTGGAGCATTTGATTTTAAAGCACAAGTTTGGATGAATTTTAAATTTGAAAAAAAGTCTATACTTGGTTGCTTGTAAAATGAAGGTGATGAGGAGTTATTAAGTATCAGAAACTTTTCTGTGATCTCATTAACGTATCTTTTAATTATTAGTTATTATCACTGCCAAACTAGTTTTATCAGATGTGAAAATTATATATGAATATTACTTTATTAAATTAAAAACAATATAATAAATGATAATAACTATTATCATTATAACTGAATTATTGGCAATTTAAAATTGAAAAAGTGAAATTTAACATTTTTTTGATGTTTAGTGGGAATTAGTTAAATTGTTGTGAACAAACGATAAAATCTAAATCGAGAGATTTAGTAATGTAACACATTCATTTTTATGTTGCTCCACATATAACTTATAGATTTTAGTGATTAATACATCCACAGTATTAGCAACACGATCTGCAAAGTTCCAAAACAAAAAAAATTAACAAATTGTTTAATAATATTTATTTTATTTAATAATGATATTCAATATCGTTTATAGATTGCGCATTGTAAAGCGTTAATTTAGTCTACTTGATTAACTAAATGAGAAAATATAAAAATTTTAAATTGGTGATATAAAATGCATAAATGACAAGTTATACTTGTTTTTTATTTTTTCTAACATTTTGGCAAAAACTGCCCAAATTGATTGCATAAATCACTGTTCTCCTTAATACTAGTTGTTTTTATAATACATAGTTTGGTCTTTTTGATCAGTTCTGGAATTTATTAATAACTTTCTTTCCCTGCAATATTTAGTGACTAGAATTATTATGGCTACAATAAATCATGACATGTTTCAACTAATTATCAATAAAATAGTAATTTATTTGCAGAGCTTGTGCAATTAAAAAAATATATGTACAATAAAATTTTTGATAATTTAGAGTCTTGTAATTTACTGTCTAAAGTTGAAGAAGACAATGATGATAAAGACAAGAGCCATAAAAAAATACCCAATTTTTTTGATGATCACAGTGCCTGCGCCTTTGACACTTCTAATAATCTCATTATTTAACATATAAACAGTTTTACTTTCTTCGAGTAGTTTATTTTTTGTTTCTTCATCTAAAGTGTCTGCGATTCTATTCATCGTATTGCGCAATTCACGTTTTAATTCATAAATATTATATTCACCAAAGTCTGTGAGATTGTTTCCACCACTTAATGTATCTTTAAAAGGGCTAATTTTTTGTACAAGAGCCCTTTTTTTTCTAAGAATGATCCCACCACTGAGTAGACCCATGTAGAGATGATAAATATATGCCATTAGCAATAAAGGATCTGTGTCTTCTACTTCTCTAAGTCTCATTAAATACCTAGCTACACTTTCCCTGAAAGAAAATTCAATGAAAATAGTTACAGATTTTAAAATATGAATGATGATAATCAGTTTTAAATCAAGTAGAATACCTTGGCGTGTAATTTTTCATCCAACCTTTTCCTAAATAAAATTCCAAGTCTTTTTCAAATGCCTCAGTTCTCTGAAGCCCTTCAATTCGTAACTGTCCTACTTTGGTATTTTTCAATCTTAGCATGGCACCTTCTAAATAACGAAAAACTTCATAGAAAACTAAAAGACCATCCGCCCATACTTTGTCGTCCATAAAACCTGTAAAATTATTTTTGTATTATTTGGAACATGGATGATTTTAAGGAAAGGATGGCCATTGAACTTATCTAGAAAGAGGCAATTATTATTACCGAAAGCTAATTTGGCGTTGACTAGGGCATCGCTAATCGCATGGATTTCTCTGGTGGTCTTTCGCATCTTCTTGCAGAAGTTGTCTTCCTCGTTATCAGGCATCTTCTTACGGAAATAATAAAAGTCCGCCAAACGAAAAATAAAAAAATGGTGGACAGTTATCTCGAATTCACGTAGTCATTGTTGCCACCGGTGCTCGATCTCTCGGCGTTGTTTCAATCGAGAGAACAACCAAAAAATACGCTCTACTCAGCTGCTGCAGTTGTTTGTGGCACTTTGGAGCTGCAACTCGCACGGCGTTCGCTCTAGCACATCGATGACGTTATTCATCGTCTTCTTTCCTTCTCTCTTTTACCCTTGCGCCTATTGCCTCTGTCGCGCTCCCACATTGACGCAATCACGTGCAAGACCGCAATGCCCGTAGCCTCTCTGCTTCACCGACAGGTGGCAACGATGTTACGAATTTATAGAATTTTTGTAGCCTACTTATTAGAAATAGATACAAAAAATGCTAGAATTCGCTGACGATGTAGTTATTATATACATATATATACAGTGAGAAAATCCACAAGAAGATATTAACAAACTCAAACTTACCATTAACTCTGTTATATCGTTTCTGGAAAGAAGAGGTCCGGGAATTAGCCTTGCATAAATGCGAATTAATGATTTTCAATAAGATTATTATAAATATCAAAAACATTGATTTAAAAATAAAGCATATTATATTGCTAACCAGTGAAATTGAACTCTTTGGTATGATTTTGGACCAATTGTTAAAGTATTTAATTAAAAAACGTATTTTTTCCAATAGAATCATTAATCGCTTTAAAAGGACTTTGTGGGGAGGCGGTGACTTTTATCCTGCTATACGAGACTGCGATTAGATCCAGACTAAAATATTACGGCCTTCTTGTCTAACCATGTTAAGATTCAAATTTTGACAAATTACGAAAGATACAAAATACTTCATTAAGATTGTCGTTAGGTTATTAAATATTATTTCAGCTAAATCAAAACTCCATTTCTTGCATAGATTCAAAATCCTCGGTTTCATGTCAATTCGCGACAATCGCACAATTAATAATATTAAAAAAGTTATTGAATTGTCCAATGATTTTTTATGAGTTTAATTTCATTAAACAATGCTTATCGAATGTTATATGAATATTTATCTAATCATTAAATTAGATGTATTTTTTAAAATTCACTATACGGTTTAAAAGCTTTTTAGAAGAATTATAGAGATATAGATTTCACTTCAGGCAAAAAAATTTTAATAGCTTCTGAGCATATTAAGGCATTCAAAGAGATATTTGAAACAGAATAAGAAACAATTGATATCTTTACTGAAGGTTCGAAATTCAACACGGATAATAAAAGTTACGTTGAACTAGACTAGCTGTTTGAAGTTCTCATAATCAGTTCCACAATTCAAATTTTCTTATAAAATTCCGGATCCAGCCTCGATACAATAAATATTTAAGATCTGTATATTAATATCACACGGTCTTTCCTAAAATATTTTAATAATATTCTGTCGTTTTATACTTTTTATATTATGTTATATTTATGGAAGTATGTATAGATTAAAAAAAAACCTAGTTACTAAGTGTATTTCAAATATTAAAATATCTAATAGCTCTGTAATTAAAATTGGAAACTCCGTATGCCCTCATGGGATTCACTGTTCTAGTGTCGTGACTCTATACTGTAATAAGTTTATGCTAATAAAACTCTAAAATTGAAAATTAAATTGTCCTATCGTGTATTTTCCTATTATATATCAAATTACATAGACCTTAATTTTCTTGCTCGACCTTTCTTTCTGCTAACACAGAATAGTCTTGCTTAAAACAGAAAGAGAATTAATTTTTTTTTAACACTCTTTCTAATCAGATTTATTTGCCCCGTAAGTACCGTTATATTTATTTTACTTGTTTTCTAGTCGAAATTTAAAAGTAATTTTCTGTGTCTTCTTACATCGACTACTGAGAAAAATAAATTTTTAAAGTCTGTACACAATTAAATTACGATTGCATATCTCTATTAAATTTGATGATAGAAAGGTAAACACTGGTAAAGAATTACAGAATTGCAAGTGACAATTAGAAATTACATGTGAATTCCCTCTATAATTCCGTGAATTATCTATTCCATGCCCACCACGGTGTACCTCCATCAACAGGGACTCATCATCATTTCAATTCATCATATCCAAACAATTTATTTAATTAGCTGAAATTGCTTAACAACTGACCACTTGTTCATACTATAATAATATTGCATGAACGCAAATCATCAACTGAACGTTGTTTGTAAACGTGATTTTGCAAATTCTCTCCATCTGACAGAATTTCAGTTTATCAAAACTTCTTTCAATGGAAGTTTCTATAAATATAGCAAGTAGAAAGACGTAATACTTTTACGAATAAAACTTGTGCTTAAATGTTACATTAGAAAAATTAAAAAAAAAGAGATATATTGTTTTTATAACGGTGAAATTTATGCAAAATTTAGGGACACAAAATACTCTAATGACAATCTTTATTATGCGTTGTTTCACAGTATTCTCGCATATGGTATTATTGCTTGGGGAGGAGCGTATGATTGAACATTGAACAGAGTCCAAAAAATTATAAACAAATTGATTTTACTCGGAAAATCAAAGAGCTCGTGTCAACCATTATTCATTAAGAAGCACTTCATACTGGGAAGTGATGACGAGGAACTATAACAATCTAACAGCGGAATACAATGTATCCAAGAGCATAATCAGACACAGAATTGTTATGTTAAGAGTAAGCAAAACTATTATTTCAAGAAGTCACAAATATGTGGTTTTTGAAAATTTAAAAAATTAGCAGTAATATGAAAAATCTAAACGTGAACCATAAAGAAAGGCAGAGAAATTTAATAAAAAAAAATGGATACAAAACAATACAGCTGCACTACGGGAGGTGGGCTTTTACACAAAATGGATTGTAATTGTGCAACAATTTACGAGCTTTAGTTTCTCCTTTCATTTTGCTTTTACTTCGTTTCTGTGTTCATTTGTTATGTACTGCCATCTAACGTATGGACATCTATGTGTATACCACTGTAAATTTTGCCATTTAGGAAAAATTTGACGAATTCGGATAAATAAATAAAATGAAATGCAAGCCAAATCGACTGGAGGTAGTGAATTAAGCGATGAAAAGAGAAGCGTTGTGAATCGATTGCCGGAGAGTGCGATTGCAAGGCAGGTATCGAAACGCGGGGGACGGGGGAGACGCGCGCGAGGCACGGTAAGGCATCCACGCGGACCGCAAGATGTCTGGTACTCGCGCAATGTATCAGCAGTGCAGGAGCCTCGAGCAGCTGACTCGCGGTTCGCGGGGGCCGCGAGTCCGCTGGAGCTCTCGCGCTGCGTTCGCCGCTGGTCAAGCGTGAGCCCGAGCCTGTCCATCACGCCTATTCGCCGAAAGGAGGCCGGGCTCGGGAGCGAGTGACTCTCGTCGTCGCTCGCTGCTCGACTCGGGCGAACATGCCGCGAGCGGGCTGCGCGTGGGTTCGAGCCGTCATCTGTTCGGCCTCATGGCTGAACTTGACCCTTGGCGCACGGTGCAGCTGCCGGCCTCCAGTTCGGCCGCGGCATCGTGCGCGCAGCCAATGGACCGCGAGGGTGCAGTCGCCGCCGGGAGCAACGAACGTATAGAGCGCACGCTCTCAGCCGGGAGTGCAGCAGCGCGGCGCGAGCGCACTTGGGCCGTTGACCTTCCTTAAGGACATAGCCACGTCCCCAGACCGGGTCAGACTCGACTCTTGCGTTCGTAGGGGAACATGGCCGGGAGGAGGTGGCCGTGCGCCGCTCGCCCAGGCGGCTGCGCGCGCCTGCCGCCACCAGCGCTCTCATGCTGTCCTAGTTCCAAGTATTTGTTAAAGGCGGTACAATGCTACAGAAGACTCCACCCACCACCTTGTCGGAGCGTCTTTTTCGACTCTCGATGTCAAAGTGCCACCTCGATCCGTTTTGGCCCGGCCACTTGGACAACACCTGCTTCTCTGCCGTCACACCTCGTTCGCGTTCCACGGCTCGCCGCATCTTTATACATTTCCAGTTTGTCCCGAAAACTATGGCCTTCTTACGTGGCCGTGTCTCGGCTCGCTTTCTCGCTCTCAAACGGCAGAGCCTCGCGATATGCTTTCTTTTATCGGCTACAGATTACAGCATAGCTTCACTTGACCGAGATAATCGGTTTATCGTATATTGAATACTCAACGACGCATCGGCATACCGTAACACCTCGTTCAAAATCGCAGCGATCGAGGGTTGGTCGAATTTGCCGACCAGTTTGTTCAGTTCGTTCTGCCACTACTGAAAATTGACGTGCATTCGCTTAACAAAGATTGCAAGCGAACCATGAAAACGGAAGGCAGTAGCTTCTGGTACTGCAGTAACCGACGTACATGGCTGCCATTACACAGCACTGAAAGCCTATCATTTGCCAGGAGAATGCAGAGGAATCTCCGCTGAACGCACGCGTTAGCTCGAGTGACTCTCGCTTTTTGCGATTGACGCACAGATGTGCGGCGCGATCGAGCAGCCGACGAAGCGCAATTGGCTCGGGTCCGGCGCGAGACGAGCACCGGCACGACGGAATCTCGGTGGCGTCGCGCGTTTGGCGTAGCGCCCACGCGGCGCAAGCGAGTACTACTCTCCTAGGCTCGGCGTGGCGGCTGGCGCAACAATCCGCAGCCTCGCCGGGAGCGTAACGGCCAGGCGATGGTCGGGTGCGCGTTACAAAAGAGCGAGCGGCGCGCGGGCCAGCTCTGATCGCCTTGTGCTCGCCTGGTATTCCACAAAATGTATTGTCACTTGATTGTCAATCTGCCTTTTAGTCGCGCTCGGCCTCGTTGCAGTGCACGTGCGGCCGCGCGCCTCGCCGTGACTCGGCGTACCACCGAGCGAGCAGCTCGTTAAGCGACTCGTGCTACCGTCTATCCAGCTTGGATTCCGCCGCTGCACGCGGGCCTCGCGGAACGGCCCCGGACGCCGCCGCGCTCGTACGGAGACGGGCTCACCGGCCGCGGGCGCGAGTCGCTGATCCGCCGCGAACGGGACAGCCGTCGCGGCAGGCGGACGAGCTGGCCGTTGGCGAGTCGGCGAGCGCGCGCGCGCTGTCGGCGTCGACGACGACGCATTCGCGTCAGCGCATGGGCCGCGAGGCAGCCGAGCACACACATACGTGCCCGCGGAGGCAGCGCGAGCACGAGCGGCGCGCAGAGGAGCGCGGAGCGAGAGGGGGGAAAGCGTGGAAATTTCTGCAAAATAGACGACTCGCTGCTAAGCGGCTTCGACGCGATGCTGCTCTCCTGCTTCGATATA